ATCAAGTGTGGACATTGATATCTCCGCAGAGAAACATCCCAATAACCTTCACTTCTTTTTTACCTGAGGGAAACAAATTGGCCTCCCAGTTTCCAACTTTTGCTGGAATTCTTTGGACAAAGAATATGAGCATTCCAGTGAAAGGGAACTGGTTTCACAACATGTTGAAAGTTCTGGGAAGTCATGAAATGTTTCTAAAAGGCTGCTGGAGAGGGAGATGTCTACAAGTCAAGTGTTATTTTTCTCCTGGTGCAGGTTAAATCAATACATTGCTTATTCAGCCTGATCAAATCTGCACTGACTTCTGCAGGAATTAAATCAGACTTTACTCATGGATAATAATTACTGATAATGACCAGAAGCCCCCTCACACACACCCCCCCCCCCCATCATTTCTCCTTCCCCTGCCACACACATGCTGTTCTTGCCAGCAGTATTCCAGTATCCTTGTTTCCACCTGTACCTTGGATATAGTACACTTGCAAAGCCTTCCATGATGGTTTTTCTTTTCCAGACATACACCTGTCTTTCTGATGGGGAATTTCAGCTCATCAGGCAAACGCTCCTCATTTTTTTTCAGGACATGCACATACGGGTAAGAGCTCAATACAACCATTCAGTAAGTATAAAAGGGAGTTTGTGGCTAGAATACGGAGGTGTCTTGGTATAATTACACTGTAGGTTTGGTTTTATTACATACACTTTCCAGTCATCGTGATGTCTTTGTAATTTCAACTTCAGCATTTCCCAAACCGAGCACATCTACTACAATAACACTCTAATTCTAAAATGCTATGGAAAAAAGGAATCTCTGCAAGTATGGATCTGCTGGTTCATAAATATGTTTTTCCTTTTAATAAAAATTAAATATGAAAGAACCTGAGCTTTAAGTCACGGGATTTTATATTCTCTAAATAAATGGATCATACTCAAGTGCATAAACAGTACATATCTTTTATTTATTCATTTTAATATTAGATTGGTGTGCCCATGGTCTGGACCACAGTTCTACATTACTGGCTTTGGCCTGTATCATACTGTTAGTATAATATAGTACATATATATATATACACATATATATACAGTATAGTATATAGAATATAAACCTAAATCTCTAGGAAACTTACTCCAGTCTAGGCAGGAAGGCTGCAAGGCCAGACTTCAAAGGATTCACATCACAAGATATGCAATTGATTTTCTCAAAGGTGGAATATTCTTTTACAGGTTTCTATCTTTCTGAAGGACAAAGTGCAAAACTCTAATGGTCGCTTCGTGCTGCCAATATCAGGCCCTGTTCCTTGGGGCACAGAAGTTCCAGGACTCATCAGGTGAGCTCTGAACCACTGCTCATCCTGTTTGCAGTGCCTTGCACATATGGATGCTCATGGAGAGTGGCCAGTCCCAGAGGCCTAATAGGAATTGAGCTTAGGCTGTCATTCACGTTGCATGGATAGCTGAACCTCCAGTAAGTCCTATTTAAAGGATTTGGGACTAAGTCAGCCAGCAATGAAATGTTAAGCTGTTCCTGGCATTCCCTACTCCATTAAATTAGTTATTAGTACTTTATCCTGTAAAATAGGCATTCACTAACACACAGATTAGGGTTTTATTCCCCTTTTTCTTGTGCTGTTAGCAAAGGAACTCAGTACTGAAAATCAGTATAAAACTATTAATTATGTTTCAATAATGACTTGTTTTTAAGGATGTTTAATCACGATGGAGATGAAGTTAAAAGAACTGAGTTCACCACTCCTGGAAATTATGTTACTCCAGAAAGGGAAGGATCTTTTGGTCTTTATGGAGACAGAGTCCTCAAACTCGGAACAAATATGTAAGTAACTTTAGTCCTACATAGAAACAGGAAGTAAATGCTGATGGTTATGGATTTGTTCAAAAGCACATCTTCAGCCTTGTGTTTTTTTCCCTCTTTTCTGTTACCAGCTTGAACTATAACTTCTTATTTCAATTATTTACAGTCTTCAGAAAAATACCCTAAAATCATAGATACCGTGCTGCTTCTTCCAACTCCTTTATCTCATACAGGTAACAGTGATCTTTCTCTTGTGTTTTTTTTCCCTTTAGGTACAGTGTTAGTCGGCCAGTAGAGACACACATGTCAGGATCATCCAAAAACTTGGCATCCCATGCAAAGGTCAGTGTTGTTCTCTTCCTGTCACTGGTTAACTGGCTGACCAGTCTGGGTCAGTGGGTCCTGAGCTGGCCACATGTGGTGGGAGATTTTCCTTTCAGATTTCACATTGTTTTCCCTTGTCCCTCAATAGATGGGGTCACTCATTGAAATGCCCACATCTGGCACCTCCAAATCATTCACTGCCTTCCCCTTTGTTCATCTCATTTCTCAGGGAAACAAAATCCATTATTTTAGTCTGCAGTTACAGGATAACCTCAGGGGAATTGCTTCTGTTGTTCTTCTTAGGGAGGCCTTATAAGAATCTTCCAATACCTAAAGGGGGCCTACAAGAAATCTGGAGAAGGACTTTTTACTGTAGGGATAGTAAAAGAGGGAATGGCTTTACCCTGCCAGAGGGGAGCTTGAGATGAGCTCTTAGGCACAAATTCTTCCCTGTGAGGGTGCTGAGGTGCTGGCACAGGGTGCCCAGAGAAGCTGTGGCTGCCCCATCCCTGGCAGTGCTCAAGGCCAGGTTGGACAGGGCTTGGAGCAAGCTGCTCTGGAATCCAGTCTGGGATTCTCAAGAGAATTGAGAATCCAGTTGTCCATGGTCCCTTTTGAGCTGGGGAAAGGCACGTTTTCCTGAAGAACCTCACACACAGGCTTATGCAATGGCTTTCTTGCAGCCTATTTTAATCTCTACAGAAACAGAAAGCTAGTTTTACATATTTCTCAGCTATTCAATTTAGCTGTAAAATTATCTTGTCCTGGGTCTATAAATTCGAGCATCATTTTATAGCTTGTAATTACTAGCTATCTGCACAATCCGTACCATCAACAATACAGAAATGTATTTATATCACTCTGAAGAACATTTATGTAATATCAGAAAACACAAAAATGATTATAGTCCTCATCTCCAGGGTAACCTCACCAATGAACCTGTTTTCTGCAGGAGAATATAGTTCCTAACCCTCTTGCTAAAGAAGAACTGAACTTCCTGGCCAGGCTGCTAGGAGGTCTGGAGATCAAGAATCCCAGTGGCAGTGACACAGGATTTCGACTGAATTTGTTCACAACCGACGAGGAGGAAGAGTATGCTCAGGTCCTTCTTAATTTGGGGATTGGGAGCTGGTGCCAGTATGGACAGCCCTGGAGAGCTGGACAGCTTTAGGGGACAACATAGCAGGGGTTAGCATTTTGTTGTCCTGGTCCAAATGGTCCCTTTAGGATGAAGGAGGGGTGCTTTTCCCAGCTTGTTTATTCCGGCTGTCAGCAAGGAGAGCATTTCCTTTACTGGTGTCCCCTCTGAGCAGCACTGGTGGTCAGCAGTGGGTGACGAGCTGTGCTTCATTCTGTCCATGGAACAGAGCCATCCCTTCAGCCCTTTCAGCTCTCCTTTCCCCAGATACACCTACATATGGAGGTGTATTTGGGAACCGGTGGTGGTGATGAGCCTCGAAGGCTTGACCACTGTAGCCCTCTCCTGGTGGGGAGCACAAGGGCACTGAGACTTTTTGTTACATGATCTCTGCAGAAATCTACTTTTAATCTCACTGACAGAGATATTCCCAGTCTTCTACATCGAGCTTAAAAAAATCTGAGGCAGGGAAAAGCCTCCAAACTGAGGTCGATATATTCATTTGCCCAGTAGGAACAGGGACATGGTCCAAACTTCATGCTTATGGGAGCCTCATGAAATCTGATTTTTATCATTTACTTGTGTGTCATCATGACATTAAGCACTCTTTTCATGTTTTCAATCAAGACACGCTGCACTGACTAGACCTGAAGAGTTATCATACAAGGTTATCAACATAGAAGCCACACAGGTACGTATAGCACACTTAAGACCTTTGATTCTTACTGCTCTGCACCCCGAGTAGTAACCTAAAATATACCTTTTACCCCCATTTAAGCTCATCAGTAAATCATGGCACTATTTTCTACCGAGCCCGTGCATTTGTTGACTGTTTCATAAGAGAACTTGAAACCTGACAAATATTACAAGTGCATAATACTATAATAACAGTATTATAATACAAATATTCTAAGCTTTTAGCTGCTTAAGATGGAGAAGTGTTACTGGCTCCTTTGCCTGCTTATGGCTACAGCCCGATGCCTGCAGCCCTTCTCGAAGGGACTCAGCGGCACCGGCAGGCAGCTGGGCACATCCCCGGGTAGCCCAGCCAAGGCTGGTGGCAGCAGGGGCGGGCACATGGCAGGGCAGCCCCGCAACAGGCCCGTCCTGTCCGATCGCGGTCTGAGCCGCGCTGTCTCGCCCCGCAGGAGCCGCGCCGGCGGGAGGAGCTCTCCTGCATCCTGGGGGAGCTGGAGGCGGAGGAGCCGCGCCCGGAGAGCTCCGGGAAGGGCGAGGATCTCCTGGCGCTGATGGATGCGCTCTGAGCACGGTAAAGGTCCGGGGCGGGACCGGGAGCGGGGAGGGACCGGGAGCGGGAGCAGAGCGCAGGCGCGGCCGCCCCTTCCTGCCGCCGGGCGGGCGGGCGGGTGAGCGTGCAAGGGGATGGGGCTCGGGGGTGAGCGTGCAAGGGGGGGAGCAGGGTCTGTGTGTGCGGGCAAAGGGGGGCACACGGAGAGCGGGAGCGGTGGGAGAGGGGCGGTGTGCAAGGGGGGGCACATGGAGAATGGGAGTGACTTGGGAGAGAGGGAGTGTGCAAGGGAGGAGGCAGTGAGGGTCCCAGCTTGCAAGGGGGGCCCGTGAGGAGTATGAGTGGTTTAAGAGGGGGCAGTGTGCAGGTGAGTGTGCAGAGGGTGGTAGGGATGCTGAGGAAGGTGGCTCTGGCCAGTGGTGGGGGTATCCAGCCGGGATGCAGCTCGGTGTCTCCCTGTTCCCAGCCGAAGGCACGCGATGGAGGTCAGCCACTCAGTCAAGGAGCGCACCATCGCGGAGAACAGCCTGGTCATCCTGCTGCAGGGCCTGTGCGGCCACATCACCACCGTGGACCTCCGCGACGAGAGCACGGCCACGGGGCGCATCACCAGCGTGGACGCCTTCATGAACGTGCGTCTGGCCGAGGTTTCCTTCACGGACAGGCAGGGCACCGTGTCCCAGCTGGACGAGCTCTTTGTGACCGGCAGGAACATCCGCTACGTCCATATCCCCGACGAGGTGGACATCAGGGCCACCATCGAGCAGCAGCTCCAGGCCATCCACAGGGTCCGCTACTTCGGGGGCCGTGACAAGGGCAGGAAGGAGTTCCCTCGTGCCAAGTACAAGTGAGCCCATGGACCTGCCCTTTTGGACTGCCAGCCACCTCTGCATCTCACTCCAGACATCCCAGCTGGGCACACGGGACTCTGCTGCTCCCCTGGCCAGTGCCCACAGGGAAGCAGGGTTATTCTTTGTGATAAATAACCCCATTTAAAAGGGTCTTTGATCTCTCAGCTCATTTTCTTTCTGCTGGCAGCTACCTGTGTGTCCCGTGGTGGCCAAGCAAAGTTCTTCCAGCCAAAGCCACATGCTGCTGGGCTGCAGCCTTCCTGCTGCCCATGGTTGGCTTTCCCCTTGTCCAGTACCCTGCAGGATGGCCCTGAGCTGGGGATGGGGTCAGTTGTGGTCTAAGAGTTTCACGGGCAGAGGGCCACGGGAGAGGGGCTGAGCTTGGCGCGGAGGGGGCTGGCTTTGCCCAGGGCACGCAGAGAGCGATGCCGGAGCTGCCGGCCCTGCTCCTCCATCACCGTTGGCGCAGCTCGGCCCGCCTGGTGCTGCCCTCGCCGCTCCCCGTGGGTCGGAGCCCCGCTGTGAGCCCTGCCCGGGGCAAGGCCGGGCCGCCGCCGGGGACAGGGAGCGTGCAGCGGGGTCCCGGTGCGCGGGAGCCAATCGGCGACGGGTGTGGCACCGCCCCACCCAATCAAATCTTGCCTCCATTTCATGTCCGCGCTTCGACCAATCAAAATCTGCCGCAACTATCCTCGCCCCCCGCCCAGGCCGTATTCCAATGGCAGCGGGCGCTGTCTGAATCTGACCAATCAACATCGCCTTCTCCCTGTGCGGCGGCGCAGTGGCCGCCAGGAGGCGGGGCAGTAGCGTGCGGGGGGGGCGGTGGCTCGTGCGTCACTTCCGTTGTCAGGTGGCTGCCGCCGCGCAGCCGAGCGCAGGCCGCGCCGGCCCCGGGGCCATGGGTGAGCGGGGCCGGGAGCTGGGCGGGGGCCGGTACCGGGTGCTGTGCGGGGCCGCTTCGTGCTCCCCGGAGTCTCCGGGCAGCGCCGGGCCCGTGGAGCCCGCCCGCTGCTGAGGCCTCGGGAGAGAGGGGCCGGGCTCCGTGTGCCGGTGTCCGGTGCTCCCGGTGCGTGCGCGGGGGCTGCCGGCGCTGCTGCCGTTGCTCCGGAGGTGCTGTCGGGAGGGCGGCGCGGCCGGCTCTGCTGCCGGTGCCCCGGTCGCTCACCGCTGAAGGGGAGGTTCGTAGCGGGGCGTGTGTGCACGGCCGGGGTTAACGCACTGAGGGCAGCTCCCCGTGGCTCTGGAGGGCTGGGGCTCAGCCGGAGCCAGCGCCGTGTGTTCGGTGTTGATTTCGCTTTCGGTCCGGGCAGGGGTTTCTCGCTGTAGTAGCTGGGGAGCTGTGCGCTGAGGAGGAGCCGCCCGTGTGTCAGCAGTGAGGAGCTGGGGCTTGTACTCCCAGTGAGAATGAGTAAGCCCATCAAGTGTTGCAGCCGGAACTGGCCGCGGCGAGCTCACCTGGGGAGGATGAGGAGGCTCCTTTGGGGGTTTTCTGCTTCAGGACCTCTTCTGTCGCCTTGTGGCTGTGGGAGCTTCGCTGCCACCCTGTGTGTTAAAGGTCTGGTGCTGCTGGAGGGAGCACATTCCCCTCCATGACATGAGGAGTTCGGGGCTTGTCTTGCTCCTGCTCAGCTGCTCCCTCCTCCTGCCGTGGCTGCAATGTGCTGCCCTGTTAGGGAGACAGTTCTTTGCTGGTTTAGAGTCTTAGGCTCAGCATAGATTGCACCGTGCAGGTGTGCCAGGCATCTCAAGCTCTTGTCTCGGGCTGCAGTACTGTGTCTGGAGAGTGGTGAAGTTGGAGCAGAAGCCAGTGCCTTGTGTGGCAGGGCTGAGCCGGACACTGGGCACCCTCTGGGGCAGAAGGGACATGGGTTGGGTGCACGTGGAGGGCTCGTGGGGTGCCTGCAGCCCGGCTGAGCTGTGCCTTGGAGGGGAAGGGGAATGTTTGCCCGCTGGGAAGCGGCTCCAGGCTGGTGCCACGGGATGCAGGACGTGTTTCATGCTTCCCTGATGCTGCAGCACTTATGCTACATCCTTTTATTGTTCCTCCATGGCATCCGCACTGATGGCTTGGTCACGTAATCGCATTACTTAAAAGCACGCTCATGTTCAGCTGCTTTTATCCCCAGGATATCACAGAACCACCTCCTTTGGAGCTATGCAGAGGGAAGCCTTGTGGGTGCTTTGCTGCTCTTTGCTTACAGACAACCCTGTTGATTGTGCCTGAAGTGGCCCGTGTGCTCTGCCTAAGGAAGAGATGTGCTATCTGTCTGCGGAGACCAGGCAGTGCTCTGGGCTTGCTCCTCACTCCTGCCTGGGAGCAGTCCAGCTTGAGAGCTCTGGCTGGACTAGAGGAGGCTCCGTGCCCATTGCAGTCTGTGTGAAACACTCTTAGGTGCACATTTGTGACATTATGGTGTCTATCTGTGTGCTTTCCTGCTACCAATAGTAGTAACATTAGCATGGCAGTATATGTAGGTAGCTGAAATACATCTCTTTCTCTCTAGCTAGGGCTGGATGAGTAGATCACTGTTAAAAGCAGCAGCCCCACCTCCCTGTATAGAATGCGTGTGCACGTGTGCGAGTCATGCGATAATCTGTGTGTGCATGAGGCACGTCCTGCTGCAGTGCATCTGTGGGATATTAAGGGTACAGAAGCTATAAGCAGGACGAATACAAGCTCGTAACACAAAGCACACCTCACCTGATGCTAGTGGGAAGGGCAGTGGCTGCCCAGGAGAAGCCCAGGATTGGGAGCCTGTGTGTTGGGTGAATTGTGCAGCCTCAGGTGAGGGCCAAGCCTTGCAGTTGGGTTTCCAGGCTCTCTCCTGTGCTGGACCTGGCTGGTGGTGCCCCTGCCATGAGGATGTTGGGCTGGAGCAGGGATTGTTCCCAGTGGATGTTGCCTGTGCTTCAGCAGGAAGGGGTTAAGCCGAAGTTGGTGTTTATGTAACCAAAGAGGGAACTCCCAGAGATGAGTCCTTGGCTATCTCATGTGTTGATGCATCAGAAGGGTTTAAAGAAAGCCCAGCTTGTTGCTCGCTTGCACTGTAATTACGTCGCTGGAATCCTGTGCTTCAGAGTTTCCCTGGCTGCCTGTTGGGGGGAGGCAGGAAGGGATTTGCTTTCCCTGATGGTGGACTTGCCCTTTGGAAGCCTGTTTTGACCCTGAGAAGATGGAAACTGGCCACAGCTAGATGTGGGAGGTAAGCAAGGTGTGCTGGGCACCCCTTCAGCACCACAGCGTCGGAAGTGCTGGTGGTACCTTGCTCACAGAGTGGGATTAAGCTAATGACCAGGTTGGGCTGAGGAAGGAGGCTCTGGGGTGGGTCTGTAGGGGCTGCTGGAGGTGCTCCTGCCTCCCAGCAAATTCCTATTTCATGAGGTGCCTTCCAAGGGCATGGGGGTGCCCCAGCCCCTTGGGATTTTTCCTTCTTCTTTGGTCAGAGGAACCCTGTGCTTGGTTTTGAGTGAACTTCTTGCTTGGGGAAGAAGCCTGAATGAGTCCGTGCGATTCCAAGAAGTCTCTGAGTCAGGGCTCCTCTGTTCCTGGAGAAGGTTTCCCTTCCTGGAAGGGCTCACGCAGCGGTGCCTGGGTTGTGCTGGTGCCTCTGAGTCATCTCATGGGCTCTCTCTGTTGCTGTTCTCTTACAGAACAGTTAAAACTCCCCGCACTCCTGGTGGTGCCTCTGCTCCTGTGCAGCCTCCCTCCGGTGCCCTGTGCCCGCCTGCAGCCGCTCCTCCTTCCCCTTGCTTGGGATCTGCCTGGCAAACATCCCCTGTCATCCCGCAGCCGGTGACTCCTCCGCAGGCCGGGCTGATCCCAGCTCCGCCTGTTCTCTGGGAAGCCTTTCCAATGGGAATGGAGCCTCTGATGACTCGGCTCTGAGCTGTCCCGAGCCGGGTTTGCCTGGAGAAGCCGGGTGGCAACACTCTGGGATTGCTGCTTCTCGCATTGATACCGACCTGCGTGTTCCCGTGCTGGGAAGCTGGATCACACTCATCTGATGGCAGCGAGCATGTGGGTTTTTAGGTCATAGCCAGCCTATGTTGTGAGCAGGAGCGTGCTGTGAGCCAGGCTGAAGGTGAACTTTGGTTCAGCACCACTGATAAACCCTGCCTCGTGTGGTGGTTGCGTTGTAAAAGGTGCAGCCTGATGCTGCTAAATAATGGATAGTTTGGGCTTTATTCTTGCACTGGCTGAGAGGAGAGTGGGACAGAAACCTTTGGATCAGGCCTCCCACTGCCTCCCTTGCAGAGGTGAGCTCGCTTGCAGCTTTGGGGTTGCCAGTCATCACACTGGAAGTGTAGATCCCAACCACCACGTTTCACCCTCTGTATCAGCCGTTCCAGTGCCTTAACTCGTTCCTGTGCTCTGAGTAATCCTGTGAACGCCCCAAAGGTGCTTTCTTTGTCCTGCTGGGCTGCGGGACCTGCTTGCTCTTTAAGCCGGGATGAAAAGGTCAGTTTCCTCTTCTCTTTTCAGCCTTTGTTTTGCTGGGCGCTGGAATGTCCTGCAGTAATTTGGGAATGAGACCGTTTCCTTAAGCGATGGAATTAAAAGACATCTTTGGTTTCCAAATGGTTTGATTAATAATTGTATTAAAGTCAGAGCTAGCACAGCAAGGCGCCTTAGACACCTCTCCAGTGAGATGCTGGATGTGTTGTGTGTTAAGCAATGAATTTTAGTGCTAGATTTGTAACTCCATTATCTCTGTGAGAGATCATTTTTGTTACAGATGGTGGGACAGGGAGCGGTGCATGGCCAGATGGCTTCAGCACACACTGCTCATGGCACAGGACCCATCTCAACAGGTCCTGCTCAGGGGTGATGCTTCTGCTCACAGCTGCAGAGGGGCATCCTCCATCATTGCTGTTCTTGTTCTAAGATCTGCCTTAAGCCCAGCCTCAAGATCCTGTTCCTAGTGGCCATCCTGTGCTTAGAGGCTGGTCACTTGCTCTGCAGGAGGCTGCCCCAGGGAAGCCTGTGCCCTTTTAACCAATTTCCTTGCTCTGCCTGGGGTTACACAATGTGCAGAAAAGGGAACAGTCTTCCTGCTTTTTCACAGCAGCTGCCCTGGTTTGCTTCCCTTTGGGACCTTCCTTCTACCCAGCCACCCTTCTTTCCAGTCTCAAGAGGATCCTGAAGTGCTCGCTGAAACCCTCTGGGTGCTGCTGAGGGCCCCTGAGGCTTCTGTGGGGCTCTGCCGCCCTTGTGATGCAGCAGGAACCACGTAGGGAGCAGGGAGATGGGGTTGACAGTGCTGTGAGTGGCATGGGTTTCTCTTCAATAGCCAAATACTTGTTTGTGTTGGTGCTTTTCTTGCTCTTAGGAGTATTGTGTGAGGGAGCTGGGATGTTTCGGTCGGTGGATGCCCTTTAAGGGACTGGGACACCTCCACTCACTCCCAGTGCCAAGACAACTCATTCTGAAAGCACTGGATAGCTGGCACGGGGCTGCCAGCAGCAGAGCCTGGGAGTGTTGTTCATCAAAACACAGGTAGCCTCAGTACTTTAACTCAGGAAGACCTTTGGTAGCTGCCCCAGCACCAGGTGATGGTGCTGTTTGCTTTGGGGTAGTGTTGGGAATGCAGTCCCCATGCCCCAAATGTTCCTTGTGCTTTTGACATTTGATCTAACTGGATACAGCGTGAAGTAAAGGAGCTTGGTTTAGCAGAGGGTTAAACTAAGCATTTGGTAGAGGTGGTGTGGATTCAGTTCTAGGGTGTCTGATGGCAATCCTGAATTTCTCCTTTTCAGTGGGGCCAGATGGAGCTCCTGAGCAGCACTGAATTTAAGTAGAATTAGTTTGAGTTATCTTTTTTGAGACCAAAGATAAATTATGAAGAGGAATTAACTTGCAGTGGGGATTTGATAAGAATAAAATCCAGTGTATTATTCTCTGCCGTTTGCAGAAATCCTTCTGTTCGAGACTCTAAGCATTAACTTTTACCCTGATTAAAAACTGCTTCCAGTGGTGAAGGTTCTGCTGTGGCACTGTTGCTAACCTGGCTCTATTGAAGATACTGTTAAAACTAGGCAAGCAAGTACCATGTGGTGGAGGTTAAAAAGGAGAGCGTGCTTGCTTCTGCTCTGTTGCTGATGCTCCCACATCACGAAATGCCTTTGGAGGTCACTGATGCTGTATTTGTCTTGCTGCGCAGGGCCATGCGTCTGTGACTCTTCAGGGACTGAACCTGAGGAACCCTTTTACTCTCTCACATGATACTGGGAGCTTCAGGCCTTTTCTAAGCCCAAATAAACACAGATGGTTCAAGCTGAGGAGTTTTGGTGCATCCCACGTTATCGTAATCAAGAATAATCCAGAACCGCAGCATCAAGTGTATCTCATTTCACATTACAGAGTCCTGGACCTCTCGACCATCCAGCCTTCTCCAAGGTGATGACTCCAGTCTCCTGAGGCGTTGGAAAACCTAGTTTGGAAGAAGAATAAGGATACAGTTGATGCTGAACTACGTGAGTCCTCCGATTATGTTGTTTACGATAACGCCGTTTGCACCAGGGATCCCGATCCAGCTTGGATTGCACAAGGGTCATTACCTCAGAGCTGCTGTGCAGTGGGGTTTCTCCAGTGGAGATATTACTCATCCGTTTCCAGCAGGGATGATGCTGGTGATGTTGCAAGGAGTGGAGAATTTTATAAGGCATAATCAAATATGAGGTCAGGGATGGGGAATGAACAGAACAAGGAGCATGTGGGGCTCGGGACTTTGTTCTGTTCAACTGGCTGGGCCTGGCAGTGCTCCTCTGTCAGTGGAAGCTTGTAGTGCAGAGATGCCAAGTCTGCTGCAAGACTTCTCACCTTATCTGTTGCTATCTCTGATCTGGGTGACAGGTACTAGATGAATTAATGCAATGAGATCACGCTTGTGTCCACAGAAAGGGTGGGACTGCCAGAGGGTGAACTTCATTCAAAGCACAGTGATTTATCAGTCCCTTACGTGATGAAACACTGGGACTCTTAAGTGCAACCCCAAAATATTTTCCCTGCCTGCTGTAGTAACCTCTAAGGGAAGACTCCGGGGCTTGGCTTTGACTTGCTCAGAGTAAGGAAATGGATCTGTGCGCAGTTCCTCCTCTCCCCCCCACCCCAATAAAAATCCCTTTGAACAGTTGGAGCAGCAGCATTTAGTGGCTAGAGCTTTGTGAAAGTCTTTGAAACCCTTTTCCAAGAGATAAAGGTGAAGAGGAGGTGTATTGGGAACAAAACTTGAGTTTGATGGAGCTGGTTGATGCAGTGTGTGAAGGCCAGGCCGGCAGGTTTTATCCTGCTGAACTGAAACAAGGCTTTCCTTTGGGGAAAAGGTGCCGTAGTCAAGTTCAAGTAGGTATTGGTTCTGCAGTGCCACCACAAACTCTAGATTTCCAAGCAGCACAAAATGCATGTTGGAAATCAGGTTTTCTGCCATAAGTAGGAGTGAGTCAAGCTTGTACTTGTTTGCATTGAGTTGTAGTGATGTGTGGACCTTGGATACTTGGATGCAAATCATGAGATTCACATTTAATAGGTTAAATTGTTCTTTGCATGCAGTGGTGGGGCGAGGGAGCACATGTGTTGGCACCACAGTGTTTCCTTTCGTTGGGATATTCATTGAAGGCAGGTAATAGTCTGCATTGACTCCTGCACATGGGGCCCGAAGGGATAGTTTTGGATGCTGGATTCCAAGTTTCAGCTGTGTTGGATGCAGATAGATGGAGATGTGATAAAAGGGTTAGAGCCTAAAGAGGGATAAATAGAGAGGGGGGACTTATTTTAAGACTCAGCATACATCTGTGGGTAAATCCCTGTTAAATGAACTGAATCTCGCAGTAAATGGCATTTTTGTCTTCCACCACCTTGCTGGAAAAGGTGAAAGGTGTTCTCTTTGTGGTCAGTTTTGTGTATTCTTGGCTGTTTGAGGAACAGATTTGAGCCTTCAGTTACTCGGTGAGCTGATGGCGATGCTGGTAGGCAGTCTTCCACGAATGACCCCCCAGAAGCCGATAGGCTGAGTCAGAAGCAGGCGTCCCCACTGAAGGATAACTTAGGCATTTTCTTCCAGAGTTTTTTTGGCATATGTTAATTTGCAAACTTGTTTTTGCTGTAAAACAAGCTTCAATTATTTTGACTTGTTCCCACTATGTGTCTCAAACAAGTGTTGTAGGAGACGAGGCTGGTTTATACCTTCCAAAATGCATTAAGCCTCCAGCCCACAACTGGTCTATCAGTAATGAGCCATAGCTTTTTTGTAGAAACACAAGTAGGCAGAGACACGAGTGCGTCAGGAGGTGAAAGCCTTCCAGTGCAACATAAGGGGTAGTGGAACATACCGACTCGGTTGCTCATCAAATGTGATCTTCTTTTTCTTCCAAGAGCCAAGGATGAAGCGGCGAGCATCAGACAGAGGAGCTGGGGAAACATCCACTAAGGCAAAAGCTCTTTGTACAGGGATTTCTGGAAATAATGCCAAGAGAGCGGGCCCTTTTATACTAGGTAAGCAGGGAGGGGAGGTGGTTCTTCAGTGTAGCTACTGATTCCAAGGCTGATGATAAAGGCAAAGCAGATGCGAAATGTAGCATCTTAGAGTACAATTCACTTGATGGAGAAGAGCAGCAGCCCTTGGAGCTTCTGCAGCTCTGGTCATGCTGAGGAGATCTGTAATATGAACACCACAGGGCAGGCATGGCTTTAAACTTTGTCAGAGAGTAAATTCATTGAGGGAACTTTTTGATTAGAGCTCCATGGAGGTGTTTGACCCTGCTTGCCTGGAATGTGCTGTCAGATCAGCATGTGGGCGTCTTAATAATGCCCTGGTGGTCCTTATAAGTGGTATGTGCCAAGGCCAGACCACTCCGCTAGCTTTTAAGAGCTGTCAAAACCCTGATGGCCTTCACAGCGGAAACCAATGGATAATCAACTGGAAGCTCATTGATCTAGACTGAAGAGTGGAGGCTGTGTTAACTTGCAGTTGGGGTAATCTGCACCCTGTGCAGAGGTGGCAGTTGCGTTCAGAGGTGTGGTAACAGCGGTTGCCATGGGTGTTGCTGGTAAATGGGGAAGCCTTATGGTTCAGGCATGCAGAAATTTGAATTTCTGAAAGCAGCTCTGCCCTGTGTGGGCTCTTGTTCAGTGTTTCTCCAGTGAACAAATGAAACCTTGTGCAGAAAGCTCTGAGTTCAGTACCAGTTTCTTTTCTTCAGACAGCGATTTGTGGAAATGTGCTTGATCTCTGGGGAAAGAAAAAGGAACTTAAAGTAACCTAAAGTGCGTGACACTTGCCTACTGATGTAACCCTGAATTAGTCATTGCTGCTTAAAGGAAAACAAGTCTGTTTTTGCTTTGTGCTGTTAGGTCCACGTTTAGGTAACTCCCCTGTGCCAAGTATTGTTCAGTGTTTGGCAAGAAAGGATGGGACAGATGACTTTTACCAGCTGAAGGTAAGCAAACGGGGGGTTTCCAGATCTTTTGGGCTTTCTTCAGCAGAAGCACTGCAGTGGTGTGTGGTGTAGGCTGCACCAGGGTGCTGTCAGAAACGGCTGCAGTTCTGCCAAGCTTAGATCTGGTGTCAAGGTTAGCCCTGAGATGAGGCCTCTGTGGCTGCTGTGCTGCTCTCCTCTGATCTGCTCCACTGGCCTGAAATGGGAGTGACTCCAATGGGGAGTAAAAATCACCTGGGATCTTTGCAAAAAGCACCTGACCTGCTTCTCTGTGTTAAATCATAGAATCATGGAATGGGATGGGTTGGCAGGGACCTTAAATCATCTAGCACCAATCCCCCAGATCAAGCTCGTGCTGTGCATTCTGCACAGATGTTAGTTCAGACGTTGTGTGGCCAGTATGCGAACATGAGAGCAGCTGCATCAGCTGTTAAACACATGGGAATACCTAAAATGAGAGTGGTTTGGGGGCATTTGTTTTTTTCTGGGAACTGTAAAGGTCTTTTCCCTTTTCCTGAAGATTCTCACTTTAGAAGAAAGGGGTGATAAAGGAATAGAAACCCAGGAGGAGCGACAGGGCAAGATGCTGCTGCACACGGAGTATTCTCTCCTTTCCCTGCTCCATAATCAGGAAGGAGTGGTTCATCACCACGGGCTCTTTCAGGTACAGCTGGTCACCATCCACGTTGGGGGAATGCCAGTGCTTGCTTTAGGCTTGAGTTGCTTTTGTTTAATGTACAGTTCGTGCTGACCCCATTCTTGTGTGTAAAGAATTACCAGCACACACTGAGGTTAATCACTGCTGCTTCAAACAAGTGGGTGGAAGGGGCTTTTGAGAGTTAAATGGGACGTAACAGGGTTTGGGATTTGGGAAATGTGAGGACATTTAAAGATGGGGCGGGTGCTCAGGAGCATCCTCTTCAAAGAGGGCAGTAGCTGCTTCACTGGCAAATTAATCTGTGCCCACAGAGCACCCTTTGGAACTGAATTTGTGCTTTTTTGTACTGGCTTATGGTGACTTGGAAGAGGGGAGAAACTGCCAAGAAACTGTTTCATCAGGTTAAACTAGTCAATGTGCCCATCAGGGTCTCGTGTGAGTGAGCTGTGTTGCTGATAATGCCTTCAGAGCTGTTCATGGATGCAGTGGGCTGCTAGGGATTCCTGGTTTGGATGTTGGTGTTGCTGTGCTTGCTGGTTAAATCTTACCGACACACTTTTCACTTGAGGTCATCTGTACTATAACTTCAGCAGACAAATGTCCAACTCTGCTGTGTCCTGCTTCATGTTATGGAAGAACTGCTAATTCCTGTGTCTTAAGCTTCCTGTTCTCATTACTAACATGTTGGATCCCTGGTATTCAGAGTGTGCACCAATATACAGTTATTTTAGGTCTTATCAAAAGCTCTGTGTGTATAAACAGTATCAGCGCTGACAGAAGCCAGTCAGAGTTTCTCTGTCTTTTTTAAGCAGAGATGATGTATCTTCTCTTTGCAATCCCAACTCAGGGCAAAGATCTAGCAGTATGATTGCGTTTGCTTGTTTTGAGATCACCACATAGTTACTGATTCTCCAGTGCTCTGTATGTAAGTACATAATCCCAGAGAGCTTCCCTGAACTATTGCTCATTTGTTTGCCTCACTTAGGACCGAGCTTGTGAAATTATAGAAGATCTAGAAGCAAACAGAATGGTCAGGAAAATGAAGAAGCGCATTTGTCTCGTGTTAGACTGTCTCTGTGCCCATGATTTCAGTGACAAAACAGCAGATCTGATCAATCTGCAGCATTATGTCATTAAAGAGAAGAGACTCAGTGAGCGGGAGACAGTAGTGATATTTTATGATGTGGTACGAGTGGTAGAAGCATTACATAAGGTAAGGTCCTTGTTACCCCTTGTGCTTTCCCACGTTAGTATAATAGACGTTGTAAAACTTCCTGGTGCGGGCAGTGGTGAGGTTACAGGGGATGGATGTTTCAGCTGTTTCCCTCTAAGAGTGTTCTGCGTAAAGACCTCATGCCCCAAGCCATAAAAGAGCGTTCCCTTCCCCTCCCTTCAAGTTGCTGGATGATAACACAGCATGTGTTGACAGTGGAGAGGGGCCAGCTGGACTGAATGCAGATCGGGTGAACTACAGTGTTGTTAACCTCAGAAAGGGGTGGTCAACGAGAAGAGCAGAGGCTAATCAAATGCAGGAAGCACTTCAAGCTATTTCCTTTTGAAGCAAAATAAATCATAATGTAAGAATTGATTTCTGAGGGCAGAATGAGATCAATGAACTAGAAAGTACTGTAACAAAAATAGGCTCTGCTGCCTTTTGCCTTCTCACCCTCTGAGAAGGGACACCCATCCTTCCTTGGCAGAGCAGTAAAGCACGTGTCATCTGAGGGAATGGTCATGGTACTGCTCTTACTGAGCCTGGGCACTTCAGTTTCAGGTCTCTTGGTTGCAGTCAAGTCTGTCCTTGTGTTCAAAGCAGCAGATTTGCTTGTTCTGTTCTAAGCAGAATCCAAAATGAAGTGCACAAAGCACCTGGGATGCAGCCTGACTTGGAACCTTGATCAGGGTTATTTCTGAGAGTGAAGATGACGTGATTTCAAAAGATACCGAGTGCTTTCATCAGCTACTGAATTTGTACTTCTGTGACAAATATGGGTTTGCTCATGTTGTGCTGTTATGTATTTTACAGAAAAATATTGTGCACAGAGACTTGAAACTAGGAAACATGGTGCTAAACAAAAGGTAAGTCTGCAGAGCTGGCAGTTGCCCTGTGCTAATTTTGTTTCTTACAAACACAAAGGCAGCGCTTGAGTGCTCACATGTGAAAGGTGAGGGAAATGGAAGCAAGCTGAAATCCAGCACAGTGTTACAGGAGTTCATCTCCAAAAATGAATTGAGCCCAACCAGGATAGTTCACTCTTCCACCAAGCTTAGTGACCCCGTGTGAGCACTTCTTTGAGGATTCTAGCTTCTGAAAACTAAACTTTACTCAGAAATCTGCAAGAGGGATTTTATCCTTATTAAAACAAATCCGAATGTGGTAAGTGGTTCTGTTCCCAGAATTCACTTTCCATCGTGCTAAAGGAATTCCCACCGCTGCAGCCTGTACTAGAATCACAGCAGTGTTCGATCTTTGACTCCTGCGCTGCTGTGTTTTTGCTAGCAGTAAAATATTTACTTATCTAAACAAAAGTGCTTCTGTCTCGTCTGTATTTGTGCTTGAAATAGCTTCCTTGTTCCTAGTAGTGGGGTTGATGCAAGCCTCAGTTTCTAACGCACTGGTGTCTGGGGTGCTGCGCAGGCACAGGAGGGACCAGCCCAGTGGGGCAGGAGTTTAACACAAGTAAGAGGTGTGGTGGTAGCAGATGCTTTGCTTGGTGGCTCCTTGGAGTTTTTTGGTTGTCTTGGGTTATGCAGTGATTTAGTTGGCAAGTCCCATTTCAGATATTCCGCTGTGTCCTTCAGTATTACATTACTGCCTAAATATTTTGCACTAACTTCAGGAATGAGTGGAATTCGTTGTCTTTTCACACTGTCTGGGTTTGTGGAACAACTAAAAAGCTGGAAGGCTGTAGGTCTGCAGCAGGTTCACTGTGGTCACAGCTTGCTTCTTTCTTCTTTCTACTACTATTTGAAAGCAAACATTTTATCTACTGGGGTGAACTTCTTGGTTCCCCCCATACACACATGCAGAGCATCTAATGCTTCTCAGGGCCACCTGTAACTAGTTTTGTTTCTGTAGATCTGCTTTTGTTATCTGCTGCTTGCTGCTTTGATTCTCCTTGCTAGGCAGAGGCAGACAAAAGAGGCTTCCCTTCTTCTCTTGGCAAAGGGTGCAGTGGAGCATCCATCCCACTGAGAACTGCACACGGGGCCCCCACTACCAGGAAGGGGGAGGGATTCGAAGCTTTGTGAACACACTTTCAAAGGCATTCTCTTATCATTGCATACTATATTTTGGCTTTTTACTAGCAAGACCATCAGCTTTGGTGAGGAAAACTGTAGCCTCTACAGCAGTGAGTCATAAGAAAGGGTGGGTGAGACGTAAGAATAGATCACCATGGAGAGAGAGGACCAGCCATTTGGGCCGATCAGAAGTGTTTGTTCTGTTCTAGCCGTGCTCACAACAGAGGCAGGTCTTTCCTCTTGGCGGGGGAGGAAGGTAGCTACAGATCACTGCAACATCCAAACCAGGCCAGTTACACCCTGAGCTAATGAAGGTCCCTCATTCATTGTCACCCACAAGATGGGGATGTGAAAGCCTCACAGGTTTTTCCATTAGCCACTTGGATGGTTACAGATTAGCTCAGATTTCAGTGACTAAATACAACCAAACAGCCCTGAACATTTTGGTGTCCTTTAGAACACTTAGTCTTTTAAATCCTGCAGATTGTTATTCAGCCAGGGAAGTCTCTTGACAGTTGAAGCTAACACTTCTTAAACACAAGTCTGTCTTAATAATCAGCTCTCCCCTGCCAGCCCACGCTTGGTTTTATTTCACTTGTCTGGTAGACTTGCTGGAAATACTTCTTGGTTATTGTGACTGGGTTTAATTCATTCTCAGGCTCTAGTTGTGTTCTTCAACTTCTGAAGAATACAGAAATCTTCCAGACAGTGTTTTGCTACTCAGTCCTTTCAGTTGTACATTAAAACCCAAATTATCCAAGTGACATGGAAGATGTAATAGTTTTGTAATGAGCTCACGTTGATTAACTGGTGCTGGCAGTACCTTAGGGAAGCAGGGGTATCTTAATAGAGACATTGTGTGTGCCTGCAGTTCTCGCCTTTTCTGTAGGAGGTTTTTTGGGTGTTGATGAGACTTTCTCTGCTCTGCATACTTGGGTGTGAAGAACGGTCCTGCAGATCAGGTAGAGCAGCCAGCACAGTCCTGCTGCAGGACTGTTGGGTAACACAGAAGTGGTTGTACTCTGTCTGATCAAAGGTCCTGCAGCTCATCTGCTGCTGACACATAAGCAAAGGATGTGGGTAGTCCTTCTTTAGGGGATTTTCCCTCAGCTCCCAGAAGGTGTTGTGTGGAGAAGATGCTTTTAGAGATGGTTGGTAAGCAGAGGAGAGAAACAGCAGTTAAAGTTCTCCTTCAACACTCTTGCCCTGCAGTGGTCAGCAAGCACACGAGTGCAGGTCCTGGTGCTGGGGTTGCCTGCAGGGTACTGTGGAGGCAGTTGCGTGGCTGCAAGGTGAACAAGTTACAGGAGCACCCTGTGCTTACAGCCTCATGCCACTCAGGTTGGATGTAGACATTGTCACAGCTGTAAAAGAGATTCTCTTATTCCCCCTGTAAGAGCCTTGCAGTCTATGTGGATGAGTGTGGAATCCCTCCCCTTTGGGATGGAGCTGATCTTGCAGCAGCCTTTACCTATTCCCAGGGCTTCAAGCTTCCCCAGAAGCCCCATAGACACGCTCCTCTGTGCAGTTTGGCTTGTGCAGGATGCTCCTTGTTCACTGATGCCTTCTGATTCTCCGCAGGACTCATCGGATAACCATAACAAACTTCTGTCTCGGGAAGCACCTGGTGAGTGAGGATGACCTGCTGAAGGACCAGCGAGGGAGCCCTGCCTACATCAGCCCAGATGTGCTCAGTGGTAGGCAATGCCCTCAGCCCCACACTTCACACTTGGTTCACTTATCTGTGGCTCTTGACAATAAAAGAAACCCTAGTTCTGTTCCCATATGTAACCTGCCTCCTGTGAGAGCCTCTTAATTAGGGTCCAGTTATGAGACTTGCTCTGTTTTTCCAACTGGGAAAGTATATGGAGGGAAGGAGCGAGTGTAACTTCTTTCTTAAGGCTAGTCTGAGCTTCAGAGCTAATGAGAAGCTCCCTGCCTGTTGCTGAGCCTGACTGCAGACAGGATGTTCTGTTTCCCATGTCTCTGTCTTGTTCCTGAGGCTTTGCTTAAGCTGCAGGTAAATCCCTGGGCCTAAGAGGCATTCAGTCCAAATCCCACCACAGTGTCAGCTTATTTCAGGCCTTACGCTAAGAGGAGCAGTTGCTGCAGCTGCTGCTTGTTTCCAAAGGGAACTATTGACCCGATGGAAAGGAGTTACTTAAAAGTAAAGGGATGATGACACCAGGCCAGCCCAGCAGTTCTGTTTGGGCTGTGTCTTGTCTCCAGTAGAGGCCTTAAGCAGGAGTCTGGCAAAGAACGGTTTTCCTTAATGTCCTCCCACCTTTTAACTGTTTCCAGTGCAGGAGACTTTAAGAAACAGATGTGGTTGCTTCAGGAGGTTGCTTTTACATGAGCTTTAAGGTCTGCTACTGTAATAGCTTTTGTGCTGGTAGTAGCCAAGTCGTGGTGCTGTTTGGCAGTGTAACTGAGGGGAAGTTTCTTCTCATCCAGGTGAGCTGGACTAGTGTTGAAGGGTGTATTTACAGCTGGGACTGTGCCTATAAAGCATCTCTGTACACTCCAGTTATGGTGCATTGTCTCATATTGTTCAGATAAAATTCCCTTTGATGAAGCTGAACCACACATTGCGGTCCAAAATCATGTCCAGTGCATCCCACCAAGGGTTATCCATCCAAAGTGCCCAGCCAGTGTTTGGATGATACCTGAAACTCTGGACAGTAGCTTATCAGCATCAACCGCTTTCTGGACAAGCAGTGCATTGGGCAGCACCCACTGGTGTGCATGTAGTGTGAAAGCCCTTGCCAGTGAAGTGAAGAATCCTTGCCAGTGCATTTATCTATGCAAGGATGGCATCTGGAGTACTGAAAACACTCTGAAGACTTGAGCTGTTCATTTGTGCATCCCAAGCTCTTGTATTTCAGCAGTGCCCTCGGAGGGAGGTAGTCCTGGAATCTCCACACCCAATGGACTCCCCTGTGTGAGTTTGTTGTCAGGTTTACAGGCAGCAGCACCAAGCACTGCTGAGCTCTTCCGTCCTCATCTGCCAGGCAGGTCTGAAGCTGCTTCCCTCCTGGGCAGGACCGAGCCAGGAAGGGAGCAGAGGCAGGCGGGGAGGTGGAACATGTGCTTTTTGCAGGCCTTTCCTGTTCTGCAGGATATCCTGAGGCCCCTGTAACCAGAGGGATGACACGAGCCAACTGCTCTGCAGGAGCTTGGAGCACTTGCAGCTCATGTGGCTGGTGGCTGGTAAAGGCTGCTCCTTCCTGCTCATCCAGGGTACTCTTCTGTCCTGGACTGCATCCCTTCCACCCCCCCTGCCAGCACAGCTTGCCTGCAAGCACCCACTTTGTTCTCACAGCTCTCTTGTTGGTGGATTGACTGGCCTGTCTCTGGGCCATGAAGCACAAGGAACTGAGCAGGCTCTTTGCTGACTCCTCTGACAGCTGAGGCTGTTCACGACCCTGCATGGTACAGCCTTAGTTACAGGACTGCATCCTGATCCAGCACCACCTGGTCTGAGATCTTCCTTGCAGGGCATCTACAGCCACATCCTCTGCTCTTGCAAACATTGTTCCAGAATGGCTCAGTCTGCAGTTCTCCAAGCACCGAGGGAAGAGTTAACGTGAGGACATTCCAGGCTTCACCACCACCTTCAGACTCTGAAACCCTCTGTTTCTGTTGCTAATGCTTCTGTGCAAGAGGAAGCTAAAACACCTGAAGAATTAATCATTGTTTGAAGTCTTCACGAGAATCTGTCTTCTGCTAGGAGATGGTTTGCATTCTGTGGCTGCTGAAATGTTACAGCAGGAAAAGCTGGAGGAGGAGGGAGAGGTGCCTTTTTTTGAGCATATAAAGCAAAGAATAATTAGTACAAATAACAAATGCTGCAGCAGTGACTCACTGAGTGACTCAGAGGAAGTCATTCCCTCAGTCCTGGGCTGGGGCACAGCACTGGAGTTTAATTTCTGACCCTTGTGCATGCTGCCATTCGCTGGCTTGCGGTGTGATTGAAGGGGTTTTAAACCAGTGTTTCCATTGAGTGAGCCCCAGGGCGTGCTGGGGCTGCAGCAGCTTTTGGGAATGCCTCTGGAGGAGGCAGCTTCCTGCACTCTCCATGGCTCCACAGCAGGCTCCAGTGGCCACTTGCTGGATCCATCCCAGAGGCAGAGTCCCACCTTGATGGGCTCAATCAGGGGGTCTTAGTCTGCACTTCACACCAGCCTCCCATGCAGTGACGCTGGCATTAAGCTTGGACTACTCTTCACTAAAAGTCCACTTGTCCTTGGGCTTTCTTTCCTGCCTCGCCTTGCCTTGTACTCACTGGCTCTTAAATTCCCTTCTCCTTGGACCCAGGCTCTCATCAGGATGCATCTGTGGAGCCTCAGGGGCTCCTGGCAGTGCCAGTCTGCAGGGATGGTGAGGCGGAGTGAAGTGGGAATTCCTCTGCATACTGTGCTGGCTCCCATTATTTGATGCTCTTGGATTCAGCAGGAATAGCCCTGCTCTGTGTGGAAAGGGGAAAGAGACCCGTGTGGAGGTGAACAGTTTGCTGATTCCCAAAGGATGCAGCTTAGGAAGATTTTGTGGTGTGTTGTAATAGGAGTTCTTGAGCGTTTCAATGAATGCTTAGGGAAAAGGATCACGAGAGGTTACTTGAGAGCCTTTGCTGGTGGTGGAGGGCCTCAGAGGTGAGCAGCGTTGTGAAGCCTCTTGCTCTGTGTCTCCTTGCTCCCTGCAGGACGGCCATACCGTGGAAAACCCAGTGACATGTGGGCTTTGGGAGTGGTGCTCTTCACCATGCTCTATGGCCAGTTCCCCTTCTACGACAGCATACCTCAGGAGCTCTTCCGCAAAATCAAGGCTGCCGAGTACAACATCCCTGAGTGAGTACAGCCTGGTCCCTGTGCAGGAGGTGCTCTGGGACAGCCAGAGCTGGTGGGGGCTTCACGCAAAGCCCCTGAGGGTCACAGCAGTGATGAGAACAGACTGCATGCAGTAGACACCAAGGAGCCTGGGACGTCTCGTGCAATGGTGAGGAAGGCGCTGGGTGGTGCAGGGAGAGGGAATCAAGCTCCTGGTTAATTCTGGGATCTGTTGGTCAGAGTGATGGAGGCTGTTTTACCTGTGCTCTCAGCATGTCCATGCTCCTGCTGCCTCTGCCGCTGTCGGGCTCTCAGGCTCCTCATGGGTTCTGTCTTGCAGGGATGGACGGGTCTCAGAAAACACTGTGTGCTTGATCCGAAAGCTGCTGGTCTTGGATCCGCAGCAGCGTCTGACAGCTTCTGAAGTGCTGGATTCCCTCAGCTCCATCATAGCATCCTGGTATGTGCTAGAGCAGAGAGACAGGAACATGGTGTCTCTGGCCACAGGCGGTGTTATTCCAGCTGTGGCCAGCAGACTGCTGCCAAGAGGACACCAGAGGAGAGGCTGTGAGAACTGCAGAGGAACTCTTTAGATCTTGTGTCTCAGCCCCTGGCTGTACAAAATGCTTGCCATTGTGACCAAGGCTGGAGTCTGTAAAGCAGGAGCACTACAGAGAAGGGCTGGGGTACAGGAGCCCTTTGGTGCTGGGCCCCCCTTTGCTCCCCAGATCTGATTTTTTAAAGGAAGTGCAATGGGCAGGGATAACTTCCATATAGAAACATGCAGCCAAATACACACGCTTCCTGCAAGTAATTAGTACTGTGTTCTCTGCTAAGTAAAAGCAAGCATGAGGTATCCAGAGTGGAAGAGCAGGAGATGCCATTGCAGGTGGGAACACTACACATGCAGCAGCAGATGCTTTTGAGGGTAAATCTGACTCCAGGACTGGCATGGACCAACCGGGATGAGATCCCAGTAGCACGCTCCAGCATAAACCAATCCTGGTGGTGTTTGCTTGGTGCAGCTCTCCCTTGTCAGCCCTGTGACCTTCTGTCTGCTGCTCAGCATGCCCAGGCAAGGTTCTTGCGCTGCCTGTTGAGTCAGCAGGTGAGGTCTGTGATTTCTGGAGCTGTGGCTGTTTTCTCTCCTACCTATGCAGGAGTTCGAGTTCCACATCCTGTTTAAAACAAAGCAGTAAAGGGGAGTGGGGGGCAGTCCTAGGGCAGTACCAGCAGTAGCTGGTGTGGCAGCCAGGCAGGGCTGTGCCACACTCTGGTGTCCAGCTATGGGGCAGCCAGGAGGGATTGCCCTGGCTGGGGTGCTGGGTTCCATACTCTATGTCCCTGACACTGTGCTCTCCCCCCAGGCAGTCAATGTCCTCGCTGAGTGGCCCTTTGCAAGTGGTGCCAGACATCGACGACCAAGTGGCTAACCCAGAAAACCCTCAAGAGGTAGGTTTTCCTCTTTCCCTTTCCATGGAACTGCTTTTCCGTGCCAAGTCTGTCTGTAATGGCAAGAGGTGGCAGCACCGTGTGGCCCCTGAGCTGTGGTGAGGGGGTGAGGACCCAGATGTGACTGCTGCTCTGTGGGGCAGCCGAGTCCAGCACCACCTTGTGCACTGGAAGGAAAGGCTCATGCTGCTGGGGCCAGAGTCACATCCGTGCTGCCTGGCAGCGAGCTCGCTGGCACCAGCGCTGGTTGAGGGGCAGTTTGCTCCTCTGCAAGCAGCACTCACTCCCTCACACACAGCTGAGAGCTCGCATGTGCAGGGAGAGCTGGGAAGAGGCAGCAGGGTTGGCTCAGGCTCCCTGGTGAGCTCTGAGATGGGAGCAAACATCCTGCTTTACTGCCAGCATGTTCTCTGCTGGAAGGGACAGCTCTGGTGACCTCACTGCCTGGGGACAGCCGTGGAGGAGCTTTTGCCTCTGATGCTGCAGGGTTGCCACCAGCAATCCCTCCGCTGGGCTTGGGGGGATGCGAGCGCTGGGGTCAGGCAGCTGCAGCCTCTGTATGGCCGGCAGGATTGGGATGAGCTGTTCCCAAACCTCTGCTCCTGGTGGCACTACTGACTGTGGGTGAGGCAGCAGGTCCTGTTCCTGCATTAGCACTCCAGTTGTCCTCAGGGCCACCGGAGGGGAGTTGTGGGCCCGTTGCTGTGGCTCTGACGGTGGCTCTCTGCAGGTGAAGGTGACGGAGGAGTGCTCGCAGTACGAGTTTGAGAACTACATGAGGCAGCAGCTGCTCTTGGCTGAGGAGAAGAACACACTGCATGAGGCCAAGAGCTTCCTCCAGAAGCGGCAGTTTGGGAACATCCCCCCAGTGCGACGCCTGGGCCACGATGCTCAGCCCATGAACCCTTTGGACGCGGCGATCCTGGCCCAGAGGTACCTTCGGAAGTAGCTTCCTGCCCATCCGAGAGCACAAGCACCATCCTGCAGACTGCCTTTCACGTCGCCTACTACAGCTCAACAGCAATACCCGTGTCCCGTGATGGAGAGTAATGTAGCAATTCTTCTGAGCTCTGTTCAGGGACACTCACACTCACTCTGGAGGGAGAAGACTCTTGGGAAAAGCTAGTTTTGGAAGCAGCAACCTCTTGGCATCTTCTGGAATCTGTTTTTTAAATCGACGCCTAGATGACTAATCTGCTTTTAATCATGACTGTAATCTACCTCTCTTGTCTTTTTAACCATGCTGTTCTCTGGATCGAGCAAAGCCTGTGGGAAAGGAGAAGACGACCGAGGGTGAAGCTGGTTTGCCGGCCCCTGTCGCGGCTCCGTGGCGCGGAGAGTCGGCGCGGTGGCGTTCGCTCCCAATGGTTTGAATAAGCTCACATTTACCGGGGTTTCTCGAGAGGAAGAGCTCCTTGAAACCTCCCCTCCCCTTCATCTGCATCAAATCTCCCTCCTGTCCCCATCGTGCCACCTGCCTCAGCCGGGTTGTCTGACCCCGCACCACGCCAAGGCCTTCGTGTTCCCTGGTGTCACCAGGGCTGCCTCGGGCACGAGGCAGAGATCGGCTCCTGTCCTCAGAGGTTCCCCAGGACTTGGCCGGCTGTGGCCCCTTTCCCCCTTTCACTGATTCTTTAGTTTCATAAGGATTATCTGATTTAATCTTATTTTTCAGTAGCTTACCTAAGGTGCAGTTAAAATTGCATTAATTCTGATTTAGCGTTTTCACACTTCAGTTGTGGTACAGATATAATATATGAGTTATAATGTGAAAAGGCTTCCCAAAATAATCTGCCTAGAATTAGGAAGGGGCTGGCTGAAGTCTCTGCTGTATTTGTTGCCCAGCTCATCTTGCCATCCCAGCCTCACCCCGCACGGCGCTGAGGCGGGGGAAGGATGTCCCAGTTTGTCACCTGCTGCCACTGGGAGAGCGTGGGCCTGTGCTGAGAACAGGAGCGATTGTTTCTGAGCCTCATTCTGTGAACTGGATGCCTGTCTTGCCAGACAAACTGTTCTCACACAGAGGCCCTCGCAGTGCCCAGCCAGGGCTCCTTGCTCAAGGCAGCGCTTCCCTGCCTGCTCCCAGCTCCAGCATCACCCCCAGCACCAGGATCTGGGTGAGCAGTGGGGGGGGGAGGAAGCTGCTTTGGCCTCGGCTGTGGGGCTGACCCTGCTCTGTGGGGCCAGCCCCACCAGGGAGCGAGTAGCAGATCTCTTTGTAGCGTGTTGTTGCCTTCTCTTGCCCCGGGCTGGTGATGGGGACTGTGTCTAAGCCTGGGCCAGCTGCAGGTGTCCTTGTGGGGATAGAGGGATTGACCTGAACCCCCTTGGCAGCATCGGGCATTACATCCTGCCTGCGCCCTGGCCGGAGCCACGCGGCAGCGGGCGGGCAGGGACTCGTGAACACTAATACAGACTCCACCAGTGGCCCCAGCCCCGGCCAGCTGAGCCAGTAGCCTCAAGTCTTAGCCTTATTTATTGTACCCATGGGTCTGGCCCAGCACACCCCAATGGGTGCCCATCGCCCCCCCTGTGCCACCAGCAGCAGCGCAGGGACTCCCCCCTTGGGGTCCTGCTCTCTCCAATCTGGTTTCTCCCATCCCGCTCCCACCTCTGGTGTTCTTGTTGGGTTTTCCCCCAGAGTTAAAGCAATATTGGGGCTCTGCAGGGCTCAACCATGCCCAGTGTTCCTGCGCACCGGTAACTCGCGTGTATTGAACTGGAAGAGGGGAGGCAGGAGGGGCTGGGGGGGTGGAGGGGCCGCGGGGGGGGCGGAGCCTGTTGTAAGAGTTAAAAAAAGAGAAAGAAAAAAAAAAATCGAGGAAAAGCTCTTTGTATAAAGCCGTTATTTTTGTACAACATCGACCCGACCCCTGCATGGCGGCAATAAAACTTCAGACCGGAGCCCTGAGCGCCCGTGGGGACCGGGGCGGGGGGACTGGGGTGTAGGGGATGCAGCAGCGCAGTTCAGAGGGGGCCCATGGGGACTGGGGTGTAGGGGATGCAGCAGCGCAGTTCAGAGGGGGCCCATGGGGACCGGAGGGGGGGAACTGGGGTGTAGGGGATGCAGCAGCGCAGTTCAGAGGGGGCCCATGGGGACCGGGGTGGGGACTGGGGTGTAGGGGATGCAGCAGCGCAGTTCAGAGGGGGCCCATGGGGACCTTTGCTTGGCCATGGGGCTGAACCCAGCATCACCACTGGGACACGGCCCCACCAGCTCGGCTGCGTCCAAGGCTGACAGGAGTGGGGTAGAGCCCTTGCCCTCTGCTGCTCCAACGCGGTGAAGGCTCCGGTGGCCCCGGGATGCTGCCGCCCTCCTGGGCTGCCCCACAGCAGCACCAGCGCGGCCGTACAAGACCTCCAAGGCCGGGTCCAGCCCGGGCACCGCTGCCGGTCCCGCACCTCCCTGCGCTGCGGGGGCCGGGCCGGGTTTGGCGCTTCCCAGCCGGGGCGGCTCCGAGCGCGGTGCCCCGGGGGAGCGGGACGCTCCCGGCTCCCGGCCCCGCGCAGCCGGCCCGGGGCTGCCATTGGCTCCGGCGGGGAGCGCTGACCGCCAGCGGCCTCCGAACCATTTCCTGTTGCTGCGGCGTTAACGCGGAGCAGACCCCGCTCCCTCTCCGCTCTCCGCAGCGCGCTCCGGTGAGTACCGGCCCCGGCGAGGGGCGCATGGGGCGGCCCGAGGGGTCCCGGCGCCACGGGGGCCACCTCCGGGTGCCCCGGCTCTGCCCTGACCCTTGCTCGGGGCGCTCCAGGGCTGGGGTGGGGAACGCGGGGTCCGGGGCGGAGGGCGCAGGGCTCGGGATGCGGGGATGGGGGCTTGGGGAGCGCGGGGCTCGGGATGCAGGGATGGGGGCTTGGGGAGCGCAGGGCTCGGGGCTGAGCGCTCTGGGGCTGTGCCCACGGCCACATCCCGGGGTGATCCCATTGCAGGGGTCCGGAGCAGGCTCCAGGGGGGATCCCGGCGCTCTCCTGCCCAGCTCCGGCCGCCTGCCCCCGGGTTCCCTCGCACCCTGTGCCAGCCACAGCCCCGGACCCCCCCGGCCCGTGGCCAAGGGCACCCCATGGCCCTAGGGCCAGCTCTGCCCTTAGAGGGGCTCTGGGGGATCCCCACCGGGGGGCTCTGCCCCTCCAGCCCCAGAGCAGGGCTCCGCGGGCCCCATTGCAGGGGCTGGAGGCGAAACCGCCCCATGGGGGGGGCACCCGGAGCCCCTGGGGGTGCCGCTGCTGGACCCTGACGGCCCGGCTGGGAGCGGCCCCGCGGCTGGGCCCGGCGCTGCTGCTGTGTCAGCCCCTGCCCTGCGCCCCTCCAGCAGCGGTCCTGGGAGCTGAGCTCGGGCCGGGCCCGGCTGCGGCTGCTCCAGCTCCTGCCCTGCCCCGCGCCATGGGGAGCCCCCAGTGCACTGCGAGGGGAGCGATGGGCACCGGGGGATGCGCTGGGACCCCGAGAGCTCCGCCCCGCGGCCCAGCCCTGAGCCCTGTGCCCATGGGCAGGGGATGCGGATCCGAGCGTCCTGGAGGAGCCACGTCCGTCCCGGCCCCGCAGGAAGGCCGAGGGCAGCGGGGTGGGATGGCTCCGGTTTGGCACCGCTGGGGCGCAGCCTTGGATGGAGCAGCCTGGACCCGGCACCATCCCCTGGGTGATGCCAAGCGGGGTCCCCTGGGGCATGGTCACCCCCTGGCATGGGCCTGAGCGGGACAAGGAACTCGGGGGGTCCCCAGCAGCCCCCGCTCAGCCCCTGTGTCCGCAGATGCCGAGCAAGAGCCATCCCCTGAGAGCCTGAGAGCCCGGGACAGGATGGAGAGCCGCCGGCGGGACATGGAGCTGCTGAGCAACAGCATGGCCGCGTACGCACACATCCGAGGTGAGCCCGGCCCAGCGCGGACACGTCCTGGGGGGCACTGGGGCCATCGTGGACCAGTTCCACATCCCCTCTGCTCTCCCCACAGCCAACCCCGAGAGCTTCGGGCTCTACTTTGTGCTGGGCGTCTGCTTCGGGCTGGTGCTGACCCTGTGCCTGCTGGTGCTGCGCCTGTCCTGCGGGCCCCCCCCGCGCCGCCCCAGGCACCCCAGCGATGAGGACGAGGATGAGGATGAGGATGAAGACGAGGATGAGGAGGAGGAGGACACCGTTGACCGCGCAGCGTCCGAGTCGCTGCTGCCGGTGACCGAGATCCCGCTGGAGCCCCACGGCCCCGGTGATGGAGCTGCGGCCATCAACGTGTTCACATCTGCGGAGGAGCTGGAGCAGGCGCAGCGGCTGGAGGAGCGGGAGCGCATCATCCGCGAGATCTGGCGCAACGGGCAGCCCGACCTGCTGGGCACCGGCACCGGCACCGGCACCCTGGGCCGCGTCCGCTACTACTGAGCCCGGGAGTCACCCAGGAGGGTGAGGAGGGGCCGCTCCCTGCTGGACCCCCCATGCACTTTGAGCCATTGGTACGACTGCGGGCACCGGGACCTACGGGACAGGGACCAGGACCAGGACAAGGACAGGGCCATCGCTGGCCGTCCCCATGGGTCACATCCGGCTGTTCCCATGTAAGCTTTGGGGGTCCTGCCCCACAAACATGGTGCTGTTCTACCCCCACCCCCCCACCCCGGGGCTCAGTGTGGTGGTGCTGGGGGGGGGGGGGTTCAGCCGCCGCTTTCCCAAGCCGAAGCCTTTCCCGTGACCCCGCTCAACCGATCCGGATCCTTTCCGGCACCGCCCTGGGCCGGACCCTGCCGGATGCTCCCCCCCCCCCCCCAGGGATGTGGGGCTGCTCCCCGCGGGGCTGGGTCACTTCCTGCCCCCTGCTCCCGGCGCGATCCCAGCCCCGCGGGGGCCCCGCTGCCCCCTCCCCAGCCCCCTGTATAAATAGCTCCTTCCCAGGCCGGTCCCGCCAGGATCCAGATGTTTTCCAGATGTTCTCCCAGCCCCACGCCGGTGGCTGGAGGCCAGGATGCGATGGGGCTGGGATGGGAAATGGTGCGGGAGGAGGAGGAGGAAGAGAAGGCGCTGCCCAGCCTGACGGGACCCGTGGGCCATGGTGGGATCTTTGTGCTCTGATGGCTGTCCCGTGCCTGGGGACCCCAGCCCAGCTCTGCCCACCCCACAGGGACCCGGCAGCGCACAGCAGAGCCCCTCTGGGGGTACCCAAACCCGTTTATTCCAGACCCCATCCCAGTGCCGCTGTCCGGGCCGCAGGAGGCGGTGCTGGGCTGCGGGGGGAGCATCCTGCCGGGCACAGCCCCAGCCCCAGCCCCGCAGCCCCCCCCCGCCGCGCTCAGCAGGGCAGCGCCTTCCGCACCCGCTCGATCTCTGCCTGCGGGGAGATGCTGTGAGCAGCGGGGGGGGCACCGGGGGCCCTGCACGGGGCAGCCCCGCACCGGGACTCACCTGCAGCGCCCGGCGCTCGGCCCGCTCCTGCCCCAGCTCCAGCCTCAGGTCCTGCAGGTCCCGCCTGCAGCGCAGGGGGGGGGGCTCAGGGTGCTGCTGAACCATGGGGACCCCCCCTGGCCCCCCCCCGGCCCCACTCACAGGTGCTGCACCCGCATCAGGTCCACCAGGATGTGCAGGGACCGCACCTCCGCCTTCAGGTCCCCCAGGGCCACCGGGCACGGAGCCACCGGCACCTCCGGGCTCCACGGTGGGGCCGGGGCCGGCGCCTGCCCCGCGCCGCTGAGCGGTGGCCCCGGGGGGTGCTCCCCAACACAGGGACCCCCCGGGCTGAGGCTGGGAGGCCGCTGGCCCGGCACCCGCGGGCGGGTGGCTGTGGGGTGGCTGAGCCGGGCTGTGGTGACCGGCACAGCGTTGAAGCAGTCAGCATCTGCCAAAGAGGTGGCAAAGGGATGGCAAAGGGATGGAAAAGAGGTACCAAAGCGACGCCAAAGGGATGGCAAAGAGATGGCAAAGAGATGGCAAAGGGATGGCAAAGAGATGGCAAAGAGCTGAAAAAGAGATGGCAAAGAGGTACCAAAGAGATGCCAAAGGGATGCCAAAGAGGTGGCAAAGATCTCAGTGCCTGGTGTTGTTGGCACAAGGCATGGCCCCGCGTGGCTGCAGCTCCTACCTGGATCACCGGCTCTGCCCCGCTCTGTGTCTGAGGCGCTGGGCTGGGGACCACCAGGCCTGGGGACAGCAGAGGCGGTGAAGTGGCCCAGAATGGACCAAGCGGGGATGTTCTGCATCAGCTCCGCCCCGGTGCTGGGGGCATCACTGCAGCTCCGATGCCCCGGAGCCCCCGTGTGAGTCTTACTTGCTTGTCACTGGGGGGACTGGTTTGGCCTTGCCAGGGACGGGGGGAGCAGGAGCCATCCTCTTGCTATGGGGCTGCTTGGCCGGCTCCATCCTCAGCGGTGCTGGGAGCTCTGGGGCAGAGAAGCAGGAGCAGGGCTGGGGCCGGGGCCGGGGCCGAGCAGCACAGGCGGTGAGAGCGGGGCAGGAAGCGCTTCCTGCCGGGGAACCGCAGCCATGGCCATGGCCCTGCACCGGGACCTGCCCAGAGCAATGGGGCTCCTGTCCTGGGCATGGCCCATCCCATTCCCATCACCATCCCCATCCCCATCCCCATTCCCATCACCATTCCCATTCCCATCGCCATTCCCATTCCCATCGCCATCCCCATTCCCATCCCCATCCCCATTCCCATCACCATTCCCATTCCCATCGCCATTCCCATTCCCATCGCCATCCCCATTCCCATCCCCATTCCCATCCCCATCCCCATTCCCATCCCCATCCCCATTCCCATTCCCATCCCCATTCCCATTCCCATCCCATTCCCATTCCCATCCCATCCCCATTCCCATCCCCATCCCCATCCCCATTCCCATTCCCATCCCCATTCCCATTCCCATCCCCATCCCCATTCCCATCCCCATTCCCATCCCCATCCCCATTCCCATCCCCATCCCCATTCCCATTCCCATCCCCATTCCCATTCCCATCCCCATTCCCATTCCCATCCCCATTCCCATCCCCATCCCCATTCCCATCCCCATCCCCATTCCCATTCCCATCCCCATTCCCATCCCCATCCCATTCCCATCCCTATCCCCATTCCCATCCCCATCCCCATTCCCATCCCCATTCCCATTCCCATCCCCATTCCCATCCCCATCCCCATTCCCATCCCCATCCCCATTCCCATTCCCATCCCCATTCCCATTCCCATCGCCATTCCCATTCCCATCGCCATCCCCATTCCCATCCCCATCCCCATCCCCATCCCCATCCCATTCCCATTCCCATCCCCATCCCCATTCCCATCCCCATTCCCATCCCCATCCCCATTCCCATCCCCATCCCCCCATTCCCATTCCATCCCATTCCCATTCCCATCCCCATTCCCATTCCCATCCCCATCCATCCCATCCCCATCCCCATCCCCATTCCCATCCCCATTCCCATTCCCATCCCCATTCCCATTCCCATTTCCATCCCCATCCCCATTCCCATCCCCATCCCCATCCCCATTCTATCTCCATTTCCATCCCCATTCCCATTCCCATCCCCATTCCCATTCCCATCCCCATCCCCATCCCCATTCCCATTCCCATCCCCATTCCATCCATCCCCATCCCCATTCCCATCCCCATCCCCATTCCCATCCCCATTCCCATCCCCATCCCCATCCCCATTCCCATCCCCATCCCCATCCCATCCCCATCCCCATTCCCACATTCCCATTCCCATCCCTATCCCCATCCCCATTCCCATCCCCATTCATCCCCATTCCCATTCCCATTCATTCCCATTCCCATCCCCATTCCCATCCTATCCCCATCCCATTCCCATTCCCATCCCCATTCCCATCTCATTCATTCCCATTCATTCCGATCCCATCCCATTCCCATTCATTCCCATTCCCATCCCATCCCCATCCTATTCCCATTCCAATTCTATCCCCATTCCCATCCCATTCATTCCCATCCCCATTCCCATCCACCCAATTCCCATTCCCATTCATTCCCATCCCCTCCCCATCCCCATTCCCATCCCATCCCCCATCCCCATCCCATCCCCATCCCCATTCCCATCCCCATTCCCATCCCCATCCCCATTCCCATCCCCATCCCCATTCCCATCCCATCCCATCCCCATCCCCATCCCCATCCCCATTCCCATCCCCATTCCCATCCCCATCCCCATCCCCATTCCCATCCCCATCCCCATCCCCATTCCCATCCCCATCCCCATCCCCATCCCATCCCCATCCCCATTCCCATCCCCATTCCCATCCCCATCCCCATCCCCATTCCCATCCCCATCCCCATCCCCATTCCCATCCCCATCCCCATTCCCATCCCCATCCCCATCCCCATCCCCATCCCCATCCCCATCCCCATCCCCATTCCCATCGCCATCCCCATTCCCATCCCCATTCCCATCGCCATTCCCATTCCCATCCCCATCACCATCCCCATTCCCATTCCCATCCCCATCGCCATTCCTCCTTCCTGCCCTGGCCCAGGACTCACCCGGATGCTCCCCCTCCTCGTCCTTTGCTCTCTTCCAGGCTGCAGGGAGAAAGGGGCTCAGGTGCTGCAGGAAGGACCCTTGTTACAGCCCCTCTCGGGGCCACCCCCCAGACGTGGGCTCCATCCCTGGCTCGCCCCTTCCCTGCTGGGGAAGGAGGCACCCACAGGCAGGACCAGTGGAGCACAAGGTCCTGTGGTGCTCCTGGGCTCATGGCTCCCTCCATGGCCGTAGCGATGCTCAGTGGTACCCAACCAGCCCCATGGCGGCTCTGCCCCATCATCACCCCAGCACCGTGTGCCCAGGAACAGCCGCCCCTCCTGCCAGCCCCACACCCAGCCCCATGGCAGCCCCACTGTGGTCGTGTTTCCTCTGTGTGTGGCGGAGCAGGCGGCTGCAAACCTCCCCCGGAGCACCAGCAGCACGGCACGGGCAGGATGCTGTCCCTATGGCGCAGCAGCATCCCTCCCTCTGCCACCGAGCCTTGAGGTCCCACCAGGATGGAGCCCTCTGGCAGAGAATATGGGGCATCCAACCACAGGTATGTGCCCATGAACCATCCTGTCCCTGTGATGGGCCACGCTGTCCCCAGTGCCACCAGCATCCCTGATGCTCTCTGGTCCCTGCCGCCACCAGCAGGGCCCTCACTGTGGCAGCCTCTCAGGCCCCAAAACTCCCAGTGGGTTTTGTCCTCCCAAAGAGACGGCTGCAGCCATGGGGGATGAGGGCAGGGATGAGGGCACCCGGCCCCAGGGGTGCAGGGAGCTGCTCCGCAGGCCCCAGGGCTCCATCGCTCTCAAAGCGCGAGGTTGGTGGTACCCAGAGCTGCCCTTGGGCACAGCCCAGGACTGTGCGGCCCCACACTGCTGCTGCCCTGGGCTGGGGACTGAGCGCAGGACCCCGGCTCCATCCTACCTGCTGGTGCGGGGCTGCCCCCGAGGCCGAGCACCGTGGTGCTGTGCCCGGCTCCCCCGGCTGCTGCGGCCCCGCACCACGCACGTGATGCCGGAGGAAACCGCGCTGGGAAGGAAGTCGAAGCCGAGAGCATCTCGGGGCCGGTCCACGCCGCATCCTCGCTCCCCACGGGGCTCCTCCTGCCCCCCGGCACGGCCGGCTCCTGGGCTGCCCCAACCCACCTCACACCGGGCCGTGGGGCTGCCCGCTGGGGCACTGAGGCCGCCGGGGCTGGGTGCCCAGCTTGGCCGGGCTGAACGGGCTCCGCATCCCAGGAGGGCATCAATGGCTTCAGCTGATGGAGAGGGGCTGGGTGAGGATGGGGCCGTGGCACAGCCCCACAGGCACCGGGCTTTGGCACCGTGGAGCCCACCAAGGCGCGGGCAGGGTCCATCCACACGAGTCCTGCATGGCCTTGGTGCAGCCCCCGCTTACTGTGGGCTCCAGCAGGAGCTCCATGAAGCTGCAGGGGAAGAGCCCTCTCTGGTGCCCCTGTCCCCGTGTGCCCTCCCCTCGCTCAGGACCCCAGTGACATCCCCCTGGATGCAGCTCCGGGCTGAACGCAAACAGGGCCCGGCTCTGTGCGGGAAGGGCAGGATGGAGCTCACGGGGCCCCCCCAGCCCATGGCAATGGAGCCTCCCCCAGCCCTGGCTGCAGGACGGGTGCTGAGCACTGAGCCGCGGGGCAGCACCCAGAGGCAGCTCCCGGTGCCCAGTGCTCCCCACCGCTCACACAGCGCATCCCTACCTGGGCCGTGCTCGGGAGCAGGCAGCAGGGGCAGGGCTGCGGGAGCGGAGCCGCCGGGCAGGACTCGGAGCACCCTCAGGTCTCCTCGGTGGCGAGGGGGAAGTGAAACCCCAACCGCATCCCCCGAGCGCGCCCGCGCCGCTGAGTGCCTGCGGTCGGTACCTGCGGTGCTGGTCCATGCCCAGTGCAGGCGCTCAGCACCAGCGCTCCCTTGGGTCAGGTGCGTTTGACCCCAAGGGGACCAGCACCGGGGAGCAGCACTGCTCATCCCTGGGTTCAGCCGGTCCAGCCCCAGGCACCCAGCCCCAGGCTCCTCTCCAGCTGGCTCAAGGGCTCCAATATGCTGAGGTTTAGCTTAAAGGTCTCAGAATGGACTATATAGGTCTTGCTGCTTTCATACTTACTCTCTAAATTAGAACGGGTCCGGTAAGGCAGGGTTTGTACGGAATCAACCTCTTTTAGTAACGTGGCCTTCACAGTCTAGAACCTGGGTTTGAGTGGCAGCAGCCACAAGGCTCTCAGTGACACGATGTAGTGGTGACTTGGCAGCCCGGGGGGAATGGGTGCGCTCGATGATCTTAAAGGTCTCTTCCAACCCACTTGATTCAATGACCTCACACGAAGGGGAACATGAACCATGAAGGGAAGCACGAGCCGTTACCCCACATCGCTGTCTCAACTGCTCTTGGCCAACAGCATTGACCAATGGCGGGCAGGAGCTCTTCCCTAGCACGCAGGCAGCCCCCTGCATTCACCATGGGGGCTGCAGGCTCAGCAAGGCCCATAGCTCTCAGGCAGCAAGGATCAAGCTTCCTTTGAGGGAGCAGCAATGGAAAAGCATCTGCTGCCCGGTGCCAGCAAAGGCAATGGCTGATTTACCCTAAATAGGGTTTAGTGCTGGTATAAAACCATGCACCTATAGCCATGCTCTCCACTTTCAGAGCATGGATGGAGCTGTCCTTGCTGTTCCGGGGTGATACAGTCCCTGCATGGCCTGGGCATGGGAGCTGTGGCTGTCACCTCCTCTTCCCCCCATGCAATCATCACCACAGGCTAAAAGCTCTATTAAGTGTTTGAAAGCCAGGACTAAGCTGGTTTTAGCCACTAATTTAAGAGCACAAGAGGCCAAGGGTAGAACACACACCCCAGGTGCCCAGGACAGGGTTGAGTCACCATCCCTGGAGGCATTTACCCATGTAGATGTGGCACCTATGGCCATGGTTCAGTGGTGGACAGGACACGGTTAACAGCTGGATTCAACGATCTCAAAGGTCTCTTTGAACCTCAGTAATGCCTGTGCTGTGAGGGCAGTTTTGCTGCCTGCATTCCCTGCCTGGATACCCACATGAACCAGGAATCACCTTGGGCCCTGCTCCAGGAGTCACCCCTTGCCCACGATGCTTTCTGACAGCAGGGGCTGAGCTTCCTCTTCCAGGCTACTCCCTGGCCCATTTGCTCTTGCAGGATGCTTCCAGCTCAAAGCTTCCCCTCCCAGCAGCTCGTTGGTGGCCACAGCAGGGCTGTCCAAGGCCATTTGGTTCTTGTGGCCTCACCCCTGACCACAGAAGCCACCAGGAGCCCCGGACTCAGCACACAGAACAAAGAGTTACACCTACTACTTCATTTATTGGGTTTTATTTGCATAAACAAACTGGAGGGCTTTGCTAAACAGGAACTGTTCAAGTCAAACCAAACCAAACGCTAGTTGGTGTGTGCGGGGAAAACAGCACAGCAATCCATGGGGAGGGAAGGCAGGGAGGGAGAGCGGTGCCTGCAGCACGTGCACACGCAGGGTGGGTGCATGGCCATGCCTCTCCTGCTACGAGGGACTCACCCGGCCCGAGAGCTGCTCGCAAACCCCTTCAGAGTACAGGGAAGTGGAGGATAAGAACACCACGGTCCCAGCCATCCTCAGCCAGCACAGGAGGGACTTCGGGGTTTGGCTTCTTTTTTTTTTTCGTTTTATATAAAAAGATTAATAAAAAATATTGAAAAAATTCTCATCTCCTTTTGTATTTTTAACCCAGTAGAATTCCAAAGTTTCTTAGAAAACTATGGTACCTTGGAAAGAGCACTCGAGTTCACAACCAGCTGCAAAGAGGATACACAAAATGCCTACAAGCGGTTTGGGGCTCCAGCACACACCAGGCCTAACAGTGTACACAAACAGTGGTGAGAAGTAGGGTGTCATGTTTTTTCTCTTTAAACCATGCTAATTTTGTTAACTTTCAACACAAAAGGAAAACATTTTCTTTCTTTTTTTTTAAAGGCCCTAAAACTCAACAGTTACATAAAAAAAAATGTTTAAAAAAGAACAGAAGTCATCGGAGTTTGGTCCCAAGGAGTTAACATTTAGATGTTTATTCACATGCTTCATTGTTTTCTTAGGGGTAAGAACCAAAAAGAGTTTCCAAAATTATCATTTACTTGGTGTTACTACAGAAAGGCCTAAAGGAAAGTACGGATTTAAAAAACTGAATACACAACAGGGGGAAAAAAAAAACCTTGCAGGGGTGAATCAACCCCAACCAGAGCCATTGCAATTTATAAAAGAGAACCAAAAACGTCAAGACTACCGGGGCAAGATGGGCACAAACCAAACTCCACGCTGCCTTCAAAGCCTGTTACCAAAAAAATAACCGACCATTCAATAAGGTCACAGATGAGAGAAAATCCTCTGGTCTCACCCAGTACTTGACCTTACTCAGTCCAGCAGGGAAGTCTTTGGGAAGATAAACTCCGTGAGTGGATCCGAGCATAAATGATTGGTCAGTTCTAGTCCACGCTTAAGGGAGGCTGAACTCTGGCAATGCAGTTAACATCGGGATTGTTTCCGAGCTCCTCTCCAGGGCTCTGCTCAGCACGTCAGGAGCACCCTGACAACCCAGCACCGAACCCCTTCCCTGCTGCCAGGGCTCTCGGAAACACGCGGGCCCTGCGCCTACTCAGCCGTCGTCTGCAGGTTGTCCTTTTCCTCTCTGGTTTCTGCTCCACTTTCATCGTCTTCGATTTCTCCTTCTTCTCCACTGAATTTGTCATGAGCCCACTTGGGGCTGGTGCTCGACTTCCGGAACATGAAGCGGCCTCTGCCCCGGGGGAAGGCACCTCGACCACGGCCGCGGTTCACCCACTTGTCCGCGCCTTCGCCCTCCCGGTCATCGTGCTGCACAGGAGGAAGCCAAGGAGACCAGCTCAAACAAAACACTGACTGCTCGCTGTGTGAGGGTGGGAGAACCCTGGCTGGTGACACAGAACCCTGCAGCACGGACCAGCCTCTCATCTAAAGAGAAACACTGGCTGCTCCGGGGAAGAAACACAGCAGATGAACCCATCACCACCCAGGCTCTGTGCATGGCAGCCTCTCCTTGCTGGCAGGAAGCTCTCTATAGAGTATTTAGTTTAGTATACAGTTCTGCCTTCAATAAGACTGAAGAAAAATGCAGTAAAAACCATGAAGGTTTTCTTGTTTGAAGTACAAGGCTGAAATACTGCATTATTTAATGAGAAGATTGGGGATCTCAAGAACCCCAAATCAGGAAGAGACAAAAGGAGTTTGTGTCTGTTTGAAACTACCCTTCTTTCAAAGAACACGGTCACACAGAACTCCCCCAGACTAAAGCCCCTTAGCAAGGCAGACTGCTGTCACCAGAAAGAAAAAGGAACAGTACTAACCCATCCGGGAAGGTGGACACTGGATGGGGATAAAGCCACCAAGAAACAGAGGCCATCTGCAACACAGACTAACATTTAAGCTGCATTTCCCACAACCTTGTGAAACACATGCTCTCTAACTGGCCTTTAGCATTTCACTTATGGCAAACCAGTCTACAATGAACAGAAAGAAGTCCTCTTTAGTCATCATAAGCCAGAAGCTTCTTATGAAGTGCCTCATGAAGCCTTCACCTGGTGGACTAGACAGTTTAAGGACAGCTGGCACTTCCACCTCTCAAACATTTAAGACCAGATATACCTCAAGCATACGCATGTGTTTCAGTACTAAAGACAGATACATACCAAGTAGTACTTCTTGCTCTTCGGTGTGTACTCTGGATCCCACTCCTCATCTCTGCTTCTCTTCTGGAAGTCATTATTGCCACCACTGTTGCTGTTATTGTTGCCTGAAAAGTTGCCTCTGCCCCATCCTCTCCCTCTTGCTCTGAATTGCTGCAACAGCAAAACACAAAAGAAAAGTCAAACGGTTGCAGTGGCAATGCCCTCCCACCCCCAGAGAGCTTCCAGGGCTACCAGAAGATACCTCGTCACTTCTCTACCATCCAAGAGCAACTTTAACCCATCATTAAAGTAAGAGGTCAGTATATTTTAGGGTTTTCTACATCATCTGATCACACAGTGCATCACAGTTGCTATAAAGCTGATTAAGATCATGTAGAGGCATTTCCAGAGCGCTCAGCAATTCCTAATCCACAAAAGCTTCCAGGCTTCATTTTGCTCCACACATCTTGAGTTCAACTGCCCAGACTATATTCTCAGCACCCTGGTTTGTGCTCCAGACCCAGAGCAATCATATTTGGCTCAGCATCCACAACCAGACAATGTCTTTGGGGTTTCTCCTTCATGGTATGCTTTGACTGTGAAAGAGCAAAGCACAAAAGCGACTGTTTGATCACTTTGGGAATCGATACCAGGGTGTGGGGGAGTGGAGATCACTTACAAAGGTCCCTCTAGCTCTTCCTCGTTCATTGGGACCAGGAAATTCTTTAGTCCCAAGTCGGGACTTGTCAAAGCCTGTGCTGCTTTCCTCTCTCTCCTCAGTCTCCTCAGGATATTCCTCCGCTTTGACTGAATGAGAGGACCACGAAGATGATGAACTGGATCTGGATCTCTCACGTACCCTTCGGTGCTTCCTGTTTCAGTGATAGGAAATGGAGGTGAGTGGGACACCGACAAGGTTAGTAACTCAGTTGTGTCTTGCTTGCTGTAGAACCGTTTCTTTATCACTCTCTATCAGTGCAGTGCTCTCCTTTTCCTACTCCGAAAAGGAAAAGCTACAGTAAGAGCTCAGGATCAGCTAAACCATACAGCTCTAACAGAGCCCAAGTTTTCCCCATAAAGAACTTGTTGCTTGGAAGGTGTTTACGTGATCTACTATGAGATAAAGCGTGCATCTTCAGTTTTAGTAAAACCGAACAATTAAGTGAATAGATAAGAATTAAATTAACATTAGAGCAAAGTCATTTAAATGTGGCTGTTCTCTACAACAGGAACAAGAAGGAAGTGACTCACCCATTCCAACACATGGAGCCTTCTCATTTACCTTTAACAATTATTTAGTGTTTCAGATAGCTATAATGCTATCAAGAAGACACACAGAGGGATAATTCATGCCACTGGAGAAGTTATGTCAATAGGTGCACAAATGTATGTGCACGATGTCATCTCCAACCTTAACAGCAGAAACATGAAAGGCAGAAGGAAATGGCTTAGGTTTCATACATACTTTTTCTTTGAGCCTTTGTGACTTTTCTCCGTTTTCTCAGTTGATCTTTCCCTTGAGTGACTTGAATCCCTCGAGTCCACCGATTCTCTGGATTTATCACGTTTAAGATCTCTTTCCTTATGTTTTTTACGGCGCTCAATATCAAGGCGCAGGTCAACAGGGTCATCCTTATACTTCCCTTCAGCCTACAAATGCAGGGAAGAGGGGAGTTTAATACAAAGGTTTACAGCGTCCCAGTTCAGCACCATTACTTTGCTATTGACTGCACAGACTTCTGGAGAACAGGAGTTTATCTGAGTACTAATCAATATTCCATCTTAAAATGTAAAATAATGCACTACTGGATTCTCATTTGTCAGACTGCAATTTTCCTACTGCTAAGTATTTCAACTTTCATTCTCCTCTTTAAACAGCATTAGAACAAACAGCCTGATAATAGGGAAGGGAGAAACACAAAGCTGACACTTATTGTACACCACAGCCAGTGGGAGATGAGAACTTGGAAATTCAACTGACTATGCATCAGAACTACAGCATGTGGAAAGTGTCTAACAGCCTGTGGGTGTTACTGAACAGCAGCATGCTCCCTGTCCTGCTGACAGACATCACCTAGTGGGGTGGAAGGGACTTTAAAAGCCATATCTGGAGGCAATCCTTAAGAAGCAGCTGTCTGCTGCTTGGAGACATCAAAAATCATGATTACTGATCAAAGTGTAAGAGATGGAGGCCACTGAAATGCAGCAGCCAGGTGCATGTGGGAAAACGCCAACATCCCACTGGGATGTAGCCTTTAATATATCTATCAAGATTTAGTGTGTGGCAGATGTCACCTAGAGCCCTCCTTCCCCCCTGACTGGAAGGCACCATGTGAAAAGGTGCCAAGAAGTCACCGCAGACGGAGGCATGCATTCCTCCACGCAATCCTAGCAAGTCTGCTAATGCGAGCTGACCCTGGTGTTCCACAAAGCAAAAACCAATCAGGTGTATGAAAAACACTCCACAAACAGCTTTTTCTTTAGTGTCAATTTAAAAAAGATCTGGTAACATTTGCTTCGAGTTCTGTTGAAATTCCCACTTAAGTAATGGATTAAGATAGTTTCTTTGCAAAGTGAGAGGGTGTGTTACCTGCATACACTTAAGACCAGTGGCACCTGGATGTGGTTCTGCTGATTGCACACACAAGAGCGGCAAACTGACAGTGGCTGTGGTTCTGACAAACATTTAACAGTAGCAGTGTGTCTGCAGGAAGCCTGTACAGACATTGCTATCAACAACATAGAGCCTCCAGGGTTTGCTACCTCATTCACACAATGCTAATCTCGGGAACTGTATGACTTTATATGCAACATACATCATATTAATTGTCTTGAATTAAATACAAAAGGATTAGTAATTCTCTAGCTATGAAATTTTTTTACTTACATGAGTTTCTAAACACTTTTTTGTTTAAATAAATATGTCAAATAACGCAGGAGTGAGAGCAGGCGTTTTGTTTTGGTATTTTGCTCTTCTACTTTCCCCAGGCAAAGAACTTTTATTTCTACTCTGAGAATAAAACTGCTCCCAACACGATGGATGACAGATAAGTGACAAAATCAGCAGCAGCTCCCTTATGTGGTACAGCAAACACCTATTTGGGTTTGTGAGGGCACGTCTGTTTCACGGAAGGCTGGCGAGCTGTTTGGAAACCACGTTTATAATACACTCTGCCAAGCTGATGCTCAGAGTTCAGGCCCATCAAATCCATCTCACCATCGTCCATGTCAAGCCATAAGTGTGTTTGGAAAAAAATATGAAACAAATATGAAACAAGTAAGGTTTCAGCAGGACTGGTTAAAATCTCTTCAATGTAAATATGTATGAAGGTGAATAAACAAAGGTTAAAATCCCAAACATTTCATGTGAAGCCATTTTTATGATCGTTTACAGTGAGTGCAATGGTTTAACATTCATCTATTCAGAAAAGCTAATACACTCAATTCCAAATGGTCTGGCTCTACTCAAACAAGTGCTGAATGTTAAAGTAACAGCAATCAACAGCAACGATACAGTAAGTTGTTAGAACAAAATTCATCATCTGCTTAATAGTGTATTTGGTTTAGATAAGTATTTAGTTTTACTTTCCTCTTTTTGACATGCATGTCTGTTTGAAAACATGGTTGGAAATATTGCATGTATACAATTGATTTAATCATACTTACAAGCAGAAAAATATCACAAAAAGTTTCTTCTCTCATCATGGGCACTTGTTCCAAAAATCCTCTCTTTTTTTCTCTCAAGCTCACCTCAATTGACTTTGGGGTCATTTACCATAGTCTAACCACTTCACAAAGGTTGTTGATACATTTTTATTAAAAATTAACCCTTTGTAGTTCATTTTTAGAATTATGCCCATCCTTAAAAGAAAAACACAAACTTAAGTAGAGAGTAATTTAAACAAAAACAACACTGTTAAGTTCATGCCCAATGCACTCATTTTGTTGAATTAAACTAGTCAGAGTAACAGTTCACCTTGAAGCCAGGATCTCGGGAGCTTTTCGATTCCTCTTGAGAGAATCCATGTTTTCTAAAAGTACTGGGAGATATATCTATCCTCCTAAAATGTAAAGAAAGTACACAGATATAATCTTGATCACAGGAAGAATCTGAAGCTTTTAAAGCAAATGGCATTTAAACCAGACCAGTGTTTCCAGAGGTACATGAAACTGCCCATATTTTTCCCTTTTCCCCCTGAAGCTCGTTACATACTTGAATTATTCTGGAATTATTCCAGAGTTTAAGAAAACAAAATCTGAAATGCCCCCAAAATGTTAAGACCGCACCAACCTGTGGATTTCAGGGCTCTTTTTGTTTTTAGCTGCATCTTGTTCCATTCCTTTCTTTAGATATTTGGTAAAGCGTTCATTCAGTGTCATTCCTGAAGACCCAAAGTGATGCTCTGTTGGGGGTTTGAGTGAACAACGCCAAAATATTAGTCCCATTTTGGTAAAAAGACAAAGCACATTGGTCCTACAGCTTGGTTAAACTCAAGGCAGGTAACATGAAGCACTGCTGAGGAGCTCTAACTAACGTTGCTGGCAAATCTCAGTCTCGGAATTAACCATTTCCTTGACTCACAATTTCACTAGAATACACAGATTTTAAGTCATAGCCTCTCTGAACATTGCTCAGGTAAAACCAAGAACGCCTCTTCAGAAGAAAATTGTACCATCAGGCTGCTATTCTCATCTATGGCATATCTGCTGGAAAACAACTCTTTGAGCATTAACTAGAGTGCACAAAACTCATTCATTTGAACAAAGGAGGAGCAAACGTTCAGCTGAGGTCACACGGACTTCTCACCTACCTCTTACATGATGGACTATAGTCACTATATGCTGAGCAAACAGTTCAGAAAGACTTCGCTGAGACTGAGCAGACTGAATATGATGGAAAATCGAACGGAATTCCTGCTCTTTTTTGTTGCTGTGCACAAGGTCACGACACAGCTTGCGTTCCTGAGCCAATATGCCACTTGGACTAGAAAAAGAACAGACCACATGAAATACAAGAACAGGGTAAAAGGGAAGCAGTGTAAGATGATTAATGTTCCCCAAGTTGGAAGCTGACTGCATTACTTTATGTTGTCTTATGAAGGCATCTCAGGCCTTAAAACAGCACGTGCAGGACTTATTTAAACATCTCTAAAATACACTGGTCTGGGTTACTGGGATAATTCAGGTCACTTGTTACTCTGTATGGAGTGCAGGTATGAACCCCTGACATCCTGGGAAACACTTCATGAATTCTAGATTTACCTCTAACATCCCATCTAACATTCCTGTCTTAAGATTTCTTGAAGCAATGCTAAAGTGTGTCTCAGAGTTTCAGTGTTCAGAGTTTCATGGAGAATGCGAGCAGCTAAACACACTCCAGAGAATCAAATACCAGTGAAGCAGCACTGTATCTTTAGTGTACCACTAAGCTTCTAGCAGCAAGAAGACACCGAGTACCTAACTCTTCCCTGAACCTGACACAGAAGCATTTACATTCTGAAACAATCCTACATCTAGTTGTAGAAGACATGAGGAAAAGTTCCTTAACCCCCATGCTATACTTTCACCATCTGCAAACTGGTAACCCCTGTAACCTCCCACCACAAAATAAAAGGGTCACACAAGTAGTATAATGCCAGAAAAAAATTCATCTCTATCTCTAAAACGTGTAAATTGTGACACAATATTATTCAGCCTCCCTCACACTTGGCAAGTCTATGAGGATCTCAGGAAGAGAAACAGGAAAACACCACTATTTGTATTTGTACTTACCGTGCAAGGTCTTCATCAAAGGAATCCATTCGAATATTGACCTGGGCCTCACGGGTAATAGAAAAGGAAGATTTGCTAGGAGTTAGCCCTTCTACTTTGGTGCCTGGTTTCTCCTTCACCTCAGAAGTCTTCCTTGGTGGGGGGGAAGAACTTTTCTCCTGGCTTGATTTGTAAGTGGTCACTCTGAAATTCTTCTCAGGAACAAAGCCCCTGTGACCTGGTTCAGCTCTCTTGGATGCTGGTCTCTCCTCTTTCTTTGATCTTTCTGAATAGCTTTCCTCCTCCATTTCATCAGGTTTCCTCTGCTTCTCTTTTCCCGGTGGCAAGAACACCACACCTTCCCATTTTCCTGATCTCTCCTCCTCTTGATTTTTACTTGAAGTTGCTACAACTTTAGACATAAATTTGGGCTCTTCCTCAAATTCCGAATCTTTTCGGCCCTTTGCCTTGTCTTTCTTTTCCTGATCATCTGTTTCCTCTTTGCCATAATGGCCTTCCTTGTGGAACTCTGGGGCCTTTGGCTTGTCAAAGTCATCCCGGAACTTGTAACGCTTGGGCGACTGGCTGCCGCGATATCCCTTCTCCGAGTCGGCTTTGGATGTATAGGAGTCAGATTTTGCCTTTCCATCTGCTGATCCCACCTCAGAGAAATTCCCTTTTTCTTTATTTTTTTCTTTTTCAACATTTGTTACTTTCTGTTCTTTGTCTTTCCCATTCTCAGGCTTCTGCTCTTCCAGATACCTGTTCATAAAACAGACATTTAAGTAGATCTCTTATTAAAAAAATCAAAGGGTTCACTCATCAGTTGAAAGCAGTCAAATTTTAGAGCACACCAAGCTACGCATGGACAGAAAGCTGTGTCTAGGCCCTAAAACAGTTAAAAGATAACACAGATTTACACATCCTGGATTTAGACTTCTAGTTCTCAATAAATTCAGCAAATGTAGAAGAAAATGGATATGCAGAACTGGTGAGATGAGGCTTAAGAACAAATAACAAACAGCTTACCCACAGAGTCATTTGAAGGAAAATAGTAACATCTTACCCACTCGGTTTATTTACTTACAAACCTGGTTCAGGAGAACAACACATCAAAACTTTCAAACTGGGCTGTTCTGCTTTAAACAACACACTGGAAATAAAAGCCTCAAAAGCTACTTCAAATTTTGGATGCAAGTTTCATAGGTAAGCTAAATATTTCCTGACAGACTGTAAATACAAATAAAAGCAAAAAGGTTAACAGAGGAGAATATTTATTCTGCTTGGAGAAGACAAAACACTTGTAGTGAGAACAGGTTAAAGCATCAGAACTGTGTTTTAAAGCATTCATGAAGAAACAGAAGTAAAGCCCTCAGACATTAGTTCAGTGCTTTGGAAAGTCCAAACAAGAGTTACAGCTTTTTCCCCCCCTTTCTTTTTCAGTTTCAGGCATCTTTGATATAGAATCAGTTCAAAATAACTTTAAAAATAGTAAAAGCTTTAAAAGCACTTGTGAATGTTACCACACCTTTTAAAACAAAGTGCTACACATGAATCTGCAGTGGACTCACCAGGCGAACCAACATGGGAAGCTTCCCTATGGAAAGATGCCTTAAATTTAATAATAAGCTTGGTGCTTTAACCCACAACCACAGGCACAAACACTGCAACTACAAATGCCTTAGGTTGCTTTGCACCAGGACATGCAGTGAGATTTCATTACATTTTTTCTACTTTATAGTATCTAATGCAATTCAAGAATGCAATACTATAAGTGGAAAGTAACACAGAAATGCAAGCTTCCAGTAGGCACTGTTAAATTGCCAGAAAACCTCATCCAGCACATCTTCAAGTGTTCACAAGCTACGAACACTTTAGCAACTATCCAGGACACAAAAGTAACTCCAGCTTTCTACAACACAGGGCAAGGTCTGTATTTCATTCTGTAATTCAGACAATACGAGGGCCAAAGAGCTGGCAGCCTGCTAGGATGGCACCCTGCACACCCTGGGGCTCATTCCAGCTGGGGCCTGCACAGGGAGAACCCCTGCAGTGCTCCTGGAGAGTGTCTACACAGAACCATCACAGCACAACACACACATCACTTGCCTTTTTGAGAAGGCTCCTCCTCCAGGAGCTGTGGCTTCCTCCTTCTGAGATGTACTGTACATGGAACTGACTGGTGTTGGACTTTTACACACAGGACTCTTCCTTGTTGGGCTCAAACCTGCCGAGCCGTGGTCAAAGGGACTCTGATGTGAGCCTGCCTGAAAGGAGGTGCTGCTGCTGCTGCTCTGTAAAGCAGAGCTCATCTGGGATGGGTTGGATAGTGGAGGGCTCGACTTTTGCAATGGACTCGGCCGAGGAGAACGCCGCCTCACCACAACTGACTGGAGAGGGCTTTTTAGGGCAGGACTGCGTTCCCTTGGGCTAAGCTCAGACACAGAAGCTCTCGATGCTGAACTTGTACCATAGGTGGTCATCTCCTGCCATGGTTTCGATCCCTCAGATGCCTTGACATCTTGAGCCACTGCTCCTGAAAACGGCTGCTCCTTAGACTCATCTCCTTGATTATCTCCTGCAGGCTGAGATGCCCGGTTATCCTTGGAAGATGACTTCTTCTCCTTTCCGGATTTACGCTTAGAAGACTCCACCCGGCTGTGGTTTGAGGAAGACCGGGAAGAGGAAGACCTCCTGGACCGGTCAGAAGATGACTTATCAGAATTCCTAGACCGACTTCTAGACCTGGGCGAAGGAGACCTTCTCTTGGGGGAACGAGAGCGCGACCTCCCTCTACGAGGGCTATACGCTTGGCGGTAGTTTTGCCAGTTTGACCGGTAATTCCCATATCCTCCTCGATTATACTGGCCCCAGGGATAAAACCCTCGATTTCGGCCTCGAAAATAATATGGTCTCCTGTAGCCTCTATTATGACCTCGGAAATCCCGGCTCTGATAGACTCTCGGATGGTTCCTCTCCCTGTTATGAGATGGAGAATACGATCTTGAACGGGACCTAGAACTGAGAAAAAGAAAAAAATTACACAAATACTTCAAGGTTTCTTCTTCTGTCACAACTTTTTATTGGAAGTTTTCTAGAAAAGTAGCTGAAAATGGCATTTCTCAAGGTTTAACACTGATTTCTTTGGTTTGGCCTCGTCCAGTTGAGGTATTACACTTTGCCCTCAATAAACTGCTGTGGAAATAACTCATATCTGTGATACCACCAAACAAACATTCAGGATCACTGCAGAGACACGATAACTACTGCTTAGCTTTTCTAGGATGAACATGGCTGTCAACCAGCTTCAGGAAAAAGTGACATGTCGCAAACTTCCAGCCCTTTACAGCTCAAAGTCAAGGTTATACCCCGCCATAGACCTCTCTCTTTCTTTGTGGATGTCATGCTATGAGACATGATCCAAGATCATCTTCTTGTGTCCCAAGTTCTCATGTGCTTTTGAAATCCCGACAATCAGGATGAAATCCCACTTCTTTGCCAGGTGAGTTATATAAATCACAACATCTCAACATGAGGGGAGCAGCACTGCAGCAAACAGCACACTGCTCTATAGTTTTAAGATTCAAAAGGTGCAGCCCTTGCCCCAGTTCAGAAGCTGGAACTCCAAAGAAGCGGGACAGCAGATGGATGCACTCATTTCCAGGCTGAGGCCGCAAGATGGCACTGCTCAGTGTCCCACTCCTCGCCTGGGCCCCAAACGAGAACACTCGGAGAACAAAACTGAACCCAAAACCTGTGAGAATGGAGTCAAGTGGCAAAACGTCAAAGGCTCATCGTTCCAGTAGTCCCTCCCATGCAAGTTTCAGAGCTGCAGCTGTGGGACTGTTTCAAAGCCCCACTGTAGCTCAGGATTAAATGCCAGCCTTACAGCATTTCACAGCTGTTGGAAAAACAAACCTGCTGAAAGCCTGAGATTTTAGCAAACTTGCCTTGGTAAAACAGAGGAAGTGCCCAAACTAGTACAGTTAAACAGAGAAAGACATTTTTCCAAATGGAATCTGAGTAACTAATATTCACTGAAACTATTCCCACTTTCCATTTTCACTTCTTGGTCTCATTGGTCATACTCCAACACATGTGTATTGGCTCTTTCACAGATTGGCAATGCACAACTCACTGCTGCCCCCTCTCTGCTCACACCCCAAACCCCCATAATGTGAGGGAATACAACGCTGCTGTTAGAATTCCTACCAGATGAGCATAAATGCATGCAGAGAGGGACTTCAGTTCTGTGTTTATTTCTTCCACCTATCAAATACACATTACAGTTTAGCAGGAAGCTGTCTGTTCACACCGTAGTTATTGCTAGCAAATAGCTTAATGGTAATTTTAACATATGCTTCATCCTCTGCTTGAAACAACCAAACGAGCTAAACAACCTCTCTGAGACACTTCATCGCTTGAGCAACAATAAGAAGGAAAAGCATAGAGGCAGATGGGAAAACAACTGTAATGAGCCCCAGTCAAAAGCACTAACACCACACACACTCCTATTTTCAGACAACTGCTGCATTTGTGATCAATTACCAGCAAGGGACGCGTTGAACACAGCTTCCCAAATCTGCTCTATGGTTTTAGAGAGGCTGCAGCAGGGAGATTTCACTCTGCCAGCCACAGCCAACGCACACAGCTCCAGTTGTGAAGCACCCCCGATCTTACAACAGGTAAAATAAAGCCAGAAAGAAAACAAGAAATATTAGGCAGCCTCCAACATGGCAATACGACTTAGAACAAACAGCAAACCTACCAAAGGAAGAGTCAAACATGTTGTGGTGTATGCTGAAGTACATGATAATGGACTTTCATGCCAAAATACCACAAGACCTACCTCAGAAGATATCCTAACGCCATACAGGGTGACTTGTCTGTACTAACCCCTTCCATTTTGGTTCTTATTTACAAAGCACAAGTGGATTCAGGAGCAGCACAGAGGAAACAATCACGCTTGCACAGGGTGCCCTTGTTTTCAACTGTCAAAGCTCCTTCACAGCTAGGCAGATAGTCCCAAATGACTGTGTCTCTTCCAGCATTCCAGCTTCCTTCTGCAAGAACTTGGTTTGACTCAAGACTCCGCCTCTAATTCACTTTTGCCATGTCCTTCTCCCTCCAACTTTACATTTATTACAGCCTCTGCGTTTTAAACCTCTCTTTAACTGTTAGCAGTTGCATGTGTTTGCAGTCTAATGATATGTGTTATTAATTAAAGATCAGTGAGAGAGCAGCTGAACACCATCATACCCAGTCCAACTGGAACGCCTCTGCCAGCTACATAATGCTTAGCCAAAAGAAAAGGAAAACACAGATATCCTGATATCCAGAGAAGACATGAGCCTGATCAGAAGCAATTCCAGGAGGCAAGAACAACTATTACAAACATTAATGAGTTCTCCAAATCAACTGTAGTGAAATTTATCTACTTTATCCATCCAGAACAATCACAGCTGTCAAGTAACAGCAGTATATTAAATGGACATTAAAACTCATTTCAATCAGGTTTTAGAAAGAGGGGGAAAACACGCAATAGCTGCAAAGTCTGGGATCAATTACATTAACAGATTAAAAAAAAACAGCCAGAGATGTTTAACACCACAAAGGAGCATGTTTTGCTATGGACCTTCCCAACTCTTCTTGCCTACTTTGACTGTGAAACACGCACTTAAACTCTCTCACAGCACTAAAGCAAACATCTGATCAAAAGCAAAATCTCAAAATGATCTCAAGCCAGGATAAAAAGCTAGCATTTTCTGCACTGTGTCCTGTTTTGGTAATTTCAGACATCATCATTAGCCATGAATACTTTTAACACAGGCAACTGGAGCTCAGAGATTGTCTCTACTTCGCATTAGGGAAAGCCCAACAGGCTATCCTGTTACACACAGCAGTTCAGAACTGCAGAAGAATGTGGGAAGAAACCCACATGCGTTTTGACATAGGCTTCTATTAATACTTTTGAGGAGAAACAAAGTACAGAAGTCTTCTCTAAGGGACCAGTCTAAAAAGGTCTTTAACAACACCCCCCCCCCAACAAAATGAACTATATTAACCAAACCGCCTTCTGATTAAACTGTGCATTAGAGTATCTCTTCGTATTTACATCAGGGAAAAAGTTATTGCTCACTAAAAACACGCTACAGAGACCAGATTAAGAGCTCAAAAGAAGTATCTTAACAATTCATTCTCCTAGCTCATTGAAAACACTTCAGAACAGTACAGGCTGGCAGGAAACAGGATGCTATCTGTCCTAGAATCTAATTAAAGCCTTTCCCTGGGAAAGAATTAAGTGACAAACCATCTGAACAGGACAGAAAGGAACAGCAGTTACACCCTTTGGCTCCAGAGCTGCAGGCACTTACCTAAGTCTGCGCTTTCTTGACCGTGAGACAGAACGAGAACGGGAGCGGGATTTGGAGAAGGATCGTGAGCGGGATCTCGATCCCGACCTCGAACGGGAAGAGCGGGATCCAGATTTGGACTTGTTAGTTTTAGACATCTTTGCAAGCACCCGTCAGCTGTACCTGAATGAGAAAGTACGTGAAAAATGAAGTCAGATTTGAGGGGACATGGGCAGCCTGACCAACTCCAGAGTGAAATGAAACTGGGTAAGGCTGGAAATGCAAATGGTGGAAGTGGCTGCCTAAATAACAGATGAATGGTGTCAGGCTCAGAATAGAAGGAGTACTTCAGGAGGAAATCTGCAAAAGGATAACAGGCTTTCACCTCAGAGTAATTACAAACACAAGTGCTAGAGTTGACAGCAGCAAGTTAGTGCAAAGCCCAGGAACAGGCAGAGGCCATGCTGCTCACTCAAGCAGGAACACCTTTACACAGACAACCCATTTCATTTCAGTCGCATCACTGTCAAGAGAGCAAAGCTGGGTTAAAGAACAGTGAGGAAACCCAAAGGCTTACCGTCAAAAAACTAAAAACCCAACCCCAAAGTCTTCTATAATTTTTCAGGAGGGAATCATGAACACAAATGATAATCCAAGATTCAGGAATATAATCCTGTTTGCACAGGTCTGCCTCGCACTGAACACCCAGGTTAAACCCTGGCCGTACGTGTCCTGTCTGCCTGTGGAGTTTATGCAGTTGCTATGATCAGTTACCAGCGTGTATCATCCAGGGAGGAGTTCTGTTGCAGCCAAAATAATTCAGAGGTCCTTCCAAGTATTCACAGACACCAAAGAGATTACGCTGTAGCATTAAATGACTCTGAATAGCTATAATTATGAGTTCAGGCACGTGTCCAGGTAAAGAGACCCTTAAAAGATGTTTCAGGGAATAGTTTGAGCATGTAATTGCTTCAGTTACATCCTACCTGATCTGCTTGCTTGTAAACATCGACTTTGTATCAATGAGCAAGACTTCCTAATGGATTTTCATTACCTTACCTCCAGGGGAAGAAAAATATTGAGGACTACTAAGAGGGGGCTGTGTGTGTCACAGGGTTTACATCCAAAGGCTGGTACAAATATTGATGAAATCCAAGCTGCTTCATTCTTTCAGCCAGATTTTCCTGTCAGCATCCAAAAGAATGAAATTCATAACACAGTTCTGCAGCTTCTGACAGGGACCTTCCCAAGCCTTCCCCTTCCTGCTACCAACAACCTCCTTCTGCAACCTCCCCACCCAGCAGTGGCTGTGGAAGCAAACCCAGCATGCTGGAGATGGGCTGGGAGAGCTGTAGAGCCTCTTCCACCCAGCCATTACAGTGCTTCTCAGCCGTAGTTAATAGCTGACCTACTTCAGCACTGGATCCAGCCACAAACAAAATTCCTTACAATTTAAAGGTTGATCATGCTGCAAAATGTGCTCCAGCTTTGGAATCCCTGTTGGTTCCAGTATAATTCTTCAGCTTAAATGGAAAATGCTTTGGGCACTGATTTGGCAAGGAGGAAGGGACTCCACTTCTTAGATTAAGGTCCCAGACTCCTTCCTACTTCCATTCCTAGAAATGGGATGTTTCAGTAGTGGGTTGGGAAAGGGACTAAGTGGTAGTTTGAGTCGTGTCTGGATCGTCGAGTATTCCATACTAGCAGTTGGTATCAAGATCTCTGCAACTCCAGAGATAGCTGCTGAAGCTGAGAAGAAAATCTGCTCTCTTTACACAATAGCTAAGTTTCATTCACAGTATCAGAAGCAATTTATTTAGCATTTAACAGAATTCCTTCAGAATTTCTATAAGAAATTACATTTTCTCTCCCTCAAACTTAGTAAAATATTGCATAACTGCAAGTAATTTGGGCAGAGGAAAAAAACACCAGTGTACTGGTAGATCTACAGTTCTGCTTCTATCTGTGCATGTTCAACAGCAAAGCTGTAGTTGCTGTACGGGTCCAGAGATCAGGCACTGGAAGTTACTTTAATTACTTATTTCAATGGCTAAAAAGCATCTCAAACAATGAAATGAACAAAGAGGCATTTTGACAGCAAACTGCCAAAACCTGAGCATCTGTGAAACAAATGCTCTGCAATGCTCATCGCCCACACTCCAAAAGAGGGAAAAAACTTGAGACTGTTCTGGGAATTAGGTAAAGGTTTGTAAAGACAAGATTTGCATTAACTCAGCATTGCATAAAGGTTACAATAAACTTTGCAGCAGAAGTGACTAATGAATCCAGAAAGAAAAAAGGAACTCTATTAGGACAATTTAATCCTTTTTTTTTCCAACTACTGATTACAATAGAGACATTGAGGTAAAGAACCCCATCAAGTTCTGCTGCTGCTGCATCCATTTTAAGCACATTCCAGTGGCCTGACTTGCAACGTCTTCACTTTGAGTCACTCCCCAAAGCCAAATGACATATATGGTGAGCAAATATTCCAGCTACTGCCAGGGCACTTTCAGGAACAGAAACAGGAAGCTGGCTTTTATTATAAAGACCATGTTACATGCTCCTGTTCTTCCCTTTCACTGTCCTAAGGTGCTCTATCAATCCAACTGAAGTAGTTTAATATATTCCACACTAGAAAGCATGCAGGGGAAGAAATATGTGTCCTAACGGTTGTTCTACTAGGAAAAAATAAATTGCACCAGGGATTAAAATCAAACGCATGGTCCTTTTTCCAGGGAAAGAATGGATGAAAGGATCTGAATTGCCTCTCTGAGTCAGTATTATTGATACATTAAAACCAAGGGGAGGAAAAAAGCACTATATTCTGTAAAGATATTAGAAATATACCCCATAAACTGTGTAATTTCAGGACAGCTCTCTACTGAGAACCCTGGAATTCAAGAACAAACTACACTGCAACGTACTATCATCTGTAATACCTTTATTGACACTGTACTGCTTGGAATACCTTACTAGACTAATACGGTTAGAGCTTTCACCACAGCTCCCCTCTGCTGCATCTCTCTGAAATAACTCATTTTTCCAAGAAAAATCACATTCTCAGAGCTGACCGAGCAGTGCAAAAGTGGCCACAACTCTCAGTAAATCCTGAGAAGGCCCAAAAAAAGACTTTAAAGTATCACTTGCTTTGGGCTGTTGAAGTCTTTGTATTTTACTTTGATCCCCAGCACTTACTGGCCAAACACGAGTTTGGAATGTGTGACGTGGGCCAAAAGCTCTCTTGTCATGGAAGGGTTTATCTTTGTCAATATTTTTAAAGCTGATTCATTCCTACCAGCTGAGGTAACTCCTACTAGAATAGAAACCGAGTTGCTATGCTCTATCAGCACTCAAAAGGTTAAACAAACTCAATGTTGGAGTCATTTCAGCTCCCCTGTGTCAACACTGCACTTGTAAAGGCACTGTGATACACATCTAGTTGTTCTAAGAATTAATGACTGACTCGGATAAAACGTGTTCAGCTGGTAAGCAGAAAAAGCCCAACTGTGCTGAAAGAATCTGTTCTTATGAAACACCCCAAGGAGTGCTCTGATTTTAAATGCAGCAAACTCTGAAAGCAATGGCAGCTGTGATCACCTCCCCATTTAGATCTTCCACCCACCATGATGCTGTGCCCCCAGATCACAACTGCATCCAGCCCCACAGAGCTCACAGGGGACGATGCTGCTTTTTGAAACTCTAGAAAGTAGAATGTGTCTGCTCCTGAGTGGGGACTGCAGCAGAAGCATTCACAGTGCTACAGAGACTTGTGGTTAGCAGTCTCCTCTGCTAGAAGTCGTATTTTCTTCCTGCCTACAGCTACACAACTGCCTTCCCATGACACCGACTCCACCTCTACCTTAGGAAGGACACTGGTGATCCCTGCTGCCTGATCCAGGACTCCTGGAAACACTGCCAGGAGTTTTCAGAATGGGGGCTCTTACAGTTTGTCTTTTCTGAAGTGCCACTTCCAAGCTGTCCAGTAGATCTTCCCAAGCACTGCAGTCTCACATCCCGAAATACCAGCACTGATCCTAAGTGTGTCGAGTTTAAAACTGCTGGTAAAGCACTACCCTACTGGAAACCAGACACTTGACAGCTTGTTTATCTGCCATAAAACTAGACTGTGTAACATACCTCGTAATTCAACACACACCAAGCCTGAAGAAACAATTTGTATTCCAAATTAGTTTGCTAAATGCACTCCTATGACACAGCTTTAAAAGCAGCTGCATTTACTACAAGTCAGATCTGAAACCACTGAAGCTGGTCAGTGGAGCAAAGAGTCAATCTAACAACCAGCTGGTTAGTCTGCTCAAAGTGCATTGCCAGTGCACTGAACAGCAAGACTCAAACTGGGAAACATCTCTAGATGATCTTAAGGTCCTTTCCAACCCTAACGATTCTATGATTCAACTGTTTTGAGTCCTTCTTCCAAAGATTAGGGAAAATAAAGGAAGAGGATTTCTTGAGCTATGAAAGTCTTTGACAGCAATCAGTAACTGAAGTGAATTTCACTTCTCACATTGCCACATTGCTGCTATCCCCCTTCTGATCATCAAAGACTTCCCACCCTGATCCCAAAGGCATACAAACTCTTCAAACCTCTTTCTTGTCAAGTAAAGCAGGCAACACAAGCTGAGCAGTCCTGCATGGTGTTTTACCAGCACTTCTAATAGAACCTACTTCATTCTGGAAGTTCTTGAGCTGCTTTAAAAGAACTTTTTTTTGCCATGCTACAAATGGTGCCATTCAGAGAGGGAAGACTCTTACAGAGGTGGCAATACAGTAGAGAATGAGTTCTGTTCCAGAACTAAAAGACTTTTGTCATTACAAAACTGTTGTGACTCTTTAAAATCTACAGAGAAAAAGCAATAAAGTCCTGGTTTCTAAGGATCTCATCCAAACAGGACCCATGCTGCTAATTGTAAGCAACAAAAGTCATCTAACAACTGGAGACAATGGCCAAAGTCAGCCCTCTTTGATGTTTAACAGTAACCTTTGTGGATGATTTCTGCAGATCCACTTCTACTCCTTAAAAGAACTAGAATGAAAATTAACACAGATGTCTCTCAGGATATTTCTGTCAATATGTAGTTTGAATAATTACTACCTTAGCAATAAGGCCCATGTAGAAAGTTCCCAACTTGCCAGTACAATGAATTAATCATCTACAACCTAAACTTACTCCATGCCATGACAGAGGTTACTAATGTTCTGTTTTACAAGAATACTCTTAATCCAGGTTAATCCTGTGACCCCATTCTTACAAGCCCTGCTGATAAACAAGGGGGCGTGAAATGGAGAACCAGCAGCCTGGAAGCCCCTCACAAGAAGTGTTTCCCAAAATTTGGAGTCAATTCCAAGCAGCAAAGTTTGCCTTCTCTGTTTCTAAATCCTCATGGCAATCATCACACCACTCAAAGTTGAAAATGATACAAGAGCAAATGCTCCTAGGAAGCCACCAGAATGGACTTTGCCCAGAGAACAAACTTTTCTCATGAAGCACTGCCAGGGAAGTTAATGTTTTACCTGTTTGAAGTCTCCCAACAGAACCCAACTCTGCTCCACAGCAATGAAAAGAAGTCACTGTCAAGAGTCTCTTACTGCTGGATACTTCCACAGCTACCACAGCTTCAGAAATTTATTATTCAGAATAGTTATGGAGAATTTTTATGGTCACTTTTTCCAGGAATCCCACATTATTTCACAAAGTTGATCTATTTTACCCTTATATTTACCAGCTATTTGGAAAGAGAAGCCAAAAACATTCTAGAAGTGAAGATGAGTTTCTTCTTCAGAAGAAACGGCAGGGGGGTTGGAACTAGATGATCTTAAGGTCCTTTCCAACCCTAACTATGCTATGATTCTACAATTCCAACCTGTTTAAGTCTTTTTTACACAGCAACATTAACAATCAAAAAAGAATTCAACTGATACAGGTCAACTTGCTGTATGGCCAGGATAGAAGGGATATAAGAAGGCATATTCCAAAACAGGCAGTTCTAGCACTTTTGAAGGTGTTCTTTTCCGTTGTGTCCCTACCTGCTTGAGCAGGTTCACACCTTGCACCCTGCAACAGTCAGGTTTCACCGTCTCAGCTCTGTCAGTTATGAAATCCAGAAGCAAACCTGAAATGAGAAGAAAATGCACTGAAGCATCTTTGTACATACAATGCTGTACCTGCTGCCACCCCAATCAACAGGAGTCGAGCTTCCTTAAGCTGGCACCCAGTGCTGTACCCAAAATGTCCATCGGAGCTGAAGTATTTCAACAGAGCACATACGTTGCAAAGGTTCATCACCCACTTTACCATGAATATTCATGTGCTTTTACGAAGAACAGAGGTTTTTAAATGGTTATTCAAGCTTTCACAATTTTAAGTCTACTTGTTCCTTCCTCCTCCTCCTCCCATCCCCTTTCCTGTTACATACATGCTAATTGCTATCATTACATCTGTACAGCCGTATGGAAGTTAACTTCTCTTAGCTCATTTACACAGTCTTACTGGATTTGGGACTAAGGATTTCCCCATATTGTAAAGAGAATCCACAAGCCAAGAGAAACAATTGTTTTCCTAATAAATTCATGCAACAGCATATCTCCATCTTCCAGGGGTCACCAGTCCACTGAGAGCTGTTTTGACAGGTCTGCAATTATATTTCAGTGTCCTTCCACACACTGTGAGAGGGTTGAAAGTTTTAAAAGAGAAAACAACAGTAAACACTCATAACCCACTTCATGTTATTAAACCTCTGCCCTAAGAGCAAGAATGTCATTTACTCTGGTTCAACCATAATATAAACTTCTTTAAAGCCATTGATTTCTTCATTTACTTCACTGAAGAAGGTTTCAAGGCTACCTGAAGATCAGACTTTCTCTGGAATGGTGATTTCATCCTATTCTCACCCAAGATGTTTAGTGTGCTCTAAATCACACTTACCAACCTTTGGAAATAGCCAAATAAAGAACACCATACCACAGATTTGATTTTGCTGTTGTCGCATCCATCCATCTAAACCTCCACAGAAGAGAGAAATCCTGTCTTTTACTTTAACAAGACCCTTGACATTCAGCCTTTCACAATGGCTACCAGGAAAACGAAACTGCCAGAACCATCACGTCCTGCTTTGTGGTAAAACACTTGGTGTTTGTATGGGTTTTTTTGCCTCTTCCCCAAGCGCCAACATTCCCACTGCACACAGGTGACATCCAGATAAACAGCCGAATTCTCTTTTGTAGAACAATTCCCTTCCCATGTTTAGAGCACCACTACAAAAAATAGTGACCCAAGACAACTGACAACAAGCAAGAAGAGCTAACCTTTCTTCCAGATATGGAAAGAAAAGCAGGAAACGTGCTCAACGCTCTCTGATGGAGCAGATATAGTCCAAGAGTTTCTTATTCCAGAACACTGTAAAGAACATTTCTATATGCCAAGACTTGGGTCAAATGCAGAACATTTCTAGTTTTCACAATTCCTTTTTCCAGGAATTTGTTTCCTGTTTCCAGCTGGCCTCTGTTGCTCTGTGACTGTCTCTTTCCATCTTCCACTCCTTTGCTTGAAGTCTTTCAAGCAGGACTCACCATTATTTCAGACCTCTCAGATGTTAAAGCAGAACAGAACCACCACAGCCATGTACAGAAAAGCCACCTCACAGAACGTTACAGCTGAAATCACTCCATCTCCCGCATGTCATTGAGGACTGCTACACCACGTAACACCACAACTTGCCAGCTTAGAGACAAACACGAGAGGTGTCCCTGCCACAAGTAGCAGTTGATTTGTCTTCTTATCTGCCTATAATACCCTGAGCATAAACACTAGGAACATTTGGAAACAAGTTGAATGGTCTATGTGCATACCTCAGAAGCGTGTCCAGCACTGTGAAACCTATTACAGTAGTTTCACTTTATCAGTGTTTATAAACCAGACACTTGCAAATATTAACTGGTTTTGTAAAAGCATCTCTAGAAAGCTCTGTGTAATTGTGGTAGGAAAACAACAATGATCTTGTTTCTTTCTGGCCAGCATTTAATGAAACTGCTGCAGTTTGTTTTGCTGTAAGACCCAAAGCAAACAAGATAGCACCTTGGTACAGAAAACATTCCTGCCTGGGCACCGTGGCACCCATTTAGAGCTGCATGCATTTAAGCATGCGGTTTGGGAGAAGCAGCCCAAGTGCTGCAGTATTTGCTCCTGACAGCTTTCATTATCAGGGAACAAAACTATTAATTCTCCTTCAGCTGGCCCTACACTTCCTAATCCTGAGCTCCAAAACCCAAACAAGATTAGTTCATTCTAAAGAAGAGGAAAAAAAAATCCCACAGAACATCTTACGCTGCATAATGAGGCAGCAGCGACCACTACAAAAGTACACTTAGAAAAAAGTCACAGAAATACATAGTAGAAACAGTTTCTTTCCCACAAAACAAGCTTTTCAATGCTTGGATAAGACACCTAAAAGCCTTACATCAATTTAAACAGTGGCAGCCTTTGTCCTATCAAAAAACTGCCTCCTTACAACTTAAACCCTCAGAAGATAAAAATTATTTATTGCTGATTCACCCTACATCCCGATTCATACTTGACAAAGATATCAAAGATACTGCAAAATGGTGACTCAAACAGAAGTGTCAGCACTGTGCTCTTTTAGAAAGCACTGAAAGTAAGAAAATTAGCTACTGATAAACTTAAACAGTAGAAATCGCCTAAACCCAGGCCTAGCAGAGGCAGGAAATCAAAAGCACTTCAAAACCCAGTCCTATATGTGATCTTGTAACTCACAACCCTGTAAAAGTCACTGTTATTGTGCATTTTAATTCTCCTGCCCCCCAGAGCAGTAGAGGAGGTAAGTGACACCTGTAATATTATCAGTAGTATAATAGTTAAGATACAATAACAAACTATAGGAACTAAAACATGTCAAATAAAACACAAGAGTAACTGTCAGCATCTTCTAAAACTAATTCCAGCACGATCTGGTTTGAGTAACTCCCTACAGCACAGGAGTTGCACTGTGCCCAGCACCAAACTGCTACCTGAACACCAAACACCAGCAATATGGCAAAAATGGTTAAAAAAGCCAAATGTGAACTACTGGGCTCATGTGAAGAATACATGCAATAAGTCTGATCTAACATAGTACTTCCTCTTGCACTCAGGCTTAATAATACATTTAGCAAGAGCAGCCAGACACTGGTGTCAGATCAGAGCGAGCTTTGTTTTCTAGACATGGATCTGGCAAAGAACAGAAGAGCTGTTCTTTCTCCTCCTGCAGAAGGATATTTCTCATAGCACACATGAATTCCCTGGAAGGAACTGCAGCACTTACACCTGTTGAGGCTGCCACTGGCAGCTCATGCAGAGCAAGCCCCAAAACCTGCCTCGCTCCAACCCACCCATGGTGAGCACAAAGGCACACGGCACCTGCTCTCCCCTTGCAGGTCCCAGACCTATTGCCTTTATCAAAAAGCAAATCAAATAACCACAAATTCCTACATTAGCTTAAAAGTTGAAAAGGGTATTCCTACATCCGTGAAGTTTGACAACCACTGATACACTGCAGTGAACTAAAGCTCCTGCTCTAAAAGAGCAGCCCAGGAGCATGACAAACGAACCTTGCCATGCATGACAGCTATGTAAAATCTATTTCCCAACAAGCTTTGGACTGCAGCTGCACGAGGGTTTACTGTGAACTTACTTGAAGTGGAAAAAAAGTTGCTGCTATCTACATGTCAGAGCACACTGGGAGTGCCAGCAGCAACGCAGAGAGTACAAAAAGCACATGGTGGCTTTGCAAGTTTAGAAATCAAAGTCTAATCATCGCACTTTCTACTGAATACTTCCTTTTCAAGCTATTTTCTGGTGCAAGATCAAACCTGAATGGTCTTGATAGCAACAGAGCACTTCAGAGGAAGAAAAAAGAGCCATCTGCATAGCTCCCCTTGCCAGCCCATTGGCTTGCAAATTAAAATGCTATTTCTACATCAAGCAGTTCAAATTTCCTTCGGGTAACAAAAACCAGAACGATTTCCCTTTCTAGATCAAGTATCCAATGTATGTTTTCAGCAGATTAAGGACACAAGTTCCACTAAAGCCTACAACTACACCTACCAACCTCCTCAACAAAACTTTTCCTGGACAACACTGCTAAAACCAAAGAAACAATTAAATAAACGCAAACCAGTGTGTTCTATTTTAACACATGCCAAACATGCCGTGGGGAAACATTCTGATTACTCTGCCACAGCAAGAGAGGTACTAACTTGTCAACAGCACTTCCAACTTCTCTCTAGTCTGTATGCCTTTAAAATTAAGATTACTTTCCTTCACACAATTAAACTAATCCCTAAAGAAGTTTAACACTGAGCTCCAGTGCTGGGTTCTGCTTAGAAGCAGGTTCTATAGAGGGGTTGGAAGACTTAGCTACAGGATCTTCCCAAAAGGACTGACTGTACAGAATGCAGTGCTCAACAATCCTTCCCAAAGTCTGGCCAGCTCTAGACACCAATTACTACTTGAATTTTGATCCTAGTTACCGGATAAAAAAGTATTTTCTGTATCTTTGAGCTTAAAATGTCTTGTGTTGACATTCAGCTTAGTGACAGGGAGCTCAGAGAATACAAATGTAAGAAAAAGCTGCTTAGAAACCTGGATGATTTTGTTACGAGTCGGGCACTTGGATCTTCTGTTAAACACAGAAGAAAAACATCCATAATAACAAGAGGAAAAAAAAACAAAAAGAAAAACCTATTTCATCACCTTTCTGCTTTCAAACCTATCCAACCTGGGAACAGAGGAAGAGAAAAATCAGATCTTTCTCCAAAGAACCCAGCAGGTTCTGCACACCAACATCTCCTTTATTACAGTGCCTGCAATGCACTTCCAAAAACATGGAAATAATGTAAAAAACAACTGAAGCTGGAGCTCTTTGGAATGTCTTCTGAAATACACAGCGTAGTTGCAGCCAAAACTGAATCTGTCCTAAAGAATTACTGCTCCTCACACATTTAACCTATGAAAAGACGAACTCCAGCAAGTTGCATTTGTAAGGTGCAAAAAGTGAAATCATTCCCATGTTTATTCTCAAGACAGTGCTTGATTTCTGTCTACCTTAACTTGAATCCTGTAACCTCAGGGGAAAATAAGGAAAATTACTTCCATAACTTGGTATAACATTAAAAGTTCTTTAAAAGCTTTTAAAATCACAGAGCTATTATAAGCACAAGCCATCAGAACAGGCTACCCCTACACTCTGCTGAGCTATGAAACAGAGGTAAGTGCCTGCATATGGAAATCCTGTATGTATGGAATAATCTTATTCAAAGTTTTCAGTGCTGTGTTCACATACCTTGAATAAGTCTCCCATCAATGATGTTTCTGAATCTGCTTTATTAGAAGCGACTGAACTCTCACCTAAGTAAAAAAAGAGAAAAACAAATTTAAGACAACCAAGATACTGGCAAATCCTCCCATTTTACAAGCATAGGGAAGCATTCTGGTTTTAGCCATTCACCCCAGCATCACTTCTCAGTAAAATAAGGCTGACAAAATTACTTAATCTAATCAGATAGTGCATGCACAGATCCTTAGCTCAGAAAACCGATCTCATCCACAGCCTTATAGGAGCAACTAACTGTGATAATCTACACAGATACAAAGGGCCTGAAATAATCAGGTACACAATGCCCACAAGATATCATGTGCGCAGCCTTCTGTGAACTTAACATCATTAATACAGAGCTTAATTCCCCTGAAAACAGGATTTTGGCTCAATACCCCCCATACCCTCAAGCCATCACCTTTTGTGCTCTCAGAGCACAGAAACACCTGGGGTTCCTTGCCAAGCTTTCCCTTCTTCCTTTCACTCAAGTGAAAGGCAGGCAGCAGCAGGGAGGACTGTGCAAACCCTGTGTTACAGCAGGGACTTTGGGGGGGTTTGTACAGCCACCTCACACTGTAAATCATGGCAGGCTAAAAATGGCTGGGTGACAAATCTGAAGATGAAATTATGAGCAGTCCCTTTGCTCTTGTATTAAAGGAGTAGTAGCTGTGAGCAGGGCTTTGCAAAGAGGCCATGCTCTCCTGCAACAGAGGACAGGGGAGAGATGTACAAAGTATTTGCATATAGGATAGGAAAAAAGGACACTGACTGAAAACTTCCTTAGGAAAGGACACACACACACACCACCACCACCACCCCCTGCCAGGCCCCCCGCAGCAGGGCTGGGTGTCACCTCTGGGTGCCAGCATGAGTCCTTCTTTTAATGGACACCAGAGCTTCCGGTTACCATGGAGTGCAACAGCGCAAACACCATTCCCAGCTGGCATGAAACGGAATCCCATGATTTTACTATTCATAGCGCTGACATGATAAAGCTAAATTAAGCAGGACCTCTTCACTTTCTCAAACCTAATAGCAGTGACTACCTCCCCTGTTTAGCCCTTGCCAATACTCTCATTTCACTGGGAAGAGGGGAAGGATATTTTCCTTTACGGCAAGAGAGACTCCGGAGCCAGGAACCAGACTGCCATCCACAAACAAAATGGCACCAACTTGTTCCCAGGCATCACTTTGACTCTAGCAGGAACAGAGGAGACAAGATGAGTTCTTGTGCTGAACCTAACGCCTTCTCCTCATCTTGGGACCCATTACAGAAACCCACACAGCCATTTTAAGCCATGCTCCCAGGGAATGTTTGCTGAACCAGAGCCTATCAGGCCAGGAACAGGGGTCAGCTCAAAGCACAAATCAGAGCTGTTATGCACAAGGTTAGACCTTGGTGCCTACCCTTCGCTGTTTACTCAGCACTGCAGGATTACCTTGCACAAGCTCCCCAGGGAGCCAGGGCAGTTTCTGCCCTCTTTCAATGCCTGGGGCCTAAATGATATGGCTAAATATACAGCAGGAATCCTGCCACACAGAAGAACTCCCTGTACCATTGAAATTCAGAGGAAACCATACGACCTAAACCCCACGTTACTGTACTGGCACATCCAGCTCAGTATACTGTAAACTTTTCCAGATATGGAAAACAGTTCAACAGCTACAGAGCTGCTTAAACTATTAAGTCTGATATGGCAAATTGTCATTTTGCAAAGACAAAGGCCAGAGAGCTAAAAAAAAAAATACAAATAATCAAGCTTCTGGCAAAATTGCACTGTTTTTTTAGGGAGCCAGTGATACAACTACGAAGGGAACACCACAGTTTCACAATTCAAAGCATCTTCAGGCTCAACCAAGTTTGAAAGGCTTCAAACTAACTTGTCATGTGTGCCCCTCCCTGGGCCCGCTAAACCACGAACAAGTAATTCATAGTGCAGAGGATATAAAACAAAACCATAAAGCAGGATCTAAACTGAAGGTAGATGTAATCATAAGGTCCCAGGCTCTACAGAGGATCCCATGTCACTAAGCCATGTGTTTTAGACAGGTCTCTGCTGTAACTGCATCAGTTTATCCTCTTATCTGCTGTTTGATTGTGTCACAAGGTCAGCCATGTGCTGAGCACCTACAAAGTGCCAGAGCAAGAGGATGAACGGCCAAATGCTCCAGGAGAAAGCACTGTCGTGCTTAAACACTCTTTTATCCCGTCTCTACAACACGCTCCCTTAAAGGCAACCTGAGAGGCTCAGCTTTGGAACATCTCTTTTCAAATGAATGCAGGTTATGCAACAGAAACCCAAGGAACAGATCTCCTCTTCAGCCGCAGCACTCCAGGGCAGCGGCCACACAAAAGGCACATTAAAAACACACCCAAAACATCACGTTGGCCATGCCACAACCACTGACATAACCACCTGCCTGTGCTCCTAGCGGGAAGGAATACTGCAAGCGCCCTTTGCAGAGAGTAATTGGATGATTTAATTGAGCTCTTAGGGATGAGCATCCTGAAAACGTCCATTTGCTGATGTGACCCTGCAGCCTCTTACAGGAGCTCTGTGCTGCCACTGCAGCAGACGCAGCAGATAAAGGCTGCTCTCTGTCAGCTGTGAGGCAACTTCTAAGGTTTTCCAAACGGTTTTACAGATTATTTCAATGACCAACTCTGTTCTTATGCCGCCGCATCTGCCACATTACGGTATACTTAAGAAATGAGTATCCCACCTCTGCCTAGTCCCAAGGAAATGCTGTTGCACACACACCACCACCCACTCCACGTCTAGGGCATCCTCACTCACTCACACACACAAGGAAACAGAAGTTAAGCTGCGCCTCCCAAAGCTGCTACGCGGCTTATTCCAAACTTACCGCGTCACCTTCTGGCACATAAATGCACCCAGAAAGTAACTCGTGAGGCAATTACAGTGACCATTACCTAGTGGACACTCTGGATTATACTTACAGAGCCTTCAAACGCATTTAACTCCCCTAAACAAGACTGAAGGAAACAAACCCTCATGAGCCTGGTGAAAAGGATTCAAGGCTCACGAGTGCCTCTGTGCCACTGCAAAGCCCATTCCACCGCCTCCCCCAGGTCCTGCCCAACTCCACTTCCACACAAGATGCAGAGTGGGAAACGCGAGTGGATGAACCCGTCCCGCTGCACCGTGCGGCGCACGGTGCTGAGCGCCGGGGCGTGCGCCCTGCGAGAACCACAGACCGCCGGGGCCCAGGGAGGACGCCGCCAGCGGACACAGCCCTGACCCCGCGACGGAAGGAAACCCTTGGGGACGGCCCGAAGGGAACGAAGAACCTCCAGGAACGGGTGCAGAGGCCTTGGCGGAGAGCGGGAACCTGCGGGAAGAGGCTGGGCCGGGAGGAGAGGGTGAGTCCCCGGGACAGGCCGCGGTGTGAGGCCCGGCCCTGCCACAAGGCCAAGCCGAGGGCGGTGCCGGGAGCGCCGCGATGGAGCAGCGCCCGGGGGGTGGGGGACACGCGGGGCCGCGCCCGGCACATGGCGGCCGCCGGGGGACGGGTGAGCAAGGTGGGCAGCGCTGAGGCCCGGGAGGAGATGGCGGGGGGGGCAAAGCGCGGCCGGGCTGTGAAGAGCTGCCGCGGAGGGCGCTCGGTGAGAGGCAGGAGAAGGGAAGAGAAGAAGAGCCCGGCGGCGGAGGGACGGGACGGCACGGGACGGGACGGGACGGGACGGGACGGGACGGGACGGGACGGGACGAACTGGGCCTACCCGTACTCACCGGGCCCCGCTCCGCCCGCGGCCTCCTCAGCAACCAGGCGCCTACCACCTCCCTCTCACGCACTTCCGCTTCGCGCCCGCCCGCCGCCCGCCCTGGAGGCTGCCGGGAGCTGTAGTCCAATGCCGGCGTTAACCGATTGTCTGGGTATACAGGCTGGACTACAACTCCCAGCGGGCACAGCGCACGGGGGTACGTCACTGCTCACTCCGCCCCTCACGCCACGCGGAGGGTGCGGCTTCCGCTGAGGTGGAAAATGGCGGCGGTGGCGACAGCGGTGCCGGAGTTGGAGGTTGTTTTTCTTCCTCCGCCCCGTCCGGTTCCCCGCTGCCATAGGGGGGTGCAGGGCGGCTGGTCCCTGCCGGGGGTTAACCGGCCCCACGCTGAGCCCGGCCACCCGCCCGCCGGCAGCGCGGTCCCCCCCCAGGACATAACGAGGCGAGGCGAGGGCAGTTGTCCACTTTATTGTTCGCAGAGGTTGTCTGGATGCATAACACTGTCACAACGGCACGGAGAGCAGCGCGGCACCGCCCGGGCCCGGTGCTGGTGCTCCGGGGGCATGCGTGGGGACATGGGCATAGGGAACAATCCCCCCCCGCCCCGCGTCATCCCCGGGCCGGGCTGAGCCTTCCTGCCTGAGCTGCGCACCCCAAACCCCCCTGGCCCACGCAGGGCCGGGCCAGGCGGCGTCCCCCGTGTGTGGCCGAGCTCTATTTACAGTATTCACATACATTGTACCCAGCAAGTTAAATAACTACATTATTACAGCACACGTCTGGGGCGGCTCCGGCGGGGGGGAGGAGGGTGTCTGATAAGGTGCATATTTAACAAATGAAACAAAACTGAAAGAGGAACAAAGAACAACGAGAACCCAGGCGGCCCCGCAGCGCCCGGGCCCCCCCCGCAGCACGGCAGGGCCGGGAGCGAGGCGGTTTCTTCTGACAACAGCCACGGGTCCGGCTGGGTGGCCCAGCGGGGACAGACCCCAGCCCCGGCCTCACAGCACCTCTGCGGGCAAAGGGGAGGTGTTGAGCCTGGGGTGGGCGCAGCACAGCCCCAGCCCCACAAGCCTCCCCTCTCTCACCTGTGACCTGGGGGGGCTTCACCACGGCCTGCTTGAGGAAGGGCTCCTTGTCACCGAAGGGGATGATGCTGCCGGGGCTGCTGCTGTGGTGGGAGAGCTCCAGCAGCTCCTTGGAGCCCTCCGGGCCCGAGAAGCCGTTCTCGTGCTTGCCGGGCTGCACGCCATTCACCAGGGCAGCCGGGGCCGCCACCTCCTTGGCTGGGGAGCTGTGGGGCAGGGGGGCTGGGGTCAGCCAGGACCCTGCTGCCCCCCCCCATCCCTTCAGGCCATCCTGTGCTCACCTTGGCTGCAGCCCTTCACCCACCAGGCCCTTCAGCCCCCCCGGGGTCCCTGCGCTCGGTGTCTCCATCTCGGGGAGCTCCTCCTGCTTTGACATGGGCCCCGCGTGCTTCTCGCGGCCTGGGGATGTCAGCAGAGCCCAGCTCAGCCATGGCCCTGGGCAGGAGCATGGCTGGGACAGGAGCAGGCACCACAAGGGGCAGCAGGGGGTGGAAGGGGCCGCGCACCTGAGGCATCATCCTGCTCGGCTGCTTTGCCATTCACCGCCTTCTTGTCCTCCTTCTTCTGCAGGGAGAGGAGAGCCGTGAGGGGCAGGGGTGGCTCGGGCCAGGAGGGCTCTGCATAGTCCCCCATGTCCTGAGGTGCATCCACACAAGGGACAAGCACCCACCTTGGCATCTGCTGCGTCGGACTTGCGCGTCCTCTTCATGATCTCCTCCAGGCGCTGCGGGGCAGAGAGGGGCTCATGCACAGCCCTCAGCAGCCAGAGCCGCGCTGGGCGCTGGGCAGGACCCCTGCAGGGACGCCCCTGCTGTGTCCCCAGCCCTCACCTTCTTCCTCTCGAGCCGCTCCTGCTCCTCGCGCTGGAAGTGCTTCTCGCGCTCCAGCCGCTGCCGCTCGGCCTCTTCGCGTGCTCTGGCCTCGGCCTCTTCCCTCTGCGGCACAGCAGGGTGGCAGGGACGGATGGGATGGGGCAGGGGCGGTGGGGACACAGTGCCCAGGCAGCTCAGCACAGCCGTGCCCCGTGTCCCCTTCCTCCACCCTGGGCGTTGAGGCAGGGAAGCCTCACACTAGCCCGAGTCACCCAAGGCTCTGACCAACCTGGCCTTGAACACTGCCAGGGATGGAGCATTCACAACCTCTCTGGGCACCCAGCGCCTCAGCACCCTCACAGTAAAGAACTTCTTCCTTATCTCCAATCTGAGCTTCCCCTGTTTCATTCTGAACCCATCACCCCTTGTCCTGTCGCTACAGTCCCTGATGAAGGGTCCCCCTCCAGCATCCTTGCAGCCCCCTTCAGACACTGGAAGCTGCTCTGAGGTCTCCATCAGCCTCTCTTCCCCAATGTTCCCAGCCTGGCTCCATATGGAGCTGTTCCAGCCCGCGCTCGCCCATCCCTGCCTTCCTCCCAATCCCACCTCTTCCTCCCCATCCCGCACCCCTCACCTGTCTCTGCAGCCGCTCCGTCTCCTCCCGCTCCGCCCGTGCTCTCTCCTGGGCCTCCCGCTCCTCCTGCAGCCGCCGCTCCTCCTCCCGCTGCCGCGCCAGGGCCTCCCTGCGCGCCTGCTCCTCGGCCGCCCGCTGCGCCCGCTCCTCCTGCAGCCGCCTGCGGGGACGGGGCCCTCAGCACAGAGCGGGGGGAGTGGGCGCAGGGGATGGGGCCAGCACCCACCTCTGCTGCTCCTCCTGCTCCCGGCGCTCCCGCTCCTCCCGCTCCCGCTGCTCCCGCGCCTGGCGCCGCTTCTCCGCCAGCAGCCGCGCAGCCTCCTCCCGGTCCGTGGTGCCGGCGGGGGCTCTGCCCGGGGGGGTGGCTGGAGCGGGGCTGGGGGCTGCAGGGGCCGGGGGGGCTGTGGGGTGCACACAGCATCAGTGCTGCCCCTGCTCCCCGCTGCCCCCCAGCCACCGGTACCCACCTGCTGCTGGCTCTGCCGGAGCCTTGGGGGGCTCGGGGAGGGCCGGGGGGGCCGGGCCCCGCTCCTCCTCCTTCCTGTCCCGCACCTTCACCTGGTTCTCCTGCTCCCCCCGCTCCTCCCGAGCCCTGGCCCGCACCTTGGGAGAGGAGTGGGTGCTGCGGGGCAGGGGCGGCTTGTGGGGAGAGCCGAGGGCCGGGCTGGGGGACGCCGGACGGGTTTTGGGGGTGGCAGGGGATGAGGGGCGGTTCTTGGGGCCGGGGCTGCGAAAGGAGCAAGAGACGGTGTTAGTGGGGCTGGGGCTGCCCCCATGGCAGCGGGGCGAGGGGCCGGTGGTGCTGGGTCCCTACCTGCTGTCGGCAGCGGGCAGGAGCCGGGGCTGTGCCGCCGGCAGCGTCTGCCGCTTCTTGAAGCTGCGCTCGCGGGACAGGGCGCTGCGCTCCTTGGCGTTCTCCCGATCCTTCTCCTTCTTCTCCTTCTTCTTCTGCTCCGGTCGGGCAGAGACAGAGACAGAGACAGAGACAGAGACAGAGACAGAGACAGAGACAGGGACAGAGACAGAGACAGCGTCAGCACCGGGTGCAAGGCCCAACCCAGAGCCAGGCCGTGCCCCATGGCCGCGCAGGGGATGGATGGATGGCACTCACCGGCGAGGCCTCGGTCCTGCGGCGCGGCGTCACATCGGGGCTGACCGTGGTCCCCTTCCGCCTGTCCCAGCAGCGGTGCTGCAGGCGGTGGTTGTGGCAGGGGCTGAGGGGGCTGGCGGAGGCCGAGCGCGGGCACACGGGCACTGGGGGCAGGAGAAACCACCGGGTCAGGGCTGGTCACCAGGCTCCCTTGTGCCGGGATCCACGTGGCCGTGGGTGCTCACCCTGCTCCTTGCCGTTCCCAGCCAGCGTCACGGCGCTGCGGCTGCGTGCGAGGAAGGACAGGGTGGGTGTCATCAGCCGGTCCACGATGCTGCTCTCCCACGGGCTGAGCTGCAGGCTCCGGTCTGTGGAAGGAGAGGAGCCGTTAGCACAGCTCGGAGCCCACAGCACCGGCCCCTGCCCGCTGCGAGGGAGCAGCCATGCGGTTGCAGCAAGGCCGGGGCGCATGCACAGCCCCCGGAGTGCCCGAAGCTCTCGGCTGCGCAGGACACGGGGCCATGCGGGCGCAGGAGTAGGGGGGTGCCTGAGCACCCACGGCACGGCGCAGCTGCGTGACAACGACGGTGTCCCCATGCCCCACGGTCACCCCAGCCACCATGCACCCGCAGCGAGCGGTACCCACGGGGTGCAACCCCACTGAGAGCAGCCCTGTCCACTCTGGCCCTCTCCTTGCTGACGTGTCCCTTCATCCTGGTGTGATCAAGCCCCCAGCACACCCTCACCCCAAGGGAGCTGTGCCAAAGTCACCAAACATGCCGCAGGAGCCGGGCCAGGCTCAGGGCACCCAACGGACAGTGGTCCCCAGCCACGATGCTGGCCCAGCAGGACACATCCACTGAGCATCACCAGCACCAAACACCTCAGGAAGCACCCACATTGACAAGACCCCTCTGCCCCTTTCCATCGCAGCCCCCGCTTAGGGGTCCTGGTGCCAGGAGGGGAGCAAACAGAGCCATGGGTGCAGCGGGACAGGACGCCAGGTCCAGCACCGGTCCAAGGAGCTGCTGCTCCCACCCGTGCGGTGCTGACAGCCCCTGGGTGCCTGTCCCTGGGCTGAGCCCCCAGTATGGGGACACTGGGAGCCGCCTGCGTCACCAGCGCCCGCAGCCGCGCGCGTCAGCTGCTCGGGCTATTTATAACCAGCCATCACCAGGCAACTCCGAAACACAACAGCAGCGCCGGCGCTGGACGCATCCCCTCGGCGCGGACGTCAGCCCCCGGCCGCTCACAAGGGCCGGGACGACCTCGCAGCACCCGACGCAGGATCGCACCCGCGGGCGACGCGGTGGCACCAGCCCCAAGGAGGGTCTGGTGACCAAGTGCAGCTGCACCTGCACCCACAGAGCTGCCCTGGGGCAGGGAGCCAGGGCTCCCGTCCCCATCCTGGTGCCCCTCGGGGTGCCAACACCTCCTCCTCCCTGCACACATCCTCAAGGAGCCTCCTCCTGCAAACAGCAAACGGCTTCTCCTCTCTCCGCGGGCACCGTGCTGCAAGGCAGGGCCTGGGGACGGGGGGACCCTGGCCTCGGGGGTCCCCAGCGCTGCGCTGGGGCAAACACAAAGGGCTCTTACTTCTACTGGGAGAGTTCCAGAGGGTGGCGGAGGATTTGGAGAGCCGCTTGTTGATTATAGAGTCGACGTGTTTGGGGAGGTTTACAGCGGACACCGAGCACCGGCTCGCACCTGGAGAAGGGAAAAGACACAAGGGCATTAAGGTCCCGGGGCTGGGGCTGGGGCTGGGCCCCCCACATGCAGCATGCACGGCCGTGCCGGGGCACCGGGGCAGGAGGATGCAGCACGGAGAGTGGGATCAGGAGATGCTGGTGTCCAGGAACACGACCCATGGCACTGGCATCCGGCATGGCGCGGTGCCCGAGCGAGCCCCAGGGCGGTCATGCTGGGATCATGCAGGGATCTCATCCTTTGGGAGCCAGGGTGGCTTCTGGGCCCTGCTGAAAGGGTGTCCCCAGGAGCAGTCCTGGGAGCTGGGAGGCCGAGGACCTCGGCAGCACCGCGCGAGTGGATTGAGGGCAGCAGGTCCAGACGCACACAGGCCAGCGCTGACACCGGTGCTGGGTCACTGGGGCAGTGCCGGCACCAGCTCCATGGGCTCCTCTGGAGAAAATGCCCCAGGCAGCTCCCTGCTGGTGCAGGTGGCAGCAGGACCCCAGTGAGGGCCAGTGCTGGAGCACATCCCAGAGAGAGCAGGCAGGGGAAGGGGTCCCCTTGCCGGACCGTGCCATGCGCTGCACCATGGACACACAGGCCTGCCCCAGAGTGTGCCACAGCCGGACACACGGCACCAGGACACGCAGCCCAGACAGGCACAACCAGAACACAGCGCCTGTACACTCAGCTTGGCCAGGTACAGCCGGGCACACAACACCTGTACACGTGGTGCTGGTACATACAGCTGGGTACACGCCTGTACACATGTGGTGCTGATACACACAGCCCGGCACATGTCTGTACACACGTGGTGCTGGTACATACAGCTGGGTACACGCCTGTACACATGTGGTGCTGATACAGCCCGGCACACATCTGTACGCATGTGCCAGTACACACAGCTGGGCACGCAACACCTGTACACATGTGATGCCGGTACATAGAGCCCGGCACACAACACCTGTACACACATGGTGCTCGTACACACAGCCCGGTACACATCTGTACACGTGGTGCCGGCACATACAGCTGGGCACGCAACACCTGTACACATGTGATGCCGGTACATAGAGCCCGGCACACAACATCTGTACACACGTGGTGCTGGTACACACAGCCCGGCACACATCTGTACACATGTGGTGCCGGCACATACAGCTGGGCACACAACACCTGTACACATGTGATGCTGGTACATATAGCCTGGCACACAACACCTGTACACATGTGATGCTGGTACATATAGCCTGGCACACAACACCTGTACACATGTGATGCTGGTACATATAGCCCAGCACGCAACACCTGTACACACGTGGTGCTGATACACACAGCCTGGCACACAACACCTGTACACACGTGGTGCTGATACACACAGCCTGGCACACAACACCTGTACACACGTGGTGCTGGTACACACAACCTGGCCAGGCAGGCACAACCAAGGCTGCCACAGCAGCCCCATGGCACAAGTGGGGCAGATCCCGCTCCCCTCTATGCCTCGCACACACCAGGCAGCACCAGCACCCACCTGCATGTCCCTGTCCCCTCGGCGGTCAAAGGAGACCTCCCCATGCCCAACCCCGGTGCCGAACCCCACAGGGTGTCCCCCAGACACCCCCCGGAAGGGCTCAGTGTCGGCTGTGGGACACTGGCTCTGCTGAGCCTCCAGCAGCCACCCCAGGGCATGGCACAGCCACGCACAGCCGGGCACAACGCAGGCACGGGCACCCCGGTGCCAGAGCTGGAGGGGCCAAGCACTGCCCCAGCCCCTGCCCAGGCAGGGAACAGGGGACCAGCTGCAGCACAGACCCCAGTGGGAGATGGCCACAGCCTCCACATCTCCACAGCTGGAGACCCGGGCAGCATGGCCACAGCATCCCCAGGCACATCCCCTCGCACACAGCAGTGACCACGCACGGCCTTCAGCTCACCCCCCCTGTGACAGCAGGGAAAAGCCAAGGGACACCAAGGGTCCCCATCAGGCCCTGGCACAGCCCAGGGTGACAGCAGCACGGCCCACAGCAGCACGGGGCTGAGCTGGGCTTTGGGGTCTCACCCTCCTTGCACAGAGCACCGCAGAGCCATGCCCAGCCGGCACAGAGCCCCGGTGCCCGCACCCAGCCCGGCACTCACCATCCTTGTGTGCAGGAGAACCGTGGTGCAGGGCTCCAGCCCAGGACCACCGCTGCTGCCGGATCTCTGCCCACGTCTTCTTGGCCGAGCGCTGGATCGCTGCCTCGTAGCGCTCCTGCCCGAGGGAGAAGGACAGGGTGAGGCCAAGGGCTTGGAGCACGGGGCTGGCACTGGCTGGAGCCTCGTGCCGTGAGGCTACCGCAGTGATGGGATGCTTGGAGGAGATGTGGAAGTGATGCCTGGCCCAGCCAGGGCACATGTGCCCAAGGAGCTGGGTACCACAGGGGCTCCGCACCATAAAGGATGCACGGAGGATGGGCACGGTGGGAAGCTGTGCCCAGGGAGCCGGGTACCACAGAGGGTTTGCACTATAAAGGATGCACAGAGGACAGGCATGGTGGGAAGCTGTGCCCAGGGAGCCGGGTACCACGGAGGCTCTGTACTATAAAGGATGCACGGAGGATGGGCACAGTGAGAAGCTGTGCCCAAGGGCCTGGGTACCGAGGAGGCTCTGCACTATAAAGGATGAAAGGAGGATGAGCACAGTGGGAAACTGTGCCCAGGGAGCCGGGTACCACGGAGACTCTGTACTATAAAGGATGCACAGAGGATGGGCACAGTGGGAGACTGTGCCCAGGGAGCCAGGTACCACAGAGGGTTTGCACTATAAAGGATGCACAGAGGACAGGCATGGTGGGAAGCTGTGCCCAAGGACCTGGGTACCAAGGAGGCTCTGCACTATAAAGGATGCACGGAGGATGGCCACGGTGGGAAGCTGTGCCCAGGGAGCCAGGTACCACAGAGGCTCAGCACCATAAAGGATGCACAGAGGATGGGCACAGTGGGAAGCTCCCAAAGCGGCTGCTGGAGCCACAGGGTGACCCCGGGGAGCGCATCCCCGTCCCCATCCCCACCGCACCCGCACTTCCCCATCCCCACCTTGTTCTTCTCCATCTTCTGCCTCTGCCGCTCCTCCAGCACCGCGCGGCGCTTCTCTGCCTTCAGCCGCTGCTCCTCCAGGCGCTTGCGGCGCTCCTCCAGCTGCTTCTCCCGCAGCAGCCTGGCCTTCTCCTCCTTCTCCAGCCACAGCGCCCGCTTGGCAGCTGCAGGATGGAGCCGTGGCGGCGGGGTCACACCGGGGGTGCAGCCCCGCTGATCCCCGCACTGGGCACCCGTGCCCATGGCGGCAGCGTGGGGCTGAGCGCTGCCTGCGCCCGGAGCACCCGGAGCACGCGGGGCAGGCGGCACCGGGGCCGGCGAGGGAGGGGTTTGGGCAAGGACAAAAGGGAGGCCGGGAGCCCGCGGAGCGAACAATGGGGGAATGAGGGTGGAAAGAGCGCGGGGACGAGGAGGCCCCATGTGCAGTGCAGGGGCCTGGCACCCCGAGCTGCTGCTGCCTGCACACAGCAGAGCTGGGCGCTGCGCTGGGGGGACATGAACAGATCGGGGGGCACCCATGGACCTGAGGGCACCCATGCCCGCACCATGGGGAGCAGCAGCAGCAACACAGCGATGTGCTGGGGGTGCAGAGCTGCCCGGGCTCAGCTCATTGCAGTTAATGGGATTGCCCGTGACCCAGCAAAGCTGCTTAGCTCTTGCCTTCCTCCGGCATCCACTTTCCCTCCCGGCACGCACCCAGGATCTGCCAGCCCCGCTTCCCACCCCGCTCCCAGCCCCATACCCAGGTACTTGGCTCGCTCCTCGCGCCGCTCCTTTGCCTGCTTGTGCCTCGCCTGTGCTTTCTGGGCATCTGCAGTGGGGAGACAGCATCAGAGCAGCGCCCATGGGGTGCCAGCATCACCACAGCCCCCTTGACCCCCCCAGCACCCACCTTGCTTGGGCCTGGGGCTGGCGGCACTTGCTGGTGAGGCTGCAGCCGCAGTGGGGCGGTCGCTCCGGGGGGGGGCATCCTTCGAGGGCCCGGCTGTGCCACACACGGGGGTCTTGGCACTGGGGGGGGGCCCTTCACTGGCAGCGGGGGCTGGGGGTTCGCTCCCATGGGGCAGGGTCTCTGCTGGGCAAGGGGCAGCAGCGTGGATGGGGACCGGCTGGCTGGGGGCGGGGGGTGATGCCTCTGCCTTGGGGTGCTCCGTCATGGGCAGGGGGGGTGCGGGCAGGGGCCGAGGGGGGGCACTCTCTGCTGAGGAGGCTGCAGGGCTGGGGGGCCCGGGCTGCCCTGGCAGTGCAGCGGCTGCAGGAACGGGGTGGTCACGCTGCGGGGGGGTGCTCCCGACGGTGTGGGGACCGATGGGGTGCTGGGGGGGGGTCAGGGCTGCAGGGGCGGCTGAGACGGGCTCTTCCGAAGGGGTGATGGATACAGGGATGGGAGACAGGGGCTGCGCCGAGGGGACCACGGCCGCAGGGACGGGCAGGTCATGGTGCGGGGGGGTGCGCTCCCCCTGCAGGGCACCCGCAGGCGAGGCCGGGAGGGGAACGCTGTCTCCCATCGGGGACGGTGGCTTCCCTGGAACACAGCAGAGCAGAGCAAACAGTCAATGGCAGAGCCGGGGGCAGCCCTGTGCCCCCAGACCCGGCCCTCGGGAGCCAGGCTGTCCCTGCAACGAGCCCTGCCGCTGCCCTGGTTTTGGGGGGCACCCCCGCGGGGTGCCAGGCTCCGGATGCACAATGCACAGAGGGACCGGACCGGCCGGCGCTGCACCAGGCACCGCTGCCACAAAGCCGCCCTTCTTCCTCTGCCAGCTGCCAGCCCGGCCCCACGGGGCTGCGGACCCACGGCCGCCGGCCCCGGGGGATGCGGAACCGCTTCCGCCGCCGCTGGCTTCGTGGATGGGGCAGGATGGGCGCGGGCTCCGTGCCCTGACGTCACCGCAGCGCCCATGGTCCCCCCCGCCTGCAGCCATGAACTCATGGCCCAGGAATGCACGCGAGGACACGGGGCAGAACAGCCCCCCCTGGCGTGGGGCAGGTGAGGGGCACCCCAAGGGAGCAGCACCGGGATCGCTCCCCATCGCCGCCAGCCCATGGGGACACCGGGGACCGCTGCACGCAACCGGTGCTAGGGATGGAGACCTGGTGCCAACCGCCCTGCGTGCCACAGGACGTGATGCACGTGGTGATGCCCCGACCCCATCAACCAGCCCTCTGCAAACACACCTTGGAGCACGTACCAAGACCCCAGCCGCACGCCCCATCGGCATTCCTGCAGGGAATGATGCCCAATGCACTCCAGCCCCCCCGGGCAGCACTGCAGTGCCTGGCCCCATCTCCGCTGGTGCGCGGTGACCACAGTGGTGACCGCAGGGCGATATCAGACACGGGGCTGGGCCGTGTTTGCAGAGCTCTCCACAGTCATCAGCGAGGGGCAAAGTGTGGGCTCCGCAAACAGGGCCCGGCGCCGCTCCTCACCCCGCTGCACAGCCCCGCTCCCTGCCATAGGCACGGCTGCACCCCAGGTCCCCTGGACACAGCACCCACAGCAGCACCCGCCTGCCCACGGAGGGGCTGGGGTCCTGCTGCAGCCCCATGGCACGCTGGGGGGGCTCCTGCCTGCAGGGTTCACCCTTCTCCATGCTCTGCAGGGGACTCATCCAGCCCCGGCCCCCCCGCAGACCCCGGCAGCCTTCCGGGTATTTTCTGCTGCAGGAAGCCAGCCCATCCCCTGGCCCTGGTCCTGCACATCCCATATCCCCATTGCTGCACCCCCCCATATCCCATTGCTGCACCCCCCATATCCCCATTGCTGCACCCCCCATATCCCCATCACTGCACCCCCCATATCCCCATTGCTGCACCCCCCACATCCCCATCTCTGCACCCCCCACATCCCCATTGCTGCACCCCCCATATCCCCATTGCTGCACCCTCCACATCCCCATCGCTGCATCCCCCACATCCCCATTGCTGCACCCCCCATATCCCCCTTGCTGCACCCTCCACATCCCCATCTCTGCACCCCTCGACGCAGACATCAGCTCATGTGTGCCTGGGGAGGTGCCGGGGCTGCAGTTCGGGGCTCCCCTGCCCCGACCCGCCAGGGCCAGCCCCAATCATCACCCACAGGACAGGGACCAGCTCTAAGGACAATACCCGTGGTGGCACCACACGTGTCCCAGCTGGGAGAGGTGACCCTCTGAGTGCTGCCCATGGGTGCCTGGTGCCCTGAGCAGAGGGAAATGTCTCTGGAGCCCTGGATGTGTAGGGAGCAATGGTGGGGGATGGCGGCAGCCTCCGGCCACCCTGCGCCATGGGGCACACACAGAGCCCTGGGCAGGACCCATCCGGGGGGATAGCAGTGCCCATGGCCAGGGCAGGATCCACCCGGGGGGATAGCAGTGCCCATGGCCAGGGCAGGATCCACCCGGGGGGATAGCAGTGCCCATGGCCAGGGCAGGATCCATCCGGGGGGACAGCAGTGCCCATGGCCAGGGCAGGATCCATCCGGGGGGACAGCAGTGCCCATGGCCAGGGCAGGATCCATCCGAGGGACAGCAGTGCCCATGGCCAGGGCAGGATCCATCCGAGGGACAGCAGTGCCCATGGCCAGGGCAGGATCCACCCGGGGGGATAGCAGTGCCCATGGCCAGGGCAGGATCCATCCGAGGGACAGCAGTGCCCATGGCCAGGGCAGGATCCATCCGAGGGACAGCAGTGCCCATGGCCAGGGCAGGATCCACCCGGGGGGACAGCAGTGCCCATGGCCAGGGCAGGGCTGCCTGCACAGGCTGGGGCCAGCCCCGCTCCATCTGTCCCTGTCGCTGCTCCAGCACGGCAGCTGCCCTGAAACCCAACGCTGCCTGCACCCGGCCGGCGCGGGCGTCCCCTGTCCCCTGGCCGCGGCATTCCACAGGGATTAGCTCCCGGCCCCCCAGACGTGCAGGCACGGCTCCCCTGCAGCCCCCAGCCCGGCCGAGCCTGCGCAGCGCTGGTCCCACTGGAACCAACCATGGGGCTGCCCCTCGATGCCCGTCACCCAGCGCATCCCAGCCCATCCCATGGGTCCCTGTGGCACCAGCGCCACCGAGCACCACCAGCACCCCGTGGCCAGCACATGGCTGGGGATGCTCAGCCAGGCAGAGGCAAATCCCTGGTGCCGTGAAGCGAGAGCACATCGAGGCCCTGCAGGGCGCTGTGGCCGAGCAGCCTCCGATACCCATCCATCCGCTGCGCATCCCCGCGGGGTGCTCCCCATGAGGACGGGGGGGGCACCCGCCTGCTTTAACCTCAGCTCCCCCCATCCACCGTAACCTCAGGTCCCTGCTCTGTGGCACGATTGGGGCTGCTCCACGTGCGGAACCTGCCCGGGGATGTGGGCATCGGATGTGGCCCATCGTTACCCCAGGAGGAGAGGAGAGAGGGGCTGGTGGGTGCCGTGTGGCCACTGCAAATCCACCCACTGGGGCTGGTGTCACTGCGCCCGGCCCACCCTGGCCATGGCCATGCCCAGGGACAAGATCCCAAGGGGAGCCACAGCCCTGAGACCCACCACTGGCTCTGCAGGGCTGCTCACCATAGCCCGTGGTGCACCCTTGGGCCCTTCCCAGTGCTGTCCACCATCCCACCCCACCTCACCATGTCTCAGATGTGCTTCAGAGCCGAGCCCTACCTGGTCCCACCCGAATTCTGGGATTCCCGGGCACTGCAGCACCTGATGACAGGGATGGTGAGCAAGCACCCCTGGCACATCCCCAGCACGTCCAAGCCTTGCCTCACATGCATGGGCAGGGAGACATGGGCAATGCTCCGAGCAAGCATGCACCAGCAGCCTGCACCACAGGGGTGGTCAGGGCCCCCCTGTCAGCCACCAACAGCACTGACACCCCATTCCCCATGGAGGGGGTCCTGTGGGGGTGCTGCCCACAGCCACCCGCACCCTGGCCCCGGGCAGCACCCTGGCCCCAGGCAGCGTGAGTGCTGTATCCTGAGGCTGGGCTCAGGCTCAGAGCCAGCAGAAGGCAGCCGGGGCACGTCAGGCATCATCCCATGGCTCTGCATGCACTGCCCTCAGCTCCAGGGACAGACATGGGCAGGGCAGGAGGGGCACAAGGGATGCCACAGCCAGATGCCCACAGTGGGTACCAGGCAGGAGGAAGGGGCACGATGGGGCATTGCCCGCCTGGCTGGGACCGCGCTGCCTTTGCACCCGCTCCTGGCAGCACTGGCTTGGCTCAGGGCTGCACCCAGTGCTCCACGCAGCACTGCATGGGGGTCCCAGACCCTTCCAAGGGCACACGGAGGCAGCCCTGGGGGAACCGCGCCAGGCTCCAGGCCGTGGCAGAGGCCACCAAGCTCATGTGGCCCAGCCCGGCGCCAGCAGTGGATGTGCCAAGCCAGGGAGCAACAAGGGGAACCTGGGAGATGGGATCTCGTGGGCAGAGCGGAGCCGGAGCTGGGGGGTTTCCAGGGTTTAAAATACACACGGAGGGAAGGGCCGGGGCTGCTGCTGCCCCCCAGCACCCCCGCAGCACACACAGAGCGAGGGCAGCACCTGCCCCTCATCCATCTGGGCAGCACCAGTGCGACAAGAGGTGCCCGCGTCCTTGGGGCGACCTGCGCGGAGCCGCGCTCCCCAGATCCCATCTGCCAGCATCCCAACAGAAACCTGGCCCCGAGGCAGGGCACGGGGCAAGCTCCGCACCGCCAGAACCACGTCCTGAGCCCCGCAACGCGGATGCAGGCACCTACCAGGGCCGGGGCCGTGCAGGATCCGGCTCCGTGGTGTCCGTCCCTGCTCGGAGCCCTGCGACAGGCGAGAGCTGTGCTAACTATTTTGGACACGGCACCACGGGACTGTCACATCCCCGCTCCCTCCGCACGTCGCATCACGTTGCTCTCATGGCTTCACAGCAGCGGCTCTGCTGGCATCCCTGTGCTGCAAGAGCTCCCGAGCCGCCTGCTCCCAAACACAGGAGCTGGCTGGCACCCAGCTCACCCTGCACCCTCCCTCTCCGCTGTGCAGGAGGGAATGGGGCTGGAGAAGCCAGGGGAAACATGGACAAGGGCAAACCTGCTCCCTGCCTTGGTCCTCCCCCCTGTGCCCATCCACAGGGCAGCATCCCAGCCATGCAGCTCCATGGGGCCACACTCTGCTCCTGCCCCCCCAATGCCACCAGCTGCCCCACACTGCTGTGGGTCCCAGTCCCTGGAGTGAAACCCCATCCCTGCTGGCAGCCAGGATACAGCACACTGGGGAGTGTGGGGGCTTCAACCCATGCTGGGAAGCAGAATAGGGAGCAGCCTCCATGCAGGCTGCCCAAATGAGAGGGATCAGGGATGGTCCCTGGGGTGGGATGTGGTCCCTGGAGCGGGATGTGGTCCCTAGGGCAGGATGCGGTGCACGCACATCCCAGCACCATCCTCTCATGGTGGAGCAGCCAAGGCCCCCCGGTACATGGGAACCAAACCCCCGGGCAGCGGCGGCATGGAGGGGGCAGGCCAGGCCGGGCCGGGCTGCACACACAACATGTCTGCAGCGATCGGATAAAGGGCGAGCGGCGATGCCGGGGCCCGGGCGGCCATGGGCGGTGAATCACGGCGCGGCGGCGGGCACCGGGGACGAGGGGGAAGGGAACTGCCTCTCCTCTTCCTCCATCGGTGGGAAGCGGCTCCAGCACCGAGCTGTGCTTAGTCACAGCCCAGAGCGAGTGGCCCAGTGGGACCGAAGAGCGCTTGGCTGGAGCCCTGCAGCGGGCAAGAGCCAAAACAAACCCGAGCCCCAGGACTCGGCCCTGCCGGCTGCCGCCCGCCCCGGTTCGCCGAGCCGGGGCCGGTGCTGGAGTTCATCCCGGAGCAGCGCCGGCACTGGATGGGCCAGGACATGCCCATGGCGGGGGCGAGCGCGGGCAAACGGGGCGCAAAACCGGAACCCCCCAACCCACCAGCACCTCCGCTCGCCCAAGAGGCGACCCCGGCCACCAACACCCCCCAACACGAGCGCTGCAAGCGGGGATGCGGGACCGGCACCATAGGGAGCAGCGGGGCCCTGCCCGTCGGGACCCCCGGCAGAGAGGCTCGGGGCGGGGGGGGGGGGCTCAGGACCAGGCCGGCATCGCCCTCCGGTTGGCGAGGACGAGCCCGAGCACGGGCAAGCGCCGCCGCCCCGGTTCCCCCCCCCCCACCATGGCGGGGCCGCGCCCGGGAGGGCTCCCCAAGGGCAGCTCCCTCGACGGGGCCGGGGTCGGCGCCGCTCCGGCCCGCCCCAAGATGGAGGGGCCGCGCTCGGGCTTTGTCCCTCCCGGGAAGCCGCCCCGGCCCCGGGCTCCTCCACCGCCTCCGGGCCCCCGCCAGAGCGGCTCCGCGGGCGGCCCCGCCGCATCCCCCGGCACCGCCGCATCCCCCGGCCGGATCCCGCTCCCCACCGCTCCCGGCTCCCCCTCGGCCGCATCCCGCATCCCGCATCCCGCATCCGGCATCCCAACCCCGGCTCGGGCAGGGTCCCCGGCGCCCATCGCTGCCGGAGCCGGTCCCCGCCGCGAAGCCTTACCCTGGGCCGGCTGGGGCTGGGGCTGGGGCTGGGGCTGCGGCTCCCGCCCAGCGCGGCTCCTCTCCATGGCGTGGCGGGGAGGCGCAGGGGGCTGGCCCAGCCGAGCCGAGCCGAGCCGCGCCGCCCCGCTCCCCCCGGCCCGGCGGGGGAGGACGCTCAGCGCTCCCCGCCCCGGCCGCGCATCCCGCCCGGCCCCGCGGCCCCGGGCTGTGCGGGGGGGGGGGGAGCGGGCGGGCAGGGGATGCTCTGCCTCTCCCCTACCCACAGCACGGCCCCGACCCCGCTCTCAGCCACCCTCCCTCAGCCGGGACCCCCCCGCCCATCACCCCAGCCTCAGGCCTGCTCCCAGCATCCCCCCAGCTTCCCTCGGGCCATGCACAACCCCTTCTCTCCCAAATGTTGGGGCTGCACCCACCCTCCCCACCACCCTCATTTCACCGTGCTCCTTCCCATCATCTGTAAGCACTGGCCCTGCAGCAGACACCCCCCGTAGCCCCTACATCTCTGGTCACTGCCACAATGCACAGCCAGTGCCACTCGGATCACCCCAGTTGCCAAGCACCCCAAAGAAGCGTTGATTCCCCACCCCCAATCCCCACCGTGGCTCCTTGTGAGGCCTTGAAGCTTCTTCCCCAGCACCCACCCGTCACACGTGAGCTTTAGTCACTGCCAGCAGCAGCTCCCAGGGTGAGGGTTTCACCCCACACATCCCACCCTGCCTCGATAACAGGCAGATAACGAGAGGCCTCCCGGGACAGGAGCAGAGGGCTTGGCTCAACCCTGCTCCGGGCTGAAACTCCTCTTGGCCTCGCAAGAAGAGGAGCACAGAGCCAGTCCCTGCCCCAGGCAGCATCCTGGAGCAAAGGCACCAGGGTATGGGGGCTGCCCACTGCAGCAGCACATCCAAGTCAAGGGGCACATGGGTGTCAGCAGCAGGAACAGGCCTGGGAAACACCACTTAGGGCTTTGTAGGGGCAGCAGGAGCCAAGGACGTGTCCCCATTCCCCGTGCAGCCGGCCCGGTCCAGGCATCCCACAAAGTGCCCATCTCTGGGTTCCCGGAACGTGTTGCTGAGCAGCCTGGCAGCACCCATCAGGGATGCCTGCTTTGGGGATGATGTCACCGCAGGGCCAGGACATCCCCTGCCACCCCTCCTGCCTCACCTACCCGGCAAACAGGTTTCCCGAAATCCCGGCCCTCTCCTCCGGAAGCTCTGACTCAGGGGATGCGGAGCGGGCAGAGGGCTCCTTGCAGACGGGGCGGCCCCGCTCTGTGCTGCTGCAGGGGTGACCCTGCCTCCCAAACACCCCAAACACCCCAGAGGCCCCAACTGCGGCGGCTGAGCCATCGCCTCCCCGCAGCCCCGGCCCTGCTCACCCTGCTCAGCCAGAGCAGAGCCTTCCCAAATCCTCCCCCCGGCCTCACCCACTGCCTGACTCCCGGGCCCGGGAATGCCGCATGGCTCAGCCACCGTCACCGTGGCAGCTGGGCAGCCCCGGGGGACAGGAGCGGATGTGGAGCAGGAGCGTGTCCTGTTGGACCCACAGACACAGGGACACAGGGAACAGCCCTGCTTATTTCCATGGCACACATGGACTGGGCAGAGCAGAATGGGGAACCCAATGCCTTGCCCCAAGGGTGTTGGGAGGTGGCTTCAAAAGCCTTTTGCCACGGTCCTGTGGGTCCCAGCGGGGCGGGCGAGGGGTCTGGCACAGCACCACCCAAAAGGACAAACCTCGTGACACCCTGGCACAGCTCGGCGTTGGGTACAGCCATGCTTATGGTCCTTCACACCATGGGGCCAGCCTGGAGCTGGGGGCACGGTGAGGCAGGGGCACCCATGGGTGCACAGGGCTATGCTCCGCCGATGCTCCTGGTGCGGGCAGCGATGCGGATGGCTCCCGGCTGCCAATGCCAGCCCGAGTCGATGGGCTTATACAAGCAGGAGAGCCCGGATCGATCGCTCTGCTGCACACTCTGCTGCACCAGGGCTCCTGGGGCCGCCCCCCCCGGTCCCTGCAGCGCTGGGAGGGAGCAGCCGCCCGCCCCGCAGTGATGGAAAATCCGATGAGCTCATGACGAGCACATTGCCCAGCCCCAGCAGCTGCATGCCCGGAGCTCCCCGTGCTCCTCAGCCCCTCGGCGTGGGGTGGAACAGCTCCCGCAGGCCGGCCCTCAGAGAGGGATGCATGCAAGGGGCTGGGGAGCAGCCATGGCTCTAGCCCCTCTGCATGCCCAGAGCCTTGCCCTGATGCTGCTTGCAGGGAGCCAACGGGGTGCCAAGCACCGCAGAATCAATGAACACTTACAGTTATGGCTTGGCCAGCGGGAGCAGGCCCTGCAGGAGGCTGGGTGCAAACAGGGATGAGGATGGCAAACAAACCCCACCGGCATCACTGGACTGCATGGATATCCTCCTAATCCCACCCGCTTCCCACCCCTCTGCCCCACATCTCCCTCCTCCAGCCCCAGGACTTTGCCCCCATCCTGCTGCTGTGTGGGGTGGTTTCGGTGCCAATGCCGGTCACCAGTACCATGGCCATGAGGGCTGATGTGAACTCCAGCAGACCCCCACTACCCATGGGGCAGTGACGCAGGAGGAGCCCAGGGGTGCGGGTGTCCCCGCATCCTGCCCTGGAGCACACTGCTGCCGTACCAGCCTGTCTCTGGCGGTGTGCTGGGTTAGCCACCAGCCTGGAGCATCTTGCCACGGGGCCAGCATTGCAGCCAGCCACAAAGCCCCAGTGCTGCAGGACGGTCCCTGTGGGCGCAGGTGACAAATGGGCCAGCGATGGGCTGAGCCCTGCCCTGCCTTGCCGCAGCCTTTCCCAGCTCTGTAATTATCCCAAGCTGCAGCTGTAATTAGTGTCCTGATGTCATGGTATCAGGCCTGGGCAGTCCCACCAGCTCCCTGCCAGCCCCACCTTGGCCTCTGGCCCCATGCTTGAAGATCCCAGCCCCCCAAAACCATCCCAAGGAGCTCCAGCCCTGTCCTGGCTACCAGTGCTCCCCACCATTGCTGCTGGACCCCCATCCCATCCTGTCCTGCAGCACCGGAGGGCTGGATCTGGCCCTCTAGGAGCTCCCACTGCTGCATCTCCGCTCCCTCCATGCTGCCAGCATCCTGCCTGCTCCTCCTGGGGACAGATCCTGCCTGCAACCAGTCCCGAGTGAGCCCCCAAGGGGAGGTGAAGGCAGCTTCACCAGTGCCCCCCTCTCAGCACAGGGAATGTGCTGGAGCAGCCCTGGCAGCTATAAATAGAGTGGGAAGCACAGGCGTGTGCTGGATGGAGCACACATGTGGGTCTGAGTGGCTGCTGCCCTATGGCCGGTGTGGGGCACAGGCAGGGTGTGGGGCAGGAGGGTAAGATCCCTGTTGTTCTGTTGCAGGGAGGCACCCAGCCCTGCTCCCCACGGCACACAGACACCAGCACCCAGGGCTGCCCTTCCCCATGGATGATGAGGGGCTGGAGCACCTCCATATGGAGCCAGGCTGAGAACACTGGGGCTGTTCAGGCTGGAGAAGAGAGGCTGATGGAGACCGCAGAGCAGCTTCCAGTGTCTGAAGGGGGCTGCAAGGATGGTGGAGGGGGACCCTTCATCAGGGACTGTAGTGATAGGACAAGGGGTGATGGGTTCAGACTGAAACAGGGGAAGCTCAGATTGGAGATAAGGAAGAAGTTCTTTACTGTGAGGGTGCTGAGGCACTGGGTGCCCAGAGAGGTTGTGAATGCTCCATCCCTGGCAGTGTTCAAGGCCAGGCTGGTCAGAGCCTTGGGTGACTCGGGCCAGTGTGAGGTGTCCGTGCCCATGGCAGTGGGTTGGAACCGGGTGACCTTGAGCTCCTTTCCAACCCAAACCCCTCTGTGCCTCCATGGCTGTCCCCACCCCTAGCACTCACGCAGGGGCCGGGCTGCACCGGTGACAGTGAACTGGGCACTCAGCACCTCCGAGGGCACCCGCAGCTGCTGCCCCGGCTGCTGCCCACCAGCGAAGAGGGTGAAGGAGCCGGGCTCGAGGCGCCAGCCCTGTGCCCACACAGCGCGCTGCTCCGCCAGCACCCGCAGCGCCAGCTTGGTGTCCCGGCCCGCCCGCACGGCCACGCGCTGGAAAGCCACCAGCTGCCAGCGCGGCACGGGCACGGACGGCTGCTCCCACCGCAGGTACAGCTGCACCACCTAACCAGAGCCATGGGGTCAGCGCCAGCGGGACCCCCTGCATCCGGACCCCCTCCAGCCGCATCCGTGCGGAGCGGCCGTGCTCACCTCCTCGCCATCCCGCTGCCCCGTGTTCTCCAGCACCACGGACACGGAGAGGTTGGCACAGATGGGCAGCACCGGGGGGATCAGCGCCAGGTCCCGGTAGCGGAAGGTGGTGTAGGACAACCCATAACCGAAGGGGTAAAGAGGGGGCTCCTGCCCGTAGTACCGGTATGTCCGTCCCTCCATGGTGTAGTTCTCCATCGGTGGCACCTGCAGGACGTGGCGATGGTGCAGCAGGGCATGGTCAAGCATCAGCCCTTCATCCCATGGCCCCCAGCCACTGCGATAGGGAAGGGCTATGGGTGCTGCCCTGCCCCTACCTGGTGCATGCCCGCGGGCCATGTGGCCGGCAGCCTGGCAGCGGGGTTGGCCCCAGCCTCCCCCAGCAGCACCCTGGCGATGGCGAGGCCGGCGGCCTGGGCAGGGAAGAAGCAGGCCAGGATGGCCCCCACGGCCTCGTGTGCCTGCGCCCAGCTCACGTCCAGGGGCCCCGCGTTGAACAGCAGCAGGATCAGAGGGCGCCCGGCGGCTGCAGGGAGATGGGTGTCACCAAGAGCCCCACATGGGTGCTGCTTGGACGGACCTGGGGTCCCCGCACCACAGCCCGTCACCACCCCCCGGTCCCTCTTCACAAAGCAGAGCCGCATTGAGCCCCTACCTGCCTGCACTGCGTCCTGCAGCAGCTCCAGCTGGTGGCCTGGCAAGGACAGGTCACTCCGGTCCCTTGCCTCCGTCTCCACATCCGTCCCTGCGTGGGGACAGCCAAGGGACAGCCCCTTAACCCCACCCGGGGCAGGGCAGAGGGGCACTGCCTGAGGGGGGGGCTGGCTCCTACCTGTCCCCAGGCACACCACCACCACATCGGCGGCCCCCGCGGCCCCCACCACCTCTGCCCGTGAGTAGCGCTGGCACCGCGGCTCTTGGCATCCCGCTGCAAAGCTGACGTTCACCGGCAGCGTCTGCAGCCCCCTCCTGGGCCAGGGCAGAGCGCAGGATGGTGGCACCGCGGGGACCCCCCCCCGCCCCGTGCCCAGTGCAGGGTGCACGGCAGCGCCGCGCTGTCTCACCGCGGGGTGTAGATGTACCCCGGCTCCGGCACCGGAGCGTAGTCCCCAAACAGCACCCGGGGGTTGTCAGCGAAGGGACCCACGACCTGCAAGGCAGAGGGGTGAGGGTGAGCACTGCAGCCTGCGCAGCGCTCCCTGCCTGCGTGCCCGGCGGATGGAGCCAGAGCCCCACGGTGACCGCATCCCCCTGCCCGCCGCTGTGCTCGGTGCTCACCGCAAGGCGCTTGCCAGGCAGGTCCTGGGCCCGGAGGGGCAGCGTCCCCCGGGAGTTCTTGAGCAGCACAAAGCTCTTGAGGGCAGCTTCCAGCGAGAGGTTTCGGTGCTCGGGGCTCTGCACGACGCTCAGGTCCAGGGCGCTGTAGGGGTTCATGGCCGGGGGGTCGAACTCCCCCAGCCGCATCCGGGTGTAGAAGAGGGGCCGGACCCGGTCACGCAGCATCTGTGAAGACCCCAACACCAAAACCGTGGCTGTGCTCGGGGGGGGACAGCCCTGGCTCCTGTGCTCCCAGCCCCAGCTCACCTGCAGCGTGATGTTCCCCATGGCCAGAGCCTGTGGGATGCGCATGAAGACGTTGTTCCTCACGCCATAGGACAGCTCCAGGTTGCAGCCAGCGTTCATTGATGCTGCCGTGCCAGTGAGAAGGGAAATCACCCATCATGGCTGCGCGGTGCCCGGGGCCCCCCTGTCCCGTGAGCTCACCGACCGCCGTCTCCAGGAAGGTGCGTGTGTAGTGGTGCCCCAGCATGATGAGCTCCAGGGCCCCCTCATCGCTCACTACATAGCCCTCGAACCCCCACTCGCCACGCAGGATGTCCGTCAGCAGCTTCTTGTTGGCGCAGGCAGGAACGCCGTTGATCCTGTTGGAGAGGGGATGCGGCAGCAGGGACAGGCAGGCACCACCACCCCTTGGGCTCTGCGGCCGCCACCATGCTCGGTACCTGTTGTAGCTGCACATGAAGCTGTAGGAGCCAGCACGCACGCACGCCTGGAACTGGGGCAGGAAGGTGGTGCGCAAGTCCCGCTCCAGCACCTGCAGGCACCACGGTGGAGCGGGGTCAGTGCCGGGGGGAGCCGCTCGCCATCCCCTGGCTCCGCTGCCCTCACCTTGGCATCGAAGCTGAGCCTGGACACGGGGATGTTCTCGGGGCCCCCGTGCACGCTGAAGTGCTTGCAGCCAGCGCTGGCCTTGATGTAGCGGGGGTGCGGGCCCTGCAGCCCCTGCACGAAGCTGCGGGCCAGCTCCCCGCTCAGGAACGGGTCCTCCCCATAGGTCTCCTGGTTGAGGTGCAGGCAGGTCATGGCCATGCCCACGAGCCCCACACACCACCACCACCACCCCATGGAGCTGCTGTCACCCTCTGGCTGGACAGACATGGTCCAGGGTGGCCCGAGCCCTGCGGTCCCCACACCCTGCTGTGCTGGCACCTGGTTCCTGCCCCACAGCGGGTGCCTCATGATGTTCAGGACAGGGCTGAAGCAGCTGAGCCCTGTGTGGTCCCCGTAGCGGCCAGCGGCGGCGAAGGCGTTGTGCTTGGCTCTCACCTCGGTGGCAGTGGCGTTGGCCACCCGGTAGATGAGCTCCGGGCTGCGGGGAGAGCGCGGGGGCACCTCACGGGGCTGTGTTCGGGGATGGATCCCCAGGGGCCCCATCCCAAGGGGGTCCCGGTGCCCCGATGCCAGCACCTGAAGGCAGCAGCGAGCCCCAGTGCCTGGGGGAAGGCCGTGGCCCAGCCGGGTGCCTCCCCATCGCCGCGCAGACACTCGGTGTTCCAGTTATAGGGCGCGATTCCCAGCCTCGGGATGGGGGGCGCGGGGCCGTTCCCCAGCGCACCCCCCCTCGCTACCTGCAGCACCAGCTCGCTGGGGCTCAGCCGGCCCAGGAGGTCGTCGAGGCGGCGGTGCCAGGGCAGCGCCGGGTCCTGGAAGGGAAAGGGGAATGGGAAAGGCTCCGCTCGGCCCGGCCGGGCGCACAGCACCGCGCACAGCAGCGCGGCGGCGGCCCGGAGCCCCGCCAGCCCCGCTGCAGCCGCTCCAGGGCCGGGCGCAGGGGAAGCGGCTCTGCGCGGCATGGCCCGGCTCGGATCCCGGGATCAGCCCGGCCGAGCCCACGGGCGATGGGCGCGCCGGGGCGGAGCGGGGCGCGCTGCACCTCGGTCCCGTGCGCACCGGATGGGGCGGAGCGCGGCGGGACGGGACGGGACGGGGGGTCCCGGGGTGCTGCTGGGCTCCGGCCGCTTCCCCCCGAACGAACGGGAGTCCCGGCCGGGGGCACCGGAGCACGGGGCTCCGAGCAGCCAGGTCGAGGTGTTTTGGTGCCCACGCTCCCCCGAGCACCTCCCGGCGCGGGCACGTCGGTGAGTGGGAAACGGGAGAGCTGCCCGGTGCGGCCACACCGGCTCCCGGTTGTGCCACTGCTGCTCCAGTCCCAGCCCTGAGCAGTGATGGGATGGGGTTCATCAGACACCGCGCTTTAACGAGAGCCGCAGCCTGCGATGCTGGTGCGCGACCCACAGTGCCCGCTCACCTCACCACGGTGGGACACTGCCAGGGACCCACACGGTCACCAGGGACGTGGTACCTCCAGCAGCCACAGTGGCCGTGGTCACACTCATGGTGCCTGGAGGCCAAAGCTTCTGGTCCTCCTGACCATGCCACCACGTCCCACCCCTGCAGCCTGCGGACACAGCACAGGGCCGGGTGGTGGCTCCGGCACGGGCACACCAGCAGGGATGTGGCTGGGCCTGGCACATGTCCCAGCCAGCAAGGGCCAGCAGGGCATCACCAGGAGCAGCACATGGCAATGTCTGCTCTGTGGCTTTCCCACTGTGATAGACATATAGGAGAATATTGGCTTTCACAGCTGTGGGTGTTGCTATGCTGGTGTAATCATGTGATGAGCAATGCAATACCAGGAACTAAATCGTTCATTTGGCGAGGTGACATTTAACGAACAAAGTGGGAAAACCAACGGTGGAACTCGCCCAGAACCCACCAGTTAAGGTCACCTCGAGGAACAGTTCTGACTTCATCCCAGGAGCCACCTCAGAGCCCCACTCAGAGAAACAGCTCATGCTCTAAGAAGGCAGGATAAGGGAGGGAAAATGTAAATTAGTTCTAGGAATATGTAAATGAGATCATGAATATGTATGTGTCTGACACAATGATGAAGGTATATAAACTTGCATTAGAGTGGTAATTGGCACACCTCTGGCTACGGTCACTCACCCAGTGCTGTTGCTTTTGTTTCATCGGCTTTGTCCCTCTCTAAAACCCTGACACCTCAGTCAGAGTGAGCTGGTTTCTCAGCACACAGCAGGCTTTGGCTTGGCACTGGGCAGCCCTGTGTCTCCATGTGGGTTTGGTGGCCACCCACCTCAAGAGGCTCATGCCCACCTCCAGCATCACATCCGTAGCACTGGACACTGTGTCTTGCCACCCCCTGGACATAGCTCCCCAGCTGGGAGGTGCACAGCAGGCAAGAGAAGAGCACAAAAGATCCCTCTGCCCACCAGCACAGTGGTGGGACCAGGACCAGGAGCACAGCAGCACTTCCAGGCTGCTCCCTGTGCTTTAGGGCTGGGAGATGGGGCAGCACAGAGACCTCATCGTCTTGCTGGCACCGTGACCTACTCCTGCGAGGGACGGAGGCGATGCTGGCAGCTCCCCAGCCTGGGTGAGGCTGGTACCAGGCCGAGGGGCTCGCAGCCCAGTGAGCACAGGCTGCGCCGTTCCAGGGATGCAGCCATGTAAGGCAATGCCAGCAGGGCGGCTGTGTCCGTGGGGAGCCCCGCCGGCCCCTGCGCTCCCGGCACCGCTGCTCCGTGGTGACGGGAAGGGATCTCCCAGCTGCTGGATTCCTGAGCAGGGTCCGGCTTCCTCTGCGCCGGGAGCAGAGCCTGCATCACCCGGAGCCACCCTGGGGCACAGCGCAGTGACAGTGCCTGCACTGAAGACGTACCCAGAGAAGTACCTAAGTGCAGGCAGTGAGTGCCTGCGGGCAGAGGCCAGTGCTCGGGCAGCTGCGAGGCTCAGGACTAGCTCGGATGTCCCAGCAGTTACTGCAGCGCGCCCAGGGCCAGCTCCAGCCGCCCCGGGGGACCCCGGTTTGTGCCTAACACCGGGGCCAGGGTGGGACGAGCAGAGGCAAGACCCGGAGAAGCTTCCCCACGGACAGGCCCTTGCTCTGGCAGCGGCCCCTTCTGCGAGAGGCGACCCATCCAGCGGAAACCCCTCGGAGCGCCGCCACCGGGGCCGGGGCACCCCGGCAGCCGCCGTCCAGGGACCGGACACAGCGGCCACCGCAGGCACCACCCCCAGCAGGCACCGGGGGAAGTGAGGCCCGCGGAAGCTGCTCCGGCCGGAACAACCGGAGGGTCCCGATTTCGATCCCGGTCCCGGTCCCGGTCCCCATCCCGATCCCGATCCCGGTCCCCATCCCCATCCCTATCCCGATCCCGATCCCGATCCCGATCCCGATCCCGATCCCGATCCCGATCCCGATCCCGATCCCGGTCCCGGCAGCAGAGGGACCGAGCCGGTGTTCGGAGTCGCCCCCTGGCGGCGCGCGCCCCACCCCAGCGCGTAGTCAGGTGACCCTCCCTGCACGCCGGGATTTGTAGGCTGCCGTCGGTCACGCGGGGCCGCGGTGCACTCTGGGAGTTGTAGTCCGGCGGCGGAACTACGGGTTCCGGCGTGCCCCGCGGCGCGCAGCGGCAGGCGGCGGCGCTGGGCCGGGTGCGGAGCGGGCAGGATGTCGCGCCAGGCCGGCCGCGGCACCGAGAGCAAGAAAATGGTAACCGGAGGGGCCGGGCGGGCCCCGGAGGGACCCCGGTGGTGACCGGAGGGGCCTGGCGGGCCCGGGGCAGAGCGGGGTGTGGGGGAGCCCGGAGGGGGCGGAGGCCCGGCCCGGCTGCCAGGCCCAGGCCTGCAGTAGCGCCCGGCTGTGCCCTCCCGCTGCCGCTGGGCCGCGCTGCCCGCTCGGGTGGCGGAGAGGGCTCGGCGGGCCCTGCCCTCCCCCAGAGCCCGTTACCGGAGGGCCGGTGCGGTCACGATACGGTTCCGGCTGCGTCTCTCTCGCTTTTCCCTTCCCCAAGCCCGCTCGGTGTTCCCGGCGCGGCTGAGGCGCGGTGGGAGGGATGGAGAACGAGCCCGCAGAGCCGGGGCCTCATTGCGGGTCAGAGCAGACCGAATTCGGTCATTTTTGGTGCAATATGGATGGTTGAAAGCAGGGAATAAACCGTAACGTCCGGGTTTGCCCCCTCTTCGGCCGTGCGGGTCAGGCGGCTGCCTGCTCAGCGCCACAAGGGGTTCCCATTATAGGGGTTCAGCTCCTTCGATGCAGTGACTTTTATTGAAGGAATCGGTGGTGTTCTATTAATCCGACATTTTCTGTAGGCACAGAACAGTTATATAGTGTTGAGCCTCTGCACTAATCTGAAACATGAAATAACATAAAGAACGGAGCATGTCTCAGGCACTTCGATGCCATTAGAGGGATTGAAAATGAAGAGTTCGGTTGCAAATACAAAATGAGAAGTTTGCCTTGTTATAACCTAGTTATAACCCATGTTATATTGGGGTTTGAAGTTACCCCAATAGCAGCATCGCTGTGGCCAACACCAGGTCGCTGCGGGGCTCATAACAGTAGGTGAAGGCATCGTGGCTTTACCCAGTAAATGCCAGCATCTTGGACTGGTAACAGCTGGATTTCCTTCATGCATTCACCCCTTCTCTTCCCAGCTGCCAAGCCCCATCTCTACTAAAAATGACCGAAATCCTTAAACCCAGCATAACCTTTTCTGCATGTTTGTTAAATTCTCTGCCCAACGTCTGACTCTGCCAGTTGAGCTCTAGGAGATTTCCGCCTTGTCAGGCCCTCCTGAGCCATGGGAGCTCCCCAGCCTTTTCCTCTCCAGGGCAAAAGCAGGGTTGTAAGTAAAAAAAACCCCAAAAGAATCCATTCTTTAGCTCTAGAATGGGGCAAAAGAAGCAGGGAGCACAACTGGTGCTTTTTGGATGCTCGGAGCCTTTTGGCTACTAATTGCTGTTGTCCTCATGAATTACAGTGACAAGGTGGAATTCCCGGTGTCTTCTAACCTGATTTCTACTTGTTGAATGTTTGGGAGTGATTCTTCCTTCTGTTTGCCTTGGCTTTGTGTAAACTTGTTTAGAATGAAGTGTGATCAGTGTTGTCACTTAACTCTGTTGTCTCTTTTCCCTTCCTTTCTGCCTGCCTGCTGCTTTCATTCTGTAGTATTGGTATTTGCCATTCATTTCACCTTCTGCATCTATGCATCTCATGGTAGGTGATAGGCTTTTAATCTGAGATTAGACTAATGGGTCTGCATGCTAAAACTGAAAGCAGAAATAAAGTATGATGGTTCCTTTGTTCTGTGAGAAGCTAAAGCCCCTTGCAGCTCTTTGTTTTGCAGCTTTCAACGACTTTGTTAGTCACTGGTGTGGCTTAATGGCTCCACTTGGACAGAGATGGGTGAAGGTGGTGGCTGGGAGAGGAGACCCCTTCCCTGGCCACTGTGCAAAGAAAACCCAAGTAACTTTGATCTTAGCCAGGCACAGAGAGTAAATACACGCCGTGGATCTGCTGAGCTGATCCGAAGCCATCCTTGCTGTTCCTCTTCTAGGTCTGAGGAGCTGATTTTAGTGTATAAAGCAAATTATGTGCCTAGAGGAGTTCCAAGGGACCAGATGAGTCTTGGCTCTTTTCTTGGTAGCAGAATGCAGTAATTCCATGAATGGATGAACGTTTCTTGTCCTGTTCAAGGACCAAAATTGGAGCCTAACAAATGTTGCCCATTTGCAGCACGTGTATGAGCGCAGGCAGCAGTTAGAGCCAGTTCCAGTGCAGGTTTAGCCACCTGGGAGTGCCGGTAGCACCAAATGACCTGGAGGTGTCACTCCAGTTATCTGTGGGCTCCCTCGTTAAAGCACAGTGGTGCTAATGGGTGTCTCAGAGTGGCCAGAGTGTGAGCAGCTCCTGGTTTGCCTCTGCAGGTCAGATTCCAGACACTTTAATGGGAAATGCTGTGTGCATGGAGAGAGGGAGGGAAAGCACGCAGTCGTTGCTAGTCAAAGAGGATTTCTCTCTCCAAGGAAACCGAGGTCGCCTTGCCAAAATGCAGACGGGGATCTCTCCTTATTAAGCAGCAAATTCCTTTGAGACAGCAGGTTTCTGTTCCCCCTCTCCAGGCCAGCGGAAGCGGCGCTGGACACAGATGCAGCAGCGCTCAGTCAGGTTTCCCTTTGACTTGTGCTAAATCCCTTTTGCCTCTGTCTAGAACTCGGAGCTCTTCACGCTGACGTACGGCGCCCTGGTCACCCAGCTGTGCAAGGACTACGAGAACGACGAGGATGTCAACAAGCAGCTGGACAAAATGTAAGTGGGTCTGCTGCAGCAGAGCCTTGTAGAGCTCAGGATCACAGCAGGAACGTCTTGATGTGCTGCTCTGCGAGTAAAAACCCGGCAGATCAAACGTTATTTAATGCTGATATTCCTCAGATGGAATTTTTTCCTCCACAGCCTTCTTTTATAAATGGTTGTCTTTCTAAAGCTGTGCTCTGCCCACTCTACCTGTTCCTCTTTGGTGCATTCACAGGGGTTACAACATAGGTGTTCGGCTAATAGAAGACTTCCTGGCCAGGTCCAATGTTGGAAGATGCCATGATTTCCGTGAAACTGCAGATGTGATTGCAAAGGTGATTGTCAAAGCGTGGCTTTGTCAGGTGTGCTCCTGGTTTTGCATGTGAGGATAGGGTATTTGCTATTCCCAGAACTTTGCTGAGAGTTTGACTGAGAATCTAGGCAGGAAAGAGAATCAGATCCCAGACTAGTGCTGACTGGTAGGAACTGGGAGAAATGGGTGGTGTTTTCAAAACCCTTTAGTAATTTTATAAAGATCAAAGCTGTGCTATTGCTTCATGGGATGTGTTCTTGTTCATACTCTGACATAACAGATAGCATTTAAAATGTACCTGGGCATCACTCCGAGCATCACCAACTGGAGTCCTGGAGGCGATGAGTTCTCCCTCATCTTGGAAAACAACCCCTTGGTGGACTTTGTTGAGCTCCCTGACAACCACTCATCGCTCATCTATTCCAACTTGCTGTGTGGAGTGCTGCGAGGTGCCCTGGAAATGGTGAGCTAAGGTCTCTTTTCCAGTGAGATAGATGGATAGCTGAGGTACCAGCAGGTACTTCGATATCTAGTCTGTGTTCATGACTGCCATGTTTGCTTTGGGCTTGAAACTGATTCCCAAGAGAAGAGCAGAGCCACAGGGGTGCTCGGCTGCTGTTACATGTGGCAGCTCTTAGTCCAGAGCCCCTTCATCTCACAGCCCAAGTCCAAGCACTAGTATCTCCTTGAATTTTGTAGGAGGTATGTTGCTGAGGAAAGGTGCCCACTGTCCACCATGTAGGCCACAATGTACAAGGAGAATGTGATCTTAGAGCTGTGTTGCATGTCTTGTCCTCACAGTCCTTAAGCTGGTGTGTCATGATCAGGTGGTGTTGCAAGGGGGTTAACAGCTCCTTTTCCTCTTCCATCCCCTAGGTCCAGATGGCTGTGGATGTCAAGTTTGTCCAGGACACACTGAAGGGTGACAGTGTCACAGAAATAAGGATGAAATTCATCAGGCGGATTGAAGACAATCTTCCAGCTGGTGAAGAGTGAACGAGAGCCCAGGCTCCCTTTGGGACTGGAGGGGACCAGCTGGTTTTGGCCATTAGCTTTCATCGCAGATCTGTAGGGATCTAGTGCCCCTGTACATTCAGACTGACTCACTGACTGTTTAAGATGTTATTATATTCTTCTACTGCTCCTTCCATTTCCTGTAGAAGACGATTGTCTGGTGGCTTTAGATTTCACAGGTTCATTCTGAGGCTTTTTTCATAAGGTGATGTCTTTCGTATTCCCCTGGGGACTCTTTCTACACTCAGTTTCTAAGTGTGACATTAGGTTGTGCTCAAAGTCCACAAAAGCTCCAGTCTATTCAAATCTGAATCCATGTTTTTATGACCAGAATTGGAGTCCACTGATTTACTGTTAAATGCTGTCCTTAAGAAGAGGTGTTTAAAATTCAGCCTGAGATAAGTGCATAGTATTGCTGTCAAATTAACTGGCCTCCTGCAGTTAATGCAGCTACTGGTAAAACACAAGCTTGATGCAAAGGGGTGATGCAGGAGAGCTGTTTTGGGGCTGGCATTTGTCAGAGAGCAGTGGCATCATGCAGTCCTGGCAGATTCATGTGGCCTTTCTGCAGCTTCTCTTCCTCCAGCAGACTCATGATCCCCTCTTGGAAGGGGATGACCATTAAATTGCAACAGGGGTAAGCTTTTCATAGGAGAAAAGGAATCCAGAAATGCCAGCAGTGTTCCCAGCCAGGGGCAAGGCCACAGGATGAAAACCAAAACTCGGGCTAAAGGCTTGGAAGTTCGTTCACCAGCAAGCCGAGCCTGTTCTGCTGTTAGGGTGTACAAACACTGCAGTGTGGAGGGGGTGCTGGGCTGTATGCTCACAGATGTTCAGGCTGCAACAGAATTTCCTGTGTTCCTTGAATTGGCAAGCGAGGCCAGGCTGTAGCACCCGCTGTTGTGTCAGATACACGCACCACGTGCCGTTAGGTATTGGAAAATCAACTTCCTCTGCCAGAAACTGCAGTCAGCCATTCCATTCTCAAAGCACTTTACATAGCATGAAGGCACAGATCCACAGAGGAGCTTGAAGTTGATAGCTCTTCCCCACGGCCACAGGAGCTGGCAGCTCCAGCACCTTTGTACATTTATGCCTGAGTGTAAGGTGCAAGAGAGCGCTGCTGCTGTTGGTTCAGGTTCTTTGAATGGGCATTGGATCATCTGGACACTGCACAGCTTGCCTGGTCCCTTATTTTGTCCAAAGGAGTCCCTTTGGTGTCAGGGTTTGGATGTCCTGAGTGATGGGTCCTGTGAAGGGGCAGCAGGTTGCTGTAAGAGCAGTCGGAGAAGATCAGGAGCAGCAGTGGCAGGCGGGTTTTGGAGGCAGAAGTGCTGCACAGTCACCTTGCAGAGATCAAAAAGACCTCTTGTTCCTCATCATTGACCGTTCTAAGTCATGTTAAGGCTGCATTTTAAAAGCAATTGCATTAAAAAGAACCCCACTGTCAACTGTGCTTTCCTCATGCCTGTTCTTTGGGGGGTGCTGGTGTGGAGCAGCAGGGAGCAGTGTGCCGGTGGCAGGGCGATGGCACTGCAGGGCCAGGAATGTCCGGCTGCCAGCACCTGTGAAGGCTGCTTCCTGAAGGAAACCTGCCCTCTATTGAGCTCAGGGAGGGACTGGGGCTGGGATGTGGGGAGCTGATGGGCAGGGCAGGGAAACTGGCGTTTGAGGACTGGCCTTTTCCTGCCCCGTGAGTACTCACGTGTGTACAGTAGCAGGCACTCACCATCAGCAGCCCAGGGCAGTCTGCTGCAGAGAAAGAGCCAAGAGATGCTAGTTCTGGTCATCGATAGTGGCAGAAAATCACCTCAGGAGGCTTCTGTGCCCCTCTGTGCCAGCTCAGCACAGGGCCTGCTCCACAGCTGCCATTAGCCACACAGTGCTGGGAGCATCCAGGCAAGCAACGGCAACTGCAGGCTCTCCAGGAGCTGCCCTTGGCTGTATGAACACTGCAAATGCTCCCCAAGAGCCTGCATCGCAAGGCGAGCATCCCCGTGCACTGCACTGAGCACCCACAGCTTCCCCTTGGCTCTTACAGTAAAGGATGGGGATGGGGAAAGAGCAGCCCTTGCAGTAAAGTGGCTTCTCTCTGGCTGGAGATGGCGAGCATCACGCAATCCTTAGGGCCAATGTCACAGGGTGTCCTGAGGGGATGGAGGCCCCGTGTCCTCATTGACATCGCATCTCAAAGGGGGTTATTTTACAGCAGCAAAGCTCACACCAGCTCCTTTGCCCTCCTTGTGCTCATCCCCAATGGGGGGGGGGTCCCAGATTCCTACTGCCAGGAATTATGGACCTGCACAGGGATTTGCTTGGTGACTGAGTCAGGAGCAGCCCCTCTGAAAGAGCAAAAAGCAGGAATCACATTAAGCAAATCAAAGCTCTCGACTAGCGAGCAGCTCATTGCAGACAAGGGAGAATATGCAAAAAGCTCTGTTTGAAACCTTCTAAATATTACCATGTGCTGTTTATAGGAAACAAATGGGGAAAGGCATGCTGCATCCATAAAACCCTCAACATGGTTGGGGTTGGACTAAAGCCTTTCCACGGCTCTAGGTTATTGAATACCCTGCACTTTCATGTAGTGCCAGGCCTGACCCCTGCACACATACTGCAAAGGGGAAAGTTGACTTGTGGGGATAAGAGACATTCCTGGTGAGCCGCTTAACCTGGCAGGAAAAGAGGCAGCTTGCAGCCTTTCCTATCTCTGTGTGATAGCAGAGATGACAACAGCAATAAGGAGAGAGGGGGGATGTGGGATATGGGGTGGGAATGCTGCTGCAGGACCCTTGTGGATGGCAGCAGATGGACTCTGCATCACCCAGCCCCATCCCAAAGCAATGGATTAGCTGTGGAAGGAGCTTCTCCAGCCCTCACCCTCCTCCAGCACCCTGACCATGCACCCTGATGGGAGCTGAAGCCCCCTGTGGAACTTACCAGGGTCTAACTCAAGGTTTTAAACCAGTTTCCCCAGCACGGGGACAGCCTGGGTGCTGCTCCCATCCTGCCCAGGGTTTGGTGCAAGGGCTGTTTGCTGCCACACAGCACAGGGCAGTGGGACTGGCACAGGGTCAGACCCGCTTCCCTTCGCACCAACAGCATCCCTCATCCCACCCTGGAGCCAGGCAGCTCCTCCTGGTGGGAAGCAGAGCTCCCAGCCCCACTCCTGCCACTTTATCCAGACCCCATGGCCCAGCACGCACTGAAGGGGCAGGGATGGTGCTGGGAGAGGACTGGGATGAGGGAATCTCCCTGGGAGGGAAGCGTTTCCGGACTGGTGTCCTCATTGCTCCCACAGCTTTCAGCCAGATGTGCTTGGCCGGGGTGCCGGGTGAGGGATGCTTCACCCATGAGGGCTTGTGCATGGGAGCAGCAGCTCCTCCACATGGTGCTGGTGGCCCTGAGCAGCCAAGGTGCAGGCAGTGCTGGCACCATTCACCCACAGCTTGGGAGCCCTCGAGCCCTGCACACAGGGGATGCTCAGCCCCACATCCCCAAGCACACACTGCAGCCATGCATTGAGAAGCTGCTGGGTGCTCTCAGCACCCAGGCCAGCTGAGAGGATGCTCAGGGTGTAGGTTCCAGCCATGGATCCCATGACTCCCAGCTCTGGCCAAGCATCTCCCTGTGCGTGGCCCCACATGGGTACCAAATGAACCCGTTCTCTGCCTGATAAGCCTGGCAAGTCTGGGTGCATGGATAAAGCATCCCAGGCCCCCGGAGCAGCTACAGAGCACATTCAGCTGACCTGGGAAGCACAAACAGGCTGCAAAACCCCTCCCCAAGTCACAGCAGTGCTGCAAAACCACTGCCCTGGCCCAAACATGGTTTCCAAGGCTGGGAATGCCCATTGGCAGCAGCGCTGGGTCAGGGCAGCCCTTTGGCAACGCTCCTTGGCACCCGCCCTCCTGCAGCATCCCTTGCCAGGGCTGAGGAAGAGGAGGGGAACTGCGGATGCGTGGCCTGAGGAGGCAGCAGCGCTGCTGGGAGCTCTGCCACGGCCTGGTGCTGGTTGGGGTTTGGGGTGAAGGGAAGGGGGCTCCATTGTTCCTCTTTCATTGTTTCGGGTTTCCCAAGCAGGACGAGCACTTCCCTCCCACCCTGGGCCCGGCTGCGGAGCTCATCCAGCCCTTTGAAAGGCACCGAAGGCGCCTGCTCAAGCACTGGGCGAGTGGAAACACAGCGAGAAACCTCCCTGCTCCCAGGCACAGATTGGCCCCGGCAGCGCTTGCATGGGACACGACTCATCTCAGTGTCCCCGGCTCACCGCATGGTGCTCGGCATCCCTATGGGGCTGCTTTGGCAGCGGCACCTTGCGAGGGGAAGGGGCAGCAAGGGTGCAACAGGCACCAGTGGAGCCGCAGCATCGCTGCCAGCCCGGTGCGAGGGCACCGGTCCCTGGGCACGGGCTGGTCCCCGGGCATGGGCTGGTCCCCAGGCACGGGCTGGTCCCCACCGCTCCCCCCAGCACCAGGCAGCCAGAGCTCGTCCTCCCTCCCTGCGGTTTCACTGCTCTCGGTTTCGCGTTCTGCTCCGCACAACGAAAGCCCAGTAATTAAAACCACAGGCACCATTGTCCTGCGGCGGCAGCACCGCTCCCCTCCGGAAGCCATCCTCTGCTGCCTGGTGGATGCGGCATCCAGCCCCATCCACAGTGGTGCAGCCCATGCGCGACAAGCCCTACAGCCATAAAGCTTTAGACCCCAAGGAGAGCAGGGGGTCTACAAGAGGTGCTGCCTTGCCAAGGGCTGACCATCGCACTGGAACACCCAGAGCCCAGCTCGGCTGGGTTTGCCCGGAGGCAGCTCCGGGAAGCTGCTTGGCCTGGACAGGACCTTCCCTTCAGGCCAGGAACACAGAGGCATTCTGATGAGAAGTGTTTGTTTTCTTTTAAACTAGATCTAATTGTGGCTTCCAAGGAAGGGAGCTGCTGAAGCAGCAAGGAAATGGGTTGTTGAAGGACATCCAACCCCTTCGCTTCCCACTGCAGGAGCTATTCGCACAGCCCATCCCCACTGGGCTTACCAACCCAGGGATGCAGCTCCAGGTAACCCAGCTCCTACATCCCAGATTAACCCTTTCCTGCAGCATTCAAACCTCCAATGTCCCATCCCGCAGTGGCCTGGTCCCCCTTTCCCAGCTGGCATTAACCTGTTCATGCAGTGAGCAGCCAGCCCCAGCCTTGCCCAGCTG